AGTCTACTTCCCATGGCGAAACATCATGGTAGATCAAACTCGCCTATCCAAGCCCAGAGCAGTGGAAGGACATTGGTAATCTTTCTACGGTGCATTTGACGTTGATGTCTTATTCGTTGTTTTGAGTTCTGGAATTGCTCTCAGAAAAACTAAGTGGCCGAGAAATATCTAGGAAATAGCGCTGATGAGGTTGCTGAGATGACGTCCAGATTGTCAACCATTCAGCTCGAAAAAGTATCAGCTAGCCCCCTACTCTTAAACTCCCACCTTTATTTAGTTTGACACCTAATTCTGCTGGGAAAGGCGGGAACATGCAAAAGCGACAGATGCAAGCTCAGGCCAACCAAACACATGATATGCCACAGAAAAGGTCTGTAGACCAGCCACTGAATACCAATCATACAGATAGCGCATCTCAAGGTCTGCTATTTTCCTGCTTTGCCTCAAATGATTTTTGGCGTATTTGGAAGGCTTTCTTTTAGCTGATTCTGCTCTGGTTTTTTCCATCTCTGCGCAGACAATGACAACTTTTTTGTTCAAAATCTAAAGAGATCTGTTAGAGAAGCTGCTCTTGCATCACAAAACTACAACTTTGAATCATCCCAGGACAGTCACTCTGATGATAGCTCAGAGCACTACTTTGTACACTTTCTGGGGTTGGGTTTTCACGCCTAGGCCAAGCGAAAAAGGCAAATTCCATGAGAACTAAACGTGAGTTCACACCTCAAGCAGACTCTTCATTGCTTGAAACACGTGTTTTAGACGGTAATATCAGAAACAAGTTTGAAGGACCAGATATATTGAACGATGTGGAATCACTTGATGATTATGAAGGTGTAAACGGATTTCTTTCAGCTGCTGGATCAAATTCTTCGGTGTCTGATGCACACAGATCATTTTATGACATCGAGGAAGTTCAAGATCAAGTTTTCTCACCTCCTTTGCTGATGGACACATCACTGTTGGCAGATTCCTATGAAGATCTACTTGGTATGTTCATTAGTTCCCATATAATTTTTTTTTTTTAAAATTTAAGTGCACTTCTAAAAGTTTGGAGTAACAGGGATGTGAAAATTTTGCATTTTATTTAATATATCGATGCTTGGACCATGTTTTGTTGCAACCAATTTAGTGTTAAATGTAGGTTTTCTTCAGTTATATAAGCGCACTGCAAGTCTTTTTCTTGTGGAGAACTATGAGCACCAGAAAGTCTTGTAGCTCAAGAGCATACCAAGCACTTTGTAGAATGTATACTGTTAATTATTATCTATACTACATATAAAGCTTGAGGAAAGGGTTTGGGGTTAACATTTATCTTCACTTTATGAACTTCTTTTTTTATCCTTATAGAAACTACTATTACTTTAACCATCTATAACTACCCATGACTATTTTTACATTTAACTATTTAAGTATATGTTTTCAACATAATTATCCCTTCTTCAATAATAAAAATTTTATTTAAAATATGACCATAAATATTATGTATTTTTTGATTGCACACACATTGGGTGTGCATTGAGCAGTAGTCTATGTAAAGTATTATGGAGTGCAACTGGACTGGATTAGCGTTTACGGAGTTTGTTGCTGTTGCGCCTGTTGTCTCCTAAGTTGAGAGAAGTCCTTCAAACTTTGCATGGGGTTTTATATGCTCTTTAAATGTGATGCGAACTAGTTCAAACCTTGCATGGAAGACTTTGTGAGACAATAAGTGGGCTAACAGTGAAAGAAGTGACCCTCTAGTTACCAGTGCATATTTGAATTATTACTTTACCCTTCATTATTCTCGCGGTGAATATCTGCTTTAATAGCAGACACAGACTAAAATGTAGGAAAAGAAAAACTCTTGAGAGATTTGAAGAACGCACAACAGTAAAATCAAATGGCTTTGTTGTGTGAATTGGACTGGGCAAGAATGTTATCTAGGATCTGCCAAAGATCCAGCGTTGCATTTTCATGTAAAGTTAAGAAGCAAGTAAATCTGTCCTTAGTTATTGCAATAGGGATGGAGTTAGAAGTGACATGAACTTCTTATATCGATTAAAATTTTATGCTGGTTTAATAGCTCTATGGTAGCATACTCTTGATCTGAGATGTAACTTTCTCATGGTGGCTGTTTTTTATGACTTTTAGAGATCGTCATATTGTTTAGCCTTTGAATGACGCATATATTTACCAGGTAGTGCATTTACATGATTAGCTTTTCTTTGCAGCTCCTTTGTCAGAGACTGAAGCTGCCTTGATGGAACATTGAAATTGGGTCTGGCAATTAAAAAAGAACTCCGAGTTTTATACCTTGCTGATGTGCATCCAGGAGTTCTCCATCTTTCACCTTTTTGTCCTTTCTGTTTCTTGATTAAAAAATCATGTCCTAACGAATTTGTATTTGACCTGGTGCTTGTATAATTTTATGCTGCTTTCATTGCTCCCTTCTATTTGTCATCTTATGGTGTCTTGATGTGGGAGAGGAGGGGGCTTGAAGATCTGCATCACATGGTTGGCTTCAAAGATGCATGGGCTTAGAGTTCAAAATATGGCAAGGGTAGCACCAACATGTTCCTCCAGGGCTAAGATGACTTTAGAATCCGATTACCGTGATCTTTGCAGAATTCACCGCCCGGCATATGTTGCTTGAAGCGGGTAAAACTCTCAGTTATTTGGTTGTCTAGCAGGTGTACTGACACTGGGAAGTTGGGTGTTGAAGCTACGTTACTTGTGATCTGTCGCTGGTGGACAGGTACATAAATGCCGAATTAACGCATCGAGTGGTAAAAGTTTGTTTCGTTTGCAGCTAGTTTGAAAAATCAGCAATTACATAATGCTACAGGAACGTTTGTGTTCCAAGTTTTACAACCGAAGCGAGTGCCTTCTGTAGACTAATAACCGAAGGCTAAAATGTACTACTAAACTATGACATGTTGATTAGATGCACTTTAGCAGTCCTCTGCATACTTTTCCTAGATAAGATGCAAATCAAGGAAGTCGATTGGTGATTTGGTGCCTTTTTTTTCTTTTCTTTTTCTTTTCCCCTTTTCACATGAAGAAGTTGTGTAAAATGGTAGTCAGGGCATATGTTGTCCTGTATTTTGCTGTTTTTACATTACAATTGTAGACTTTTTTGGGGTTTGCCTCTAGTTTTGCATCTGTTTATCTGGAAATAGCGAGTTTGACATTAAATTGATGGGAAGAGAAGAGTTGGTTTGCGAGATGTATGTTGTCAAGAATTACACATAATATAGGAGCTGTAGCCAGGGTTGTCTTCGTCCACTAGTGGTTCTGAAAAATCTGGACATTAATACGTTGACCAAGCAATGGGGCAAGGAAATGCACTTTTACTTGTAAATCTTGATTAAATGCCAAAAAGTTGAACCTTTTTATTTATTTTTCTTGGTGGTTTCCTGTGACCTTGTGCTCGGCTCATGTTGTTTTATGGAGCTTATGAAGCGATCAATGAACTAGATGGACTCACTGGGTTATAACCTAAAATTCTCTCCGGCCGCTCTTTGTATTTTCTGCAAGAAAGTTTTCGAAGTTGACATGCACTTTCGATTTGAGCCACCTTCACCCAGCGGCATTGCTTTCGTGATTCAATCGCACTCGGTGAAATCCTTTGTTTGCGCTGTAGGTTGAGAAATGAAACCAGAAGAAACCAAGCAATCCCCATGTTGCCCCCGTAAGGCAAAATGTTTGACGTGCCACCACCACCCCTCCTCTTCGTCCAGAAAATTCATTGCTATGACTCGAAAAGTTTCTACTTCCGCATCATAGCAGAAGTAGTAGTTCCTCTTGTTGCTTGGGCCTTGGGGAAACACAAGTACGTCTTCCACATTGGTTTAGGCCGAAAGTATAAACTCAGTCAGAGCATAAAGTATGGGAATGTGGACTAATAGAGCAGATTAGTAATGGAAATGACTAATAGAATAGAATGACTGGATGCCACTCGATAATTAGCACTCCCACAAGGTAATAACTTTTATCTTGGTCGGTCATCCAAATCCTAATGTCAAGAAATATATAGTAGTGCATTGAAGAATTACTAAATCGCAAAGCCAGGACCAGGAGGAAGAACGGGACTTTTCTGCTCATCAAATTGACTGCCTCACTGGTATTGTTAAAAAGAAAGAAAGAAAGAAAATGACTCTGATTTCACTCAAGCCTCCGGTCATTTTCTATCAACTTCTTGTGGAAGAAGGTTTACTCTCAACTTGGATATGAAGGCTCTTACCTAATACATTCTTAATTAACAAGTAATCAAGATTTCACTAACTACAAAGGAAGCCTCCGGTCATTGGTAGATTGAATTTCAACGACCGAATAAAGGAACCAAAAAAAAAGAAAAGGTATTCTTCAATTTTACAAAAAACACTTAAAAAAGAATTATTCTATTCTATTTTATTTATAAAAACTTAAATTTTATATAGCGTAAAGGGTGAGGTGATAAATATCAGAGTTCGATAATGGGCATACCTTTCTACTAGTCTCCTAAGATACACGGAGTAGAAATAAGCAAGAATGATTGCTCGCACATATTATTATTATTAATTTTTTTTTTCTCAAATTCAACTGGTAAAAAGAGTTGTATAGTGCTATTCCACTTTGCTCAGCGCCGCGCGTCGAGAGAAAAGCGTGGGGTTTCTCTGCCTCATTGCAGAAAATTGAAATTCCAATTTCACCCATCTGCCATCAACGGTACGCCAACAAGTGACGTGGATGGGAAATACAACAGCTCTGTCGATTGTAAAGGGCAAATCGGGTCCAATCAATTGCAGATATCCGGAAGTGAGAATAAAAGGGGGAGTACGTACACTCGCTACATCGTATGATGGTCGTGGCATTTTCCAGTTTCAGCCTCTGAGGTTGAATTTTTCAGGGCAAAATTTTTTTTTTTTTTCTATTTGGTTTAAGCAAAAGAAAAAGAAGAAGCCAAAAAGGAAAGTAAAGTTAGTGGAAAGAAAATGAAAGAGGAAATCACACAATAATAAGAAAGAAGGTACGTAACAAACCAAGGAATAGTAGGAGCGTTTGAGAAGAGAGAAAGAAAGTACATCGTCAAAAACTACATCCACCCAGAGATTGCTTTCCTTTCCTCTATTCTAACCCCCATCTTCCCTTTTCCCTTCTTTTCTCCTTTCTCTTTTCTCTTTCTTTTTTTTTTTCCCATTTCCCCCATTCTCCCTCGAGTTGGTCTTTTTACGGATTTCGATCACTGACCCAACTTACGAAGACTCTAATTATCTTTCTGCAGTTGAAATCTTTTGTTGCTTTATCTTATTAATCATCAATCCAGCTAATAGACTTCATGTAAGCATCAAATTAGTCATAGCCTTTATGTTTCCCAGTCTCCCCCCCCGCCTCTGTATTTAAGTTTTTGAAACATTTCCTTTGTATTTTTGGTGTTTTTTAAATGGCCCTTTTGGCGTTTTTACCTTTTAATTTTCGGGTGTACTGTTTTGATGCTTCTTTTAGGTGATCTTGATGAAGAATGCTATCTGGGTTTTGTAGATCATGCCCAGATCTTGATGTCCCTTGATCTAGCCGACTAGCTCTGGTTCTTTTTCAGACTGGAGATTGAGGATATCCCAGGTGAATAAACGTCAAATATGTCAAATTTTGCGACTCCATTATGATATTTTTTTTTTTTTAAGTTTTAGGAATTTTTTGATAGTTTGAAAAGTTTAATTTGTTTTATACGTCCGGCTTTTTGGGTTTTATGTCTATTGGGTGCTTTTGTAAACAAATGGCTCCATCTTTATGCTAAATGAGCACGAATGGTGGGGAAAAGCTGCTATTTTATGTAATTGTATGCTAAAATGTTGGGAAATCTGCTTCATACAGCTTTGCTATTTTGTGATTTCCTGTCAATTGAATTAGATTTTCATTTTTCTTTTTGAATCACATATTGCCGCAGAATGGAAGAGACTAGATACTCCAAGGCTGCGACACCTTTACATTAAATGGTGCACACGTGATGGTGATTTTGTGGTCATGAGAATGAGTAACTTAAAAATAGGGATGGAGTTCTTATAGGCCTCTGCTAGTTGCTTTAGTTCTTTTGAAGATCCGATTTTTGCATTTATTTTAGCTTTATGTTGAGCCTTGTGGTCTGAAAGTAGTTTGCTTGACAAGGGCCATTGAGTTGTCGGTCGTACCTTAAGTGATGATCAAACAGATACTCAATAGGTTGCCACGGAAGCCATCTAAGTCGGCTGAGGGTCGTGATGGAGGACCACCTACTTTCTCTTCCAATGCTTCAACTAGTTCGAGGAGCAATGACCTCTCCAATTCTCGGTCAGGGAATTCAAACGCCACATCTCTTGCAGTTGCTTCTAATCCAGGATTAAATCATGGGAATAAGCTTCCCCAAGCTTTAAACATGAAGGTGAATGGTAATCTAGCAGTTTCTCCTTATGAGCCTTGCCTAGCTTTCGAGATGTCCCAAATTCTGAGAAGCAGAATTTGTTCATCAAAAAGCTGAATTTGTGTTCGGTTGTGTTTGACTTTACTGATCCAACAAAAAATTTGAAAGAAAAAGATATTAAGAGACAGACATTAGTGGAGCTTGTAGACTATGTCAGTTCTGCAAATGGAAAGTTTACTGAAACTGTCATGCAAGAAATCATAAAGATGGTATCCACAAATTTGTTCAGAACACTCAGTTCTCAGCCTCGGGAGAACAAAGTCTTAGAAGCCTTTGATGTGGATGAGGAAGAACCTCTTATGGATGCTGCATGGCCCCATTTGCAAGTTGTGTACGAGTTCCTTCTTAGGTTTGTTGCCTCGCCAGAGACAGATGCAAAATTAGCTAAGAGGTATATTGATCACTCTTTTGTTCTGCGGTTGTTAGACCTCTTTGATTCAGAAGATCCTAGAGAAAGGGAGTATTTGAAGACTGTCCTGCACCGCATATATGGTAAATTTATGGTGCACCGCCCTTTTATCAGAAAAGCAATCAACAATATATTCTACCGTTTTATTTTTGAAACTGAGAAGCATAATGGCATTGCTGAGCTTCTGGAAATTTTGGGTAGCATAATCAATGGTTTTGCTTTGCCACTGAAAGAAGAGCACAAACTCTTCCTTGTGCGTGCGCTTATTCCACTTCACAAACCAAAGTGTATACCCATGTACCACCAGCAACTTTCTTATTGCATCACTCAGTTCGTGGAAAAGGACTGCAAGCTTGCTGATACTGTAATAAGGGGTTTATTGAAATATTGGCCAATCACAAACAGTTCAAAAGAGGTTATGTTCCTGGGGGAACTGGAAGAGGTACTGGAAGCAACTCAACCTCCAGAATTCCAGCGCTGCATGGTTCCATTGTTCCGCCAGATTGGTCGTTGCCTGAGCAGTTCACATTTTCAGGTTGGTAGCTTTCCTTGGGCCATTGTCAACCTTTTTCCTCAGCCTAGTTGTCCAAAACCACCTTTAAACCAAGTTGGGAAATGCAATTTTTGTTGTGAAGTTGAGCTGTTGTCCTTCTTTTTGGCATGATTAAAATTGATTTAGCTATCTCCTGCTCGTTATATGATTGGAGAGCCAAATTTTTATCTAGAGTGTGTGGACATAAACGAGTAGTGGTTATATCAAGAGAGACATTAGCATTTTTTATCTCCTGATGTGGCATTTTCCACTACTTGTAGCGCACTGTAAGTGTAGGTTGATGCTTTTACCATTTATTCTGCCATGTTAAGCATAACGTCAATGATATCCAAGAAGGATAAAAGCATCTGCTTCAAGACTGTTGCAACATCTTAGTGGAGGAATAAACTGTCTACTGAATTTGCAGCTCTAAAGTACATAAGAATCTTTATGACAGCAAACAATGGGTTGGCGTGAATTACACTTGAACAAGGGCAACTGATCTCATCAGCTTGACAACTCTTTAACTTTAAAACTTGGGGCTTGAACAATTTGAAATAATTTAATGTAAAAATTTGAGTTTAGAAAAATGATTTTCCTTCAATCATCCTAGCCAGCAGAAGTAAGTACGTCCTGTTGAATATCAGCCATGGTTTGTTATGCTTCAGTGATAGTACCAAGTAAAACTGCAGTGATGTTGTTTCTGGTAACTGCCTTAAATGATACGCCTGCTACTTTCACTTTACATTTCAAGTTTGACATTTCTGGTATCCTTCCCCTGTGTATATCAGGTGCTCCTTAGATACAAATAATTGATGAACTTTGGGGATTCTTCATTTCTGGTCAACCACGTTAGTCTGCTAGGACCGTCTGAGTAAATCAATTCCATCGCCAATAATATAATCCCCGTGTTACTAAATCCTGCCATATCTGTTAGATCGATAGTTCAACAGCAATTATTGAGTTGGTTAGCTGCATTGTTCTTGCCCATGGATTAGCAATGAATGCATACGGATTTATTACCACGAGCCCAGATAACCTTCGCTGCATATCTGTTTCAGCATGCGCTGTAGCCTGTGAATTGTTTTCAAACGTTTCTGCATGTTGGCCTTCTTTCTTTTATGAACTTTTGCAGTAATTGAAGGCCCAAAGTGTCAGAGTGACATGATTTATTTCTTTTATACTCAGTAAGGTTGTATGGACATCTAAGCCTCTGTTGACATCTTCTGCCGGGAAGTGCATGATCACAAGTATATTTCAACTTGGTAGATGATCATTGAGTATGGTGGGAGTTTAAAGTTTTTATCCCATGCATCATTGTCATAAATTTCAACTCTTAGAAAGACTTTTATTGGCATGATAGAATAAGTAAAGTAGTTTTGTGTCTCTTACGAGGTTGGTATCTAATATCACTTGACAGAAAGCGTGCTTCATCTTGCCCATACTCCCAATACCCGTATGTTCACTTCCAAGAAGGTAAAATTATTTTACCTGATGACAAGTTGAATTCCTCAGAGGCACTGAATAACATGCCTGCTGTTTTGATTGATTTTAGTGATTAATCCCTTTCTCTCCACTTTAAGAGGATGTCTAAATGGAGTTTGTGGAACTCCATCCTTCCAAATTTCAGCAGCTTCATTCTTGTATTCCCACCCTTTCCATCTAGTGGTGGGCTGCTGGGTTGGACTTGGGAGGGAGGTTTCAGGACTCCAATTTCTTTCCTTCAGCAAATGTTTTTCTTTAGAAGTCAAACTCAGATAGCTTATAGTATCTTGCTTGCCACAAATTTTACACGTCTGGGATTTACCAATTTGTTGTGATGATTTCTAAAACTGATACAAGAAAATATTGGTTTATGGAGCCAGCTTGCCTTGTGAACTTAAGCGTGCAAGTTACTTACTCTCTCTCAAATATAACATTATTGGACTCTTGCATCAACAGGTGGCTGAGAGGGCTTTGTTTCTGTGGAACAATGATCACATAGAGAACCTAATCAAACAGAATCGTAAAGTCATTTTGCCAATTATTTTTCCTGCCCTGGAAAAAAATGCAAGAAGCCACTGGAATCAGGCAGTGCAGAGCTTGACCGTCAATGTTCGTAAAATTTTCTCGGACACCGACCCTGAGCTTTTTGAAGAATGTTTGCTCAAGTTTCAAGAAGATGAAGCACAAGATAAAGAGGTTAAGATGAAACGAGAAGCAACATGGAAACGTTTAGAGGAGATTGCTGCAATGAAAGCTGCAAGTAATGAGCCAGTCCTCGTGCCGCGTAGGTTACCTTCCCACACACCATCTGGCTAGAGATTGGAGCTTGTTATTTGAGCGACTGTCTCCTTTGATTTTCTGACTGGTGTGCTGACCAAGCAGGTGTATTTTGAGTCATGAGGTCTAATGTGAAGAAGGTTTGCATATTTCTTTAAATGCTTCCCTTCTTGTACTTGAAAATTTTTTGTTGGTCAGGTTCTGTGGTAAAGGAAACCACCGTGGATCCATAAATTGTCCTCATTCTGCTTTAGATGGAAAGACTGTATATATGGAACTGGTTGGACAAAGTACATTTGAGGTTTATGTCTGCACTGTTATGTGGAGGCATTTTACTTGGCAGATTTGGACTTTTGATTATTAGTTTTTAGAATGATGACTTTGAAAGGGCTTCATTTTGCAGATGTCGGTTTAGATATTTTTGAATTTGGTTTCATTTGTGTACTCTTAAATATCCAATCATATGTGTATCATTGTGATATGTTTGGGAGCTGTGATCTGATATGAAAAGTTCTCTGTAGATATTTTTTACTACTATGATTTAAGTACAAAGCTGCAACTTGTGTTTTCTGACATTATGCTTCAATCAAGATGTTTACGAGTTTGATGGGTTGCTTACGAAGAGGAGAAGCTGATTTGGCCAAATAACTCAAGATGTCTATTCGGACTCTCGAGTTTTAGCATTATGATAGGAGGTAGATGAACGTTATGCCTGTCTCTTCTCGACTTTGATTGAATTGAATTCTAAATAACTCCTACATCTGTTTCTTGTGAGATGGCTGCTTGCCGACTGAAAATTTCTGCAATCTTCGTTAGATTACCGTTCATCTAAAATCATTTAGAGCCCTGTTCTGCTAACCTTTTTATGATCATGTCTTCTTCTGATATGCAAAGGTCTACCATTGGGTACATAATGCATGAACTCCTGACCCAAGAAATTCAACCAACTTTTTGGAGGATGTCAAATGTTCTGACGACATAACTAAATTGAGTGGCATAATTGAGCTTTATCCGACCACGGGATGCATGGTTTTCCTACCTACCAATGACCATAACCTTTGGCCTTCCATCACTCTGTGTTTGAAACCTTCGTGCTATCAGCTGTTGATGGTTGTGATCTATGGGAACGAATAACACCTGTTATCAGCTTCTGCCTCAGAACTCCTGAGGTTGTGGTTGGATAACTCCTGAGTTATTGTAGCTTACATTATTATTTTGTCACTTGTCATCATCTACATTTACACCTACTCTAACCTATACTAGGTTTCAGTTTATGCTCCTACCTATTATCTGGATATACTAAGAAAGATGTACGGTCTAATGAGGCTACTATGAAATATTTACTCATGGGTGGGGCCTGGTAAGGTTGTTCGCCTTGCATCGAATTATCTATCGAGCCGTTAAAAAGATTCAACAAAAGACAGAAACAAATTCACTATTTGTTTTACGTCAAGCAATAAGTGGAGTAACTTCCGATATAACAATATGCTTCTGGCCGGAATCTTATTAAAAATGGGAGCATAGTGGATCCTGCTCTAATAGCTCCGAATAAATTAAATACGTGCATTAAGGAATTGGGGTATGGATGGAATATAATGAAATAGAGCCACTTTGAGTTTCCCTCTGAAATGAGGCATGAAATATTTTTATTTATCATTAATATTACCAGACTCAATACACAACTTTTTATTGAATCAATAAAAAAAATTATGGCAAATTTGACTTCATTCATTTTGTTTTTCTTTATGACTTTTTCTATAACTATAATCCATGGATAAAATAAATACGATAAAAGCCAATATATATTATAAGGACAAAGGGAATCGATGGGAATTAAATCACCATCGAATCGTACGGATGCACAACGCCCATATATATCTTAAGTAAACCACATTAAGTGACAACTTTTTGATGGGATCCTTGCATGCCTTCCATCCCCGCACTAAAGGTGGTGGCCAACTCCGCCAAAAGAGTTGGTTATTGTAGCTTACATATTATTTTGGTGGCGGAGGAGGAATAACTTGTATCATGTGGCGAAGTAATCATTCTGACCACTCTCTAGCCTCCACTCTTCTAGAGGGAAGTCTCAGTATGATGAAATACCGAAAGAGCGCCTGGTAAAGTTGTATACTTTCGTCACCGCCGCGCAAGAAACGACACGTGCATGATGGCTTTCAAGGGTGGCCGTGCGTTCGGGGAAGGGCACCCTCTCTAACCACTATTTCGGGCAACCGCTGCACATCAGGATTTGCTTCAGAAAAGTGCTCAGGAAGAGGAGGATCACGAAGGTCCCCTTCTCGTTCCAATGTTCCCCCAAGGGACAGTCGCCTTCTCTAGCAGGTAGAATGCCGAGCGCGGTTGTTGTTCTCTCAAGGCACAAACGGTTTGGCACTTTTGTGTGCGCGCGGTCGCGTGTGGAATCCCCAGCGACTGCCTTGAACCGTGAAAGAGGTCATTAGTATTGAAAGACAAACCAAATTACTAGATACTTGTTGTGTTGATGTTAAGTCGGGATCTATGGTAGTGTCATAATAATCCGAGGTGATGACTAGTGTTGGATTGATTCAAATTGATTAAGACAAAGACGAAAAGAAAAAAACACTTCTCGATTTACCAACCAATAACTTTCAAACTCGCTTAGTCTTGTTGGCTCAATTGGTGTAAAATGTGAAATTTATGTGTAACAAATCCAAACGGCTCAAACTTGAATTGATTTTGATTCAATGAAAATTGGTTTGAGTTTGACAAAGTGGCAATGCTTACGGCTTAGGTTTCGTTTGATAAAACTGAAATACTGAAATAATTCTGAATTCTGAATTCTGAAGTCTTAATTCTGAAATTTGAATACTGAAATAATTAATTTGCTGAATTTTAAGCACTGAAAAAATATATGAATGTCTGAATTTTAATGCTAAACCTATTTATACTGTTTGATAAATATTTATAGCTGAATGTTTAATAAGTTTAATTTGACAATTTTGCCCTTATATCCTTTCATTCAAAAAAGAAATAGAATTTATGATTTAATTAGTTTAAAATTGTAAGGTATGAAAATGACAATATTTATTTTAAATCAACTTAATATAAAAGATGAAATATATTATATGAGAAGTATGGAGAAGATGTAAAAGTCATTAAAAAGGGAAAAAAAAGAAACTAAAAATCATTAGATAGAGAATCTTAAGTTGTTTAATTAGATAAGAATTTTGAACATAATTAACAAACAAGGATAAATTTGGTAGATAAGATAAGGTAGTTGAAGTAATTCTATTGATTCTTATCAGAATTAAGCATTCAGTTAGGATTCTTGCGCTGAAAAAAATACACAGGTTCAGCACTGCTTAACAAGTTCAGCAAATAGATTTTCATTTATCAAACACTCAAAACATCTGAATGTCTGAAAAAATTCAGATTCAACACTTTTTTATATTATCAAATAGACCCTTAGTTTGAAAGTTTGAGAGAGGGGAAAAAGAGAAGTTAGGAGTCTATTAAGGAAAGAAAAGGAAAGATTTTAAGAGAATTGAAGTGGTCAATTGATAAACTTCTCTCCATATGGAGAGAAAGTGCAAAGTAAAAGTATTGGAACTTTTGAAACACCAACTTTTTTTTTTTCCAAAATAAACTTGTCAAGCAAATTTTAATAAAAATCATGTCCTAAATCATTCCATTTCTATCTTAAAACTCCAAAACATACTCACATTTTTTTCTCCTCTCTTTTTATTATAACTCAAAATTTCTTTTTATTTTCCATGCTCTTGTAAACTTTCAATCTAGGACTTAGAGTCTCCCTAAAAAAAAAAAAATTCTTCAACCCTAGCGTCATTTCCATTTGTGCATGAGAAATTGAGGATAATACTCTACATATAACATCCAAAATGTGAAATTCATGCTCTTACCCTTTCTTGGTTGTAAGTAATTTTGATGGTAGGAAATCAACAAATGCTTAGCTAATTTATACTCGATTTATCATTTAAATGCATACAATCATAGCTAAGTACTCCCTTATAATGAGTGCTCATTATACTCTTGAATCTTGATGCACAAACCCCAACTACATAATATATATTTTTTCCCTTTTCTAAAGTTAGGGGTAAGAATTGTTGTAAAATTTATTGTAATTTGTAAAAACTAAAAAGTCGAGGGGCAGTTTAAAGCAACGGCCGCCAGATGCGGCACATCCGCAACACCTGCTGCTTGAGTTTGACAACAAAAATAGACCCCAGGAAGAAGATCAATCCTCTTCCTCTGGGGAATTACCAACGACAAAATATCACAACAGCCACAGTTCCCCAGGAAACATCCGAAAAGTAAAACTTACACTGCTACTATTTGCGCCTTACTGCTGTTGTTGATTGGAAAAACGAGATACTAAAAGAAAGGAGATACTAAATACGAGTAGTAGTAAGTAAGTAAGTATGTCCATTCCATGAAAATGATAACGATGATAAATTTGTAATCTTCTCCAGCCACCGTCTTTTTTGCCACCTCTCTTCCTCCCTCTCCCTCTCTCTACTCCAATCATCGGTTTGGACGGTAACCTGCATCCCAAAAGAAAAACTAAACCCCAAAAAAAAAAAAAAGGTGCAATCTTGCCGTTTGTCAGAGCCCGAGATTCAATTCCTGACTTCACTTGGATGTTGTGAATCGGAGTTTCGAATCTAGTCAGCTCAATTCAATCTTTTCCGTCGAAAATCGGTATTTTCCTGGGTTGTTGCGGTAAACATGTCTTTGTTATCGAGATAAAGATTAGAATTAGGGAAATGCCGAGCGTCGGTTTGAAATTGTACAGTATCTATTTTAAGTTTATGCTGAAGCAACGGTTGCAGAACCGACTGCAAAACCCTCAAGCCGATGATGGCCTCAGCTCATCCTTTGGAGTCACCTCTCGTCCTCGTGAGGAGTCCATCGCCGCCGCCAATCCTTCCTTCACCGACGGAGTTGCCACCAAGGACATCCACATCGACCCCTTGACCTCTCTTGCCCTTCGAATCTTTCTTCCTGACTCCTGCCACGATTCCGCTTTCAAGTCCCAATCCATCAAATCAAGGGCTAAGGATATTCGACCATTCGATTATTCTGATCCCAGATCCGATCCGAACCAACTTCTTCTCCGGCGGAACAGCTATGGCTCTGCCAATGGAGTCACTACCACGACGCCGACCGTGACCGTCCGGACTCAGAATCATCGGAGAAATAGCTATGGCTGTAGCAGTGACGATGTCAATTTGAAATCGGATAGTGGGGTTTACGGAGGATATAATCCTGGAAACAAAAATTGTCGAAAATTGCCCGTTATGTTGCAGTTTCACGGTGGAGGGTTCGTGAGTGGGAGCAATGCTTCGGTGGCGAATGATTTGTTTTGCAGGCGGATTGCCAAGGCGTGTGATGTCATTGTGTTGGCTGTTGGTTACAGGTTAGCCCCTGAGAATCGGTATCCGGCTGCATTCGAGGATGGGTTGAAGGTGCTGCATTGGTTGGCTAAGCAGGCCAACTTGGCCGAATGTAGCAAGTCCTTGGGGAGCAAGCGGGGCGGTGGGCCAGATTTGAGAAAGTCAGATGTTCATGGGCACATTGCAGATGCATTTGGGGCATCCATGGTGGAGCCATGGTTGGCTGCTCATGGCGATCCATCAAGGTATGTTTAGCTGGTGCTGCTATCTTTCCATCTTGTTAAAGACCTGAAAAGGGTGCTGTTTATCTTCTTTTACTGGTTCTGTGTGCTTTAATTGGCTTGCGTCTATTATGGATCATTCTTGCGAGAATGTTAACGATACCAGTTGTAATGGCATGGTCGCTAAAGCATGGTAATGTATAGATAATACGATGGTACCAGAGCTTCCTAAAATAAGGCTTGCAATTTTACTCTGAAAGCTTTTCAAGGCATCCTAACTTATTGACTATTACAATGACATCCTTCTCAAACAGTTGATTACTTCATTACTATCTTCACCATAATATACACGCACGGCCTTTTCTTTTCTCCCCTTGTTCTTTATTACGTGATCTTTGATAGTTTGGTAAGGTTTAGAATTTTTTGAAACAATAACAGTAAAGACTACAAAGGCTAAGTTCGGTATTGACGTCTCTGGAGGGTAATAATGGTGAATCTTGTTCAGAAAATGAGCACAGGCTATCAGAAACTAACAACCCTAAGGTTTCTTCTTGTTGAATGTAATTAAAAGGTGTCCATACATTGCTACTGAAAATTAGCAGCCAAGAGGCGTAGCTGTAGTTTCTTCTTGTTTTATTTAATTAAATGATCATGCTGATAGTGAATTTGGTCACTCTGGCATTTCTGCGAGGTAGCAATCAAGTGGGAAGTGTATAAAAAAAGAAAAAAAACTCTTAGGAGAAACCAAACATTTGGCCTTTTAGTTCAAGAGTGTTCTTTGTCCCCCCAAAGCTTGAGAAATCATGACATTCTTTGGTTCTTTATTTTCTTAATTCTTTAAAAATGAAGGGTTACGTAGCTTCTTCTTCATCATTTTATGTTTCTTCTATAATACTTCCAATGATGAACATCCATAACATTCTTTTGTTTTGCTACATGCTGCAATTGCATACTTCAGGCACTCTGACCATATTATTTTACTTTGACATTATTTGTTTAGGCTTTGATATGTTTGCTGCAAGAAGCTCACTAGATCAATTCATCTGAGAATGTGTCCTCAATCTGCTAGATACCCAAGATTTATATTTAGATGGAACTATCAAGAGCAAGATAGATGTGTACTCGTAAATTAATTAGTTAGTTGAGAATGCCATTATGTATCTAGCACACTCCCCTCCACCCCATCCCACGGGTGGGGGGGGAGAAGCTGCTTGTATTGTTTTCTTTGTTTTGTTAAGGCAGTATCAATGAGTCTCTTTTATCTTTTGAAACAGATGTGTTCTACTTGGTGTGAGTTGCGGGGTAATGTTGCTAATTATGTGGCTCGAAAAGCCGTAGAAGCAGGAAAGCTTTTGGACCCAGTCAAGGTGGTGGCTCAGGTTTTGATGTATCCATTTTTCATTGGAAGTGTTCCGACACATTCTGAAATAAGACTAGCAAACTCCTATTTGTATGACAAGTCTATGTGCATACTTGCGTGGAAACTATTTCTCCCCGAGGAACAGTTCAACCTGGATCATCCTGCCGCTAACCCACTTCTCCCTGACCATGGACCACCTTTAAAGCAGATGCCCCCAACATTGACAGTTGTAGCAGAGCATGACTGGATGAGAGACCGGGCTATTGCTTATTCACAAGAGCTGCGAAAGGTGAATGTTGATGCTCCTGTTTATGAGTACAAGGATGCAGTTCATGAATTTGCAACTCTTGGTATCCTTCTTGGTAGTCCTCAGGCACAAGCTTGTGCTGAGGACATTGCCATCTGGGTGAAGAAGTATATATCACTCCGAGGTCATGAGTTCTCTTACTGAGTTGGGTGTATCTTCCTGCAACGACAGTCTTCACAATAGACTTGTCATCAGAGTGCATGCCGTTGTGGTTTGTACCTGGTTCTTGAGGTGTCTTCTGGTTGAAGAGTATACAGCATCCTGTACGACGGCTATTATGTTATAGCTGCTGATGCTGAGGGTTCAGTTATGGTTCAACTGCACATGAAGCTGTATACCATGGTGTTTTAAGTCTGGCTCTTGTAGTATCAAATACTTTTGAGGTTGTGTTTATTTCTTTTGTTCTTTCTTTCTTTTTGTAAGATAGACACTTGCCGGAGCCCAGGATTCCATTGAATTTTGTCGAGCCACGAGGTTTGTGTTTAAAAGTACCATGGTGGACGGTGATGGCAGAATTTTCCCATGTATTAACTGTACTAGTACTTGTGATTAATAGAATCGACATTTTCATTTTTCAATTTCTGCTTTCTTTCGTTAAATTAATTGTTAGAAAATGTTGAGATGACGTAAACAACAATAATATCAATGAAAGAAAATGCTAATTCAAATCAAAAGTTTATATACATGTGAGTGTAAAATTAAATGTATTGGCAACGTCAAAGAAGGAAGAAGAAAAAGGATGAAAAAGAAAGAAAGAAAATATATGAAAATTAAAATATAAGAAAAAACACAGACAGAGTGAAACTTAAAAGAAAAACATATAACAACGTGGGCATATTTATTTGACATATAAGTTGAGAATCATTAGAAGGTTAGTTGTGATGCTAGTCATTTCGAGGAATTTTTTTTTGTTTTTGTGAAAACATGGAGAAGATTGCTATTAACCCCATATTTATATTGGTGCAATATGTAATTAATTTGAAATATATATATATATATATATCCTAATCAGGGTATTAGAGTCATTTCACCACTATTGATGTCAATAATGGGCTCCAATTGAGTGATCGAAGAGGTATGTGATTTTTTGAAAATTGAAGGAAGGACAGCGATATTATTAAAAATCAAATTATTCCTATAATTTTATGCAAAAAATGCAGAGAGCACATCTTTTTGATAAAAAGGAATTTCATCAACGAACATTGTTATGGTAGAAATCATTTAACACCATTTTTATTTATATCACAAAAATCTACATTAATAGAATAAACATACACTAGAAAATTATGAACAAATTTAAAAAATATAAAAAAATTTAAACCGTCTTTCAATGAGATAAACTCCCTTCTAACATCAACTGCTTTTGATCATTATCAAAAAAAAAATCAACTGCTCATGAGTGATCATTGCAGCTCCCTCCTTCCGGTCTTCAGATTTAGCTAGGATTTAAGGAATATTTGTTGTCCTATCTCACGTTCATATTTACTCTCGGCGCTGAGCATTTTTTTTTCCGACTCAAAGCAATTGACTTTTGTGGAATGAAATAAACCTAATCGGCGCTAAGCATTTGCGGTGTCCTCTCTTTGATCTTGTCCGTCGTAACTCTCAACAATTCCCACCAATTTTTTTTTTTTAAAAGAAACCTTCCTTTTTTAAAAAAAAATCTTGATTAAAAAAGAAAAGTTACAAGTGCGCAGCCTCTTTTTAAAAGAACGTTGAATTGTTGTACCTTTATTGGGATTCCCAACGTGGCGTCGTCTAACTGTGTAGGCCAGACTCTGGGTCAACCCAAATATCTGTCGGGCCTGGGCTCAACACATCACAGTAGCACTTAGCACCTGTGACGACGACTGGGTGGATCACCCGCCACTTTCACAAATTAGGGATTCCTTCCTCAAAAAGGCAATGTCTTAGTACGTGGATTAACTCCCCTATCATCGTACTGAAAATAGTGTGATGAAAATGGTAGAATAATCAAAGATTAGCAGCAGTATTAATACTACTACTACTACTTACTCATGCATCAGCACTTCTATTCTACTCATCTGCTACTGATAGAAGATTGTACTACTCTGTTAGTCCATCTCTAGTACAGCAAGCCCATCCTTTTCCTAGATCTCTTATTTTTCAGCTGGGTATTCAGCCTTCTTCATTTAAACCAAGAAAAAAGAGCAAACTTTCTTGGTGGGTTTGTTTCTTTGAGGATTGCTTCTCTTTCTTTTGCTGTCCGAAGCTGAAGGGAAGTGGAGACTACCAGCATTGGATCATTATGGTCCATCATTGAAGTACATCTCCCTCCTCATCCGGTTTTCTTGATTATTGCATTCCCCCCCCCCTTCCCCCGCTCTGTAATCGACAATCCAATGATTACTATGTGCAACTATGATAGTCCTTTATGTACTTATATTGAGTTAGATAAACTTGTTACCGCTCATTTCAACGTTCATTTTCTTTTCCTTTCTTTGAGTGGTTCTTGTGTCTAGCTTTTAAAGTGGCAGTTTAAAGCTATTTCGTTGATTGTTTGGGTTTTTCTTTAAGGATGGAACTCATTTTGGGAATCAGATGAAAGAAGTTCAAGATTTGGTTTGGGCATATATGGGTAATAATCCAAGAATGCAAGGTTTGATAACTAGAGTAAGATTGGCAGCTGTAGTTGGAATTGCCGTATGGATAAGCCTTGCGGGGTTGATTCACTTGCTAAAACCGGTATCCAATGGTTGTATTATGACCTACATGTATCCCACTTACATCCCTATTCTCCGCACCTAAAAACGTGTCTTCCGCCAAGTATGGATTGTACTTGTACCATGAAGGATGGAGGAAGATTGATTTTAATCAGCACATCAAGAAGCTTAATGGGGTTCCTGTTCTTTTCGTACCTGGCAATGGTGGAAGCTACAAACAGGTAAGTCTTTCGCTTTCTTTTTTCTGTTATTGTCATTTCCTTACCTAGTTCTCCTGATTTATGAATTTCCCATTTTGGAGTCTTGGTTTGTTCGAGTAATTTAAGTCCCATTCATTTCTTATAAGGTTTTCCTCTTACTGCCAAACTTCATCCAAGCAGTGGGCATTACCCTTATATCCTTTATAAGCCTCGTAGGTCAAAATTATCTCACTGGAAATTGTGATTCTGATGTGGAATATGGCATGTGGAATACCTGTACTAACTTGGCAGATTTCGTTTTACCGTATATGACCGAAGGAAATGGATTCCCTGTTAACTTTCTAATTCAACTTTTTCTTTTCCTCCTTCCCTTACAGGTCAGATCTCTGGCTGCAGAATCTGATAGGGCTTATCAAGGAGGTCCACTTGAACATATGTTTTACCAAGAAGCAAGCGAGAATCTTGAAAAGGGAGCAGTAGATTCTGATCTGGCAGATTTTCCCTTACCTAGCCAATATACTCGCATGCTTGACTGGTTTGCTGTGGACCTTGAAGGTGAACACTCGGCAATGGATGGTCAAATACTTGAAGAACACACCAGATATGTAGTATATGCAATTCACAGGGTATTACCTATCATCATTTTCAAAATTCTGGAAGGGTATTCAAAATTTGATGTTTGCACCAACTCAAGAAATGGATGCTTTTAGCATTCTAGTTCATCTTAAATTATTGAGACTTTTTCCACTAGGAAATGCAGTAGCATCAGGCAGTATGTTATCATAACTATTGCTTATTACTCTGAATGGGCTCAATGGGCTACATTCTGCAGAAGCCTTTCTTGCATTCCTATTCTGTGTTGCCTCTTTGGTGCACATAGCTAACTGCTGCAAATTTAATTTATTTGGAAAGTGTTTTTCTTGTAAGTTTTGTGTAGTCTGTCAACCCCCATATTTTTTATGCTTTGACAATGCCAACAGTGTATTGAAAAGGAAGTTTTACATCTTGAGGACATAATAAATTTGATATTTTTTGGTGACTCGTTTTAGCAGCTAAATTGAAATCTCTATTTTAGTAATTAGTCACTTGAATTTGCAAGCTCCCCATTTTGTTTCACTGCCTTATCTTTTGTATCATCAAACTTTGCACAAAGAAATTTCATCCTCTTATAACTTTTCTGCATTGTATTGCTTTTACTATTGTATTTAGGTCTTTCTATTTGTTTGTTATCTCTCGTCTTAGCAGATTTTAGATCTGTATGAAGAGTCTCACAATATTCGAATAAAAGAAGGTGCTGCTTTCTCGGCAAGTCTGCCAAGAAATGTTATATTAGTTGGTCATTCAATGGGTGGATTTGTTGCTAGAGCTGCAATCGTCCACCCTGATTTGAGGAAGTCAGCTGTTGAGACTGTTCTCACACTTTCAACTCCACACCAGTAACTCCAATTCTCATTAAACGTTTCTCTGTTGTTTTTGAAACTCATGCTTTAATCAATACTTGTCATTTCTGCTCTATGTCCAGGTCACCTCCTTTGGCCTTACAGCCATCTCTGGGACATTATTATTCAAGTGTAAATAATCAGTGGAGAAAAGGATATGGGGGTCAAACCTCTCAATCTGGACACCATTTGTCTGACCCTTTACTCTCTCGTGTAGTTGTTGTTTCAATTTCTGGTGGTTATAATGATTATCAGGTATTGTTTCCCTTTGCAACTGTAGTAGGAATGCATTTTTTTGTTTCATTAATTCGATGAAGCTGTAATTGACGATTTCCCATGATTGCATGTTCTTCATGCTATTTGCTTCTTGAGCTTCTTCTTAAAGAGCTAGCTACCATGTTTTACCATGAGAATTGAAGATTTACCTATCTGTGCCATCATTTTTTGCTACCATGCTGTTGATTGTTTTTAGAAAGCTGAGTTGTCTTCCGATTCCGTTTGGCTATCTTTTTGTGAAGTCTAACACGTCACTTTATCTACACTGATGGCACAGAGGTGTTGTAATGGTCATACAATGTCCTTTTATTGTCCTATTTAGCTAGTGTTTGTGTTTTTCTTCATGTTTTGGATGGTAGATTAAATTTTATTCCTTTATGTCCAATCTCAGGTACGATCAAAGTTAGAATCCCTTGATGATATTGTGCCTCCTACACATGGTTTTACCATTAGCAGTACAGGCATGAAGAACGTGTGGCTGTCTATGGAGCACCAAGTTATTCTATGGTGTAATCAATTAGTTGTCCAAGTGAGTTAGATTTCTCTTGTGAGGGCATTTTAACCCTATGAGTGAATCTGATTTTGATGTTTGATATTACTTTCAGGTGTCTCACACTCTCCTTAGTCTGATAGACCCTGAGAAAGGTCAACCTGTACCTGATGTACGTAAAAGACTTGGAATATTCATGAAAATGCTTCATAGTGGGATATCACAAAATTTTGGTTGGTTGGGACAGTCAAAATTGCCCAAACAGTCAATCCCAATTCCTTTTCTTAATGGCAAGGATTATTCTGGTATACCTTGGGTTCTTTTTCTCATATGTTTAGATGTTCTTTTGGTGCCAATCATATGCTACAAGTGAGTCACTGGAAATATGTCTGGAGCAATCTGCGAGAAACTTTTTCCTGAAATTCATTGTGAAAAATTCGATGAAGAGGATGCTAGCACTTCCATGAAATCTCGATTCTTTTTTTTAAAGATTGGTCTTCCTTTGAACTTTGTCTTCTTAAGTTTTATCCTTAAGCAAATTGCAAGCAGTTATGCTTTTCGTGATTGAGAATGATTTTGGCACTTGATGTACTTTTTGGTAATGCAGGATCTCAAATATCACATACATTTTCTTGTCCTAGTCATGTTCATTGGAATGAGGATGGGCTTGAAAGAGACTTGTATATTCAGACAACTAGCGTCACTGTTTTGGCTATGGACGGAAGGAGGCGGTGGTTGGACATTGAGAAGCTGGTAAGCTCATTCCACATAAACAGAAATTAGTTTTAAATAGTTTCCACTTTCAGGGTTGAAAGTGGTAAGCTCATTCCACATAAACAGAAATTAGTTTTAAATAGTTTCCACTTTCAGGGTTGAAAGTGGTAAGATCATTCCTGTATCTACTTGTAGATTAAAATGGGCAGATTTTGATTAACTGATCAGGGCTCAAATGGAAAAGATCATTTTGTCTTTGTTACAAATCTTGCCCCATGTTCTGGAGTTCGACTTCATCTTTGGCCTGAGAAGGAAACTTCAAATTCTGAGTTTTCTCTTAACCAACGAATTTTGGAGGTTACATCAAAGATGGTGCATATTCCATCAGGTCCAGCTCCAAGGCAGGTAGTACATGATATGTACCTCTTATGTCACCAGGACCTTGCTGAAAGTAAAGTTTTCTGTAGCACGTTAGGTTGTACTACTTATTATGTCTGACTACGCACTTGTTCAATAGATTGAGCCGGGTAGTCAGACAGAGCAAGCACCTCCTTCTGCTGTATTGTGGTTGGATCCGGATGATATGCGTGGCTTCCGATTCTTAACAATTTCAGTGGCACCTCGCCAGGTATAGTCTTTTCGAAGCTACTGGCTTGTTGCTCCTCCTTTTCTTTCTTTGTGATTCCATTAAGTTGAGGGGTCTAATATCTTTTTGCATTTTGTTTTACTATCTGATTTTGGATCTATATAGTTTTTTAACATGCTTCACAGACAGGCTCAACGACAGTAGCAGGCTCTGGAATTGAGTGCTGTAGTCTGTCTCTCGTATATTTCTTTATGTTTGTAGCAGTCTCATTAGAAGCTGCAATATGGTTACCAAGTATTTTATCTCAAGCATTTTAATCTCCTTCAAAGTCTTCTTTGCATGCTTTGTAACATGCTCTGAGACTCTGTAATTTGCATTTGCAGTGAATTATCTAGCGTCTTTTGTATGGGAACTTCTATGGCTTATTTAATGGACTAGATTTTCCGCAAAAATCTTGAAGTGGGTGAAAATTTTGTCTGGATGCAAAACCTGGATTGATTAGCTTATTGGTTCATGGTTGGGCAAATGTTGTGTGTTGAGACAAATCATAGTTATAGCCTTATAGGTAAATATATCGCTATTTTTATTGGCAATTATGAATCCTGTAAAGTAAACTTCAGGTCTAATATCTCTTTTGATATCAAATGATTGTTTGCTTTCTTATCCATTGGCTGTATCTGGTGGCCTTATTCTTTTCAAAAAAACTGGAGGGAATAATGCTTTTGTTGTCATGGCATTCAATTTATTTATCATGTTAGTCTTACTTAACTGTTATTGTCTGAGGGTTTTAGCCTTCTTCAAATGATAATTCTAAGGAATTTCTAGTAGTATTGATTAGATGAAGATAAAAGAGATGATGGAAGGTAGGGGGAAAACAAAGTTGCTCCCCATAAACTGGCATGTAAATCTGAGTGTCTGAGCTCGATTGATGTAGAAAGTTGTCCTACTGTTGTGCTGGTTCTTTTTGCACGTGATTGCTGTGCTGGTATACATGTCAAAAACCCGATTTTTTTTGCTGCCTTTAAATCCTCTACTTTGCCTATCTCAGTAGGAAATACGAAGACTGGTTAATTGGATTAAGTACACCACTACTTTATCAACGCATTTCAATTTAATTCTACAGGAGCTTCAATAAATTATTTTTGTGTTTTTGATAGGATAGAAAAGAATCCATCAAGCATCATTGAGAATCATATTGATATGCCAGCTGAACATAGTTAGGATTCCAAGTTGTTTGGGTGTGAGACTGATTGATGCTTGGGAAGATTGTTGTCTCTCTAACTACATGGACCCTATAGTACTGTGCGTGGGTACAAAGTGATTGTTTTGGCAGGATTAACTCAGTCTGGTCATCTACATTTATTCTTGATATCAGAGGGCTATTGTTGCTCCATTTCAATTGCAGGTTTACTGTTGTTTGATTTCTGGATTTTGTCAACTTCACACTGCAGCATGTTTTGTACTGTTGACTTCCTCCTGACTGTTTAAATTCTACAGAAGTGATTTTATTGGAATGTATGTAATTACTGAGTGTCAATCTTTTATTTCAAATTCTGAAGTCAAAAAAACTTCATATTTTCCTCTCTTTTTTTTCTATATTATATATGCAAATGGAATTTTTATCCAGAAAAACAACATTTCGTGCTGAAATTCTTAACTTGAGCATTATGCATATTTTTACCTTTTAGTGCTCAGACTCTTTCAGGGAGACCTCCGCCAGCAACTTCCATGGGTGTTGGGCAGTTCTTCAAGACAAAGGAAGGGGAGAGAGTATTCTCTCCTTGGACATTGGTTCACTCCATGTTCTCTCAAAAGGTAATTATGTGCAAGATACAGCTTAATTTCTCAGTATTAGTTGCAAACTTAAGAAGCTTATGATTTCATATACTCAAATTAATGAGTGCTTCATACTTGCGTGATCTAATTCTTACAGGACTTCTTATTGGAGGAGGATCATCCTCTTGGGTTCAATCTATCATTTTCGATAAGCTTAGGTCTTCTGCCTGTGAAGCTTTCTCTGAAAACTACAGGCTGTGGAATAAAGGGATCAGAGTTTCCTCTTGAAGATTCTGGAGAAATTGAAACAAGCAGTAAGGATTATGTTATACTCTCCTGTTCGTCCCTCTCTTCCCCCATTGTTTCATAGTTTCATATATTCAAATGTACATATTTATCTGCATATGGGTACATCTCTAGGTAAACATGGTCTGACCTTGACATTTTCCTTCTGATTGAAACTTTTGTATCTTCCTCAAATATTGTTCCCCAGATCTGAAGTAGTGACTCAGAATAGATTCTCTTTGCGGTGAAGTGATCCTTTTGATTTAAACACTGCAAGAAAATTACGGAATTTAAGTTATATGTGTCAAACAAGTTGTCAGTGGATGGTTATAAAAGTCAGAATCGTCAGACATGGATTCATGTTATTGGAAGGGACTTTTCACCATGAATTGTTAAAGTCAATCACCATGTTATGCATCCACTTAATCTTCCTCTGGCATCCTTTGATGCAGCCGGAACTTCATGTCCATATTATTTCTCCTCTCTCTCTCTGCACCGTGGACAAAAGCAGCTCGTCCTTTTACCTTGTGATTTTTCCTTCATTTATAATTCCAATTCACTTTCAAAAATTCAGGACTATGTAAGCTGCGATGTTTTCCTCCTGTGGCCCTTGCCTGGGATACTACATCTGGTCTTCACGTGTTTCCTAATCTATATTCTGAAACACTAGTAGTGGATTCATTTCCAGCGCTTTGGACCTCTACTCAAGGGTCTGAGAAGACTGTTGTGCTGTTATTGGTAATATTTGTATTAAGCTGCTGCTCGAACTCCTGAAACTATAGTTTTGTTGTCCACTGGGGTAATGTGCTTTAAGCTTAAAGGTTTTTAACTTGCCCTCTGTACAGGTAGATCCTCATTGTTCATATAAAACTAGCATGAGTGTTTCTATGAGTGCTTCTGCTGGTAGATTTTTGCTGTTGTATTTTCCCAAGGTAAATTCATGATTTCTCATCCAGTTAAATTCTTCTTTGAGTTCCAGTGGTTCCCTAGCTGTTTCTTTAGTCCTATGTACTTATCTTATTTCAGCTTCCAGTCTCACCAAGACATCTCCTTCAAATAATATTTTGCCCATATTCCCTTAAGTGCTACAAAGTCTCTATTTAAGACATAATGGAAATGTCAGAAATTTATATTTTTAAAGTTTGGTTTTCTGAAATGACTGACAAATTGTTTATTGGCTTACATGCTTCTTTTTGGTGCCAAAATATGCCAATTTTAAATTTTCTTTACCAATTCATATGGATATGATGCTATGCAGAAACTTACTGCCATCAAATTACAACTGGGCTGTGCCATTAATCATGTGCTTACTGATAATCTCTCTTTTAACAAACACTAAAGGCCTGAAATTCTAGTATATGTCACAAATAAAAAATAGCAACAGAAAGAACAAGATTTAGAAAATGTTATTAATAACAAAGAGTATATGAATATGAAGTATAGACTTTGATGCAATCCACATTTGGGTAAGGTTGAGAAGGATCTATTTGCTTCTTTATCAAACATTGCTTGACTAGAGCTCTTCTTTAATGCAAGAGCATAGTGATTTTTATCTGTTCTTTGCTTGTGAATCCCAAGAGGGGAGAGAAAGTGGCATGTTTATATTTTTTGGCAGAAAGCCTTGATTCATTGCTGATTCTATTTCCAGTCATCTGCAAGTTGTTTATCATTTGCTTGTATCTTGTTTATTTTCTGGAGCTTTTAACTTTCTGGACTGATATGATGCAGATTACTGGTCTTGCAATTGCTGTTGTCTTTTTCGCTCTGATGCAGCAAGCATATGCATGGGAACTTGATATGCCCATACCTTCCTTGCTTTCTGCTGTGGAAATGAATTTGAGAATTCTATTGCCATTCTTAGTTCTAGGCATACTACCTATTTTGGTTGCCTTGTTCTTTTCCTTGTCAAGCTCAGTTTCGGTTCCTCCTTTCTCAATCTTCTTCATTGTCTCAATTATTTGTTATCTCTTCGCAAATGGGGCCATAGTTGTGCTGGTATTGATTTCACAATTGGGCTTCTCTATAGCTGCTGCAGTACATGTTTTCATCAAGAAATGGTTAGTGCTGTTTTTCTTTTTCCTGATTTTTTTATTTGCTCATACATGTGTGTGGTGATTACTCTATGAGGTTAGTGAACAAAAATTGTGGCCAAAAAAGAAAGAAGGCATATGGAGCAGTGATTGGACAACATATGCATTGTCTTTGAGTTGGTGATTGGAATTTCAAGTGAAAGAACTCTAAAGCCATGAAAGAACTCTTTTATCTCCATGGGAAAATTTGAGACCTTTAAGATATAGATGCTGGAATGCAAATGTAATAATTTCCATTGCATCTTCTACATTTTATGTCACCAATGTAAGCTAACAAAGGAAAGCATGGGGGAAGAGGAGTGTATGCTATTTTTTTTTTTTAATCTGTAAGACTTCTTTCATTTGAACACCTCTGTAACACTTATAAAATTAGGAGAAACTGGATGACTTCTTTGACATCTGTTGATTTTTTCTTTTGTTACCAGATAATTCTGCTCCCAATTTGAATTTTCTCAAGTTCCTAAATGGGCTTTTATTAACACGAAAGAGTTTCCCATGCTTTTTATCCTTGTCAAGTTAAGGCTAAACATTTTCAAATAAACAAGGGGCATGATCTTCTCTACTATCACTATATACTCGCTCTCTTTTTGGGCTGTGGTGAAATAGCATTCCAGCTTATGTATCAATTCACTAAGTTTTTTCCTATCTTTTACCAACTTCTCAGACTGTATTTCTATGTAAAAGTTTTTTTTTTTTTGATACCAAAGCCCTCTGGTTTTTTTCTGAGGTTTTCTTAAGAGGTTTCTGTGGTGAGATTTTCTTAGACAGTTTAGATATGTGTGGTGAAATAGGTTTTCTGTGATTTGCCATCCTTAATGAACTTTGCAGGGCCTTCTGTCATCACGGATCCAATCAGTACATTCTGTAAATGTGTAATTATTACATTTTGGTTTTGCTAAACTAGCTTCAAGTCCGCACTGTATGTTTTATGTTGTCCTCCACGTAGTTCACTTTACAAGTTTATCTGCAAGAGCTTCTCTTACAACAATACTCCAGTTGATTCTTTTTTCTTTTTCGATTGTTTCTTTTTGGGGATTTAAAGATGTATAGACAAAAAGAATGGAAGAACCACGCATCATTCTTTCCCGTTGAAGCTTATATTTTCTGCATATCACCTTGGGCTATTCAAAGTATCAAGGAATATGTCTAACAATCTAGTTACATCTCTATAGCTTGCATTCTTTGGTTTTAGTTTCACTTGAGGTTTCTGTTTCATGCTGATCTGTCCACTAAAACAGTGCTATGGTTTTTTGTTTTGCAGGTGGCAAGCATGGGAAGGAAATTTTTCGTTTTCGTTTCTGCACTGGTTTCTCAATCTTTGCACGAGCTTTCTGTCATTTAAGGTAAGTTGAAGTTCAATATTCATTTTCCTGAATAGCAAGTAGAATCATGAGTTATCTAGTTGTGTTTGTTTATGTTTGAAATATGCTTATTTCAAAAGTTTCTTCTGTTCTTGCTCAGTGATTGGCTTCTTTGATTTTCCTTCAAGCTCAAAGCAACTTTTCGGGATTGAAATATTTACTCTCAGATTATTTTGTCCTGTCTAACTTTTGATGAGACAGATTGTGAGGATTATATCGCTCCATCCATTGGCCATTTCATCACTGGTTGCTGTTATATTGGTGTGCTTTGTTCATCCGGCCCTGGGCCTTTTTGTGTTACTCTTGTCACATGCTATCTCCTGTCATAATGCACTTTGCAGGTACTGTCTCTGCTTTAGTCCACAAGTATGAATCATTGATTGTAATGTGGAGCAACTAAATGAATCTGCATTAGCAATTAAATGAATCCAAAAGGCAATGTATGATTAAGCTATAGGTAGCTTCTTAGACATCCAAAGGAAAGCGTGGAAGATTCGGTCAAGAACTAGGGGCTTGTTATTGACTAAGGTGTAAAGAGAGGATGTAAGAATACACCTTGTCCTAGGAAGAAATATTGGCTTCTTAAAGCCAATACGGGGCTAAACTTGATGCTAATGTCTTGTTTGTAAAGAGAGTCAAAAAAAAAAAAAATAGACAATTATGAAGTCCAAGTAGTAGCAGTTTTAGCCCTTGCTTTTACTGTCTTTAAATCTTAAGTAATCTTCAGGCTTGAACATTTTAGGAGAAGGAAGAAACAAAAAATAGTATGAGTTCAATGTGCATCGTCTATGAAGTGTTTTACAAAGAGAACTCTTCATATTCTTTTAGCTCTTACATTTCATGGATTTTGCGCTGCAAACAACGGGCAACTTATGATGTGAGAACAAGGGGGCTGCGATATTTTATAGCGCTGATTTCAAATTGCCTGCCTGTTATACCTCTCTGGTGGCTGGACCATACCTGTTTTGGTCCATCCAGCATAAAAAATGTTAAACACATCTAATGTAATAGGAAATGTCCACCAGTTAATCAATTAATTAATCATAGACTTGATTGAATTTAACGACTTCCATAGCAGTGCCTATCTACTGTGTTTTTTCTCTACATGCACAGATAAAATTATTATTATGAGTATGGGTCAGAGTCTCGTATGTGGAATATGTTACTTCTTCTCATATGAGTTGCTATTTATAGCTTGTAGTCTTTTTGTTCTGTTAAAGTTCACTTCTCTATCATCATTAGTTTGGTGCATGGATCAGTTTATCTTGTCTTTAATGTGTTTCAGGGTCGTCTTAAGGTTCTCTGAGTCATTTCTTCTCTTTTGTGAACAGTTTTTATATGACTTCATTTCACAGCCATTCTGGAAGTAAGCAGTCAGTAGAATCAGAAAATGGCATCGGTGCCTCTATGCACTTTATGCCAAAGTATAGTGGTGAAAGCAAGCTCTCTCCTCTGGAAGCAAGTATGTGTAATAGCCCAGATTCTGCAAGAAGCTTCGGTGAGACACAATTGGAAATATTCCACCATCGGCATGGCTTGCTTATCTTGCATCTGCTTGCAGCAATAATGTTTGTCCCTTCGATGATGGCATGGATACAGGTAAAGCAAAAAACATCCATGTTGAGGTAGTCTTAAATTTGTTAGTTGTTAATGCCTTTTCCTATCTGTTTGAGGATGCTAGAGAATGCATTCAGTTTTGCATTGCACAATTATTATGTCTGACTACTTGTACGGTGTAATAGAGTACTGGGATGGGAAACGATGTTTGACCTGTTAGACAAATTATCCTCTGAGTTGTTTTACAGTGATTTAAGGGGCATTAAATAGTAGCTAAATATAGAACCGTCACCTCCTGCGCATCTTTTAATTCACATTTTTCTGATAGTTAATAGGACATATGACTCTGATAATGTTTTGGAAAATATATGTTCAACCATCAATAGTACTTTAAGTGGGTTGAATTTATTTTTTTTTAACTCATTTGCAATGATTGCAATACACTTTTCATGAATTTCTTTTACAGTTGGATCAAATTTTGGAGTTTGCGTTTATTACATACGCCTCTTGACATGAATGTAGTAGTGTATATTCTGCTTAAAGAGTATAATTTCTGGTGATTTGGTCACCAAATAATGTGTGGTACTGGTCAAGCAGGTCCTTCTCGTATAGGTTGAAATCCAGTTATGTTCTCTAATGGCACTCAAATGTTACCTCTCCTTTTCTTAATTTCTCATCTATTTTTCTTTCTTCATTTTTCATGAACTGCTTTACTCAAGTCTATGAATTTTGTCCTACGTTTCCAGAGAATTGGTGCAGGTCAGAACTTCCCTTGGTTCTTGATTCCTGTCTGTGCATTGGGGTAGTGCTGCATGGCATGTCTGACTCAAAGCCACAGTTCAACTTCTTCTTTCCCTTTCCTGACAACCGTGGATGGGAAATAAGGCTAAGCTTTGCCTATCTGCTTGCTGGATACGTCTCTTACCTTTCTGGCCTGGCTTTGGCTCCTTATAGGGTATTTTATCCCATGGCTGCCATTGGAGTTATGTCCTTTGCCTTCAGGATCATCCAGAGGTGGAGTAGGGAGAAAGGGGAGACATTGCATAGAGGTCGAAGACATTCTCACAGGCACTAAAAGTAGTTTCTACCTCGTGCCTTGTACACGTCGAGAAATATTGGATCTCAGGTACTGTTGATGAATATTTGTAATTGAGTTGTATCTAGTAATATGGCATCAATGCCACAATTTTGCCACGCACTGATTTTCAAATCGTTCGGTATGAAGAATAGGGAAACGCATCTCTCATCTTTTGCTGCATTATTCATGGCTTACAGTCGAAGTGATAGATCCGAAACATGTACTATAAATTTGGCTGGTTATTTACAACATTGTTTCTCATGATCAAAAGTGGAAAAAAAAAAAACATAAAATTGAATTTCTCTCGAGAATATACAAATCGCTTGTAACGTTCCAGATCCCATCAAAACTTCGAAGTTAAGCTTGTTTTGTTCGGGCGAAGAATAGTACTGGAACGGGTGACTACTTGGGAAATTCTCGTGTCAATTTTGCTGAGAGGTAGATTACTACTTTATATTCTATTACGACTTCCATATTATTGTTTCTCCCATAAAGCTGCTACCACTCGTGGACTGGACCTTAATACTTCCTCCGTCTCGTATATTTAGTAGTTATGTTTGGAGATGTGTTTTTTATGCACAGTATATTTCATCAAAAAGTTTTTTCTTTTGGTTCACTTTTGCCCTTAATCATGTGCGGGTCAAAATAAAAAGTAAAAGGTAATTCCATCACATTTATTTTTATGCATTATTGATAAAGGACATAAGGGAAATTTCAGAGTATAAAGTAGTTAAAAATGTCGAACATGACAAATATTTTGATACAGTAAAAAAAGAAAAGCATGACACTTTCAACAAGATAGAAGGCACTTGGAATTAAAATTTTTCGATGACAGTATGGACCATCTGAATGGATGCTTGTTGTTAGTATAGTAAGATGCATGGGCTTTGTTTCTCGTGGGCCGACCAGTTGGCGCGGGTAGAACGGCCGATGACCGTCCATAGGCAATTTGCGAGAAAGTGGAAGAGCGACATGGGTTTAGCATTCGTCCAGTGGGCTGCACGAGTGCTTAAGATCTAACGAGTACGGCGAGTCGCTGAGTCACAGACTCGGAAGCGACGGAGAAGAGAACCATGGCTGGGATTCACCGGGCGTTTCGAAGCATCCAGACGGCAGTAGAATATCCACGTCTCACCAGATTCTCTCTTAAAGCTCCAAAGAGCGTAAGATAGCTTCCTGCTATGGAGATTTCTTATCTGTTGAATTTTACCCCAACTTATCGCGATTGTGATTCTATTTTTTGTCTGGGCAAATTTTGGTTAAAAAATGGTGAAATAGGGCCAACTTTTTTTTTTTTTGGGTCGATTGAAAATGTATAACTATAATTGTCAGGCATTTAGAAAGGCCACTGAGGTGGTAGTTTAGGTTTTCGCTATCGTTAGGGTACTGCTGTCTATTACTTTTCGTAATTTGTGTGATCAGCTAATGACTTTGACAACAGCAATGACACCTCAGTTGAACGGGATTTTAATGATTTATTGGATTCGTTATTTCTTAAAGAAGTGACAGATAGTCCTGCTCCGTGGTTGTTCTTACTGCTGGAAGAATTGGTTGATGTTGAAAGCTGCTGGGCAATTCTTGTATTTATGTTAAGAAGAAATGATATTAGTAATCTGGAGGCTATGAAATTTTGAGTGCACTTGTTTTGGATGTTTATCCTTGGCTTTCGTCCCTTGCTATAACCTTGGAATCTGGGATAGCCTGTACTAATTATCATTTTGTGGATCTTCTATATGTTAGGTGGAGGTACAATTTGATGATGGAAGTCTTTACAGTTTGCCAGCTGAGTATTTAAGAGTTTATAGCCCTGCTGCTGACAGTAAGGTCAGATCCGTTGCGGGTGAGAAGGTAATTGACTCAGATATCCATCTTCTTTGAGTGGTATCAATTAGATAAGTAAGCTAAACAGATTGTGTTGAGCCTCATTTGCTAGTCTTAATCTTTTATTTTCTTTCGCCCAAAGTTAGCTGTTCTAGATGGGGAAAGACAGATGTGAATGAGCATTTGTATAAACCGTTGCAGGTCTGCAGTTTTTCTCAAAATGGAGTACCTTTAAAATTGCATTTCCTTGTTTTCGGCATTGAGTATTTACAGTCCACAAAACAAAGATAATGCCTATGGAAACTTGGCCAGATAGCAGAACCATTCAAGCATCAATCTTGAGTAATGCCTAACGGGGCATTTTGTGTCCGAATCAGGTAATATATGGACGTCGTTATGTGGGGATCCTGTCAGCAGAACCTGTAGGGAACTATGGGGTAAGGTATAATGGTGCTATTACAATACTACGACAGATGAGTTTTTCTTGTGGCATGTTTTTAAGTTTCTTTTTGGTCTTTAATTTTGGGTGGTTCATTAGGTTACTCTTTGATGACCTGCATAAGACTGGGATATTCACTTGGGATTACTTTTATCACCTTGGGAGCAACAAGTTCACCATGATGAGAAATTACATCACGACTCTGAAGAAGCATGGATTAAGCAGAGATCCATTAAAAAAGAAAGTGAAAGCAAAGTTTTTCTCACTGCCAACCTGGCAAGAAGCAATGCTAGATATAGGTATGCTGTATTGTTGAAGTCTACTTCCTGTCTCTTTGACAAAAGGGATGCTTGCTATTTGAAATTTCATCTTGGAATTTTTTTTCTGTCTCCTCTGTGTTTAATATATTCTGTGATAATCATCAGTTAAAACCTTCTGTTGATTTCTGTTCTTTTTGGTATTTGGGACGAAATTTTGATACATTCAACAACCTGAGGATCTTTATACAGAATTTTATCTGATTGTATCTGTCATGGAATCTTTTTTCTGTCTCACTTGGTGTTAAGTGCTTTTAAAGAAAAATCCTTGTTTCTGGTTGGCTATGCCTTTGTGGGGGTTTAAGGGGTGATTTTCCACATCCAAGGCCTAGCCTGGGAGTTTAGGGGAGGAAAGATAAGAAGATATATGATAGATTACGAGGGAAAAGAAGAGAAGAGAAAGGATGTATATTTTGTTTGGGAGTTTTTGGGAGTCGGAGAGAAATGTGAAGAAAAGAATTTATCACGAACTAATTTTATGTATATATCCTTTTAGTTTTATAACCAACCAAGTTTGTTTTCTTGTTCCAATCAGTTTATATAATTGTGGTGAAGATGATCTAGGATGGCTGAACCTATTTGAAGTGGCTCATTTCATACCAGAGAATCCTATGTATGAACAAGGGTTAATCTTACTTCCCCACCTAGCTACTCTAGGTTGGGGGGTAGGCCCTGTGGGGGAAGTTATAGATACCTTTCCATACTTTGTATCTGGAGTACTTCATTTAATTTCCTCTTTTCTTGTTTCAATGGTTTATATAATTGTGGTGAAGATGATCTAGGATGGCTGTATGAACTTGTTTGCACTTTACTACTGTTAGAAGAGTGAAAAAAGGTGATAATAGTTTTGGTCTGAGGGGTTTTTAATCAGCATGGGATACATGAGGAATTATACTTGGTTGTCTCAGCTTCATAAGGATAAAACCGTCATATTAAAAATAGTATTGTATCATTTCCGTCTGTTTCTTCCCTCTTATGGGAAGAAAAATTTTGCCATTTGGAGGTGTATTTTATCAGTCCATTTCGCTTCTTTTCCGTCTCTCTTGAATTCCCAAAGGAACGAAACAATTGAACTTTCCTTCTTAATCCTTTCTTTTCTGCCACTTTCTCTCGATCCAAACCAAGGTAGGGTTGTGATCAGTTGAACCACGCACCGGCCTTGGTAATTTGGTTGTGCTTGGCAATCTGGTACACGATGTGAAGTCTGGGAGAGAATATTAGTATCTGATATTGTGGGAATTATGCCTTTTTGATGATGGGAGGGGAGGGACACAAGGATGCTGACATTGAATTGAAATATGTGTGCCACATATGAGTATCAAGAATGGGGTTAAGGTTTGGTTTATGATGGCTGAAGAATACATGCTGGGACATACTATCCCTGAAAATCAAACCCAAATAATAATAATGTCGACAGAGATGGAGATGAAAAAGTGTAAATGATGGTTATGCCACGCTTACGGAACGCCAAAAATACAGGATTACAGTGCTGGAGAATGCCGAGATTTTCATTGTTGTAGTAGGTGCTGGATCATCAATCGTGTCTTGTAATGTAGAATTATCCACTGTTAAGATCATATATAGTCATTCTGCATATAATTAACTTCATTTAACAAATTAAAGAGAATTTGTTTGAAGAAAATAATTGCAACTACAGAGGAAGAAAATTATTGCAACTACAGAGGTTTTGTAGCACTAGACTGCGTAGATTTCTGAAGTGTAATTAATTTCTTGATTATCTAGTGGCACTAAGTCAAAAGCCAAGTTTTCCAGCCCGGGCAGGTAGAAAAGATTAGAGGTTGTTTGTGACGGCAGATTGACACATTCATTTGTTGATAATTTTTCTTTAATTGCAGATGATTGAAAGTCCAATGTCAGCCACCAACTCCTAATAATAAGGCTAAAATAGCCATCAACTCCTGAAAAGTTTATTTCCTAATTTCCTTATTGCTGCTGATCTTTTACTAACAAGCGATAAACAAATGTGAATATGGTAAAACAACGGGATGATGTACAAGCGTTGATCGGCTCTTTGTCTTGTAACAAGTTTTATAGAGTGTGACAGTTTCCATTGTGTGTTTTCTGGAGAATGTGCATGCATGTCTGTTGGAAAATTGGAAAAACAGATCTGATGGAATAATAGTTACTGTGCTGTGTTCTTTCGGTGTAAGAATCAATCTTTCGAAAATTGAAATTGAAAGCTAAGAAGACAAAATAGAACTTGATTGGTTTCGAACTTCTTCATGCGGTAGTAGGATCTAATAATGATGAATGATACACATAAATTTATTTTCTGAAAAAACTTCTGATGCACCTCTTGTTTAGGAAAGTTAGAAATTATCTGTTCAGTTCAGTAGAAGTAAACGAATTTATGGTGGCGTAATCTGGAGGCAATGGTTAGGAAGTCCGGTACGCGCCCGAGACTCGAATAATAATTTATTGAAGTTCATTTAAACTGTATATTTCCTTCTCAGAAGAAAGCAAAAAATGGAGCTACGCAAGTCTTCAACGATGTGACATCGCCTGATACGGGGGATGGTGTTATTGCACGAGGTCCATAATAACCCAAGCCTAAACGCAGAAAGTTTAACACAGGGCTCATGCAAATGGCAAGTGATGTACCCACAGCATTTTTATTTTTATTTTATTTTTATTTTTTTGTAAGTTTTTCTAACGGATGGATGTGTAATGGGCACTCTTTAACACACTTTAATTACACGTAACCTGCTATATGAGTACATACACTAACAATTATTGCTCTCCGTTCATTTATACATTTTTTTCTAATTAGAATTTCTTTCTAAGAATTTAACACCTAAATTACATCTTAACAAGTGTCCATGTTTTTATCGTTGGACACTCATTAATGGGCACTTGTAAGATATATTTTTTTACACTTTTATAACAAAATTGCATGAAAATAACAATTATGCCCTTCAATAGTTAAACGTTGAGTGCACTCTAAAAAGGGTAAATTTGTTATTCAAACCAACATTGGGTATGGCATACGTGGTATTGTCACTACAAGTATGATTACGGTGTAAACGAATCAAACTGTTCATGAATTAGCTCAATTAAAATTCGACTTAAACCATGTCAACATCAAACTTGAGTCAGATTTGAATCGACCAAATCAAACCGAGTATAGAGAAATTTAACTCAATAGCTCGTGAGCTGATTTGTGTGGGTGCAAGTACGCGCGTGTGTGTATATTATTTTATTGGTAAAATTATATATTCCCTTCATCCCATTAAAAGTATTATATTTTTTATTTTGGGATATCCCAAAATATTTGTTATGTTGAAAATGTCAAGACAACTTTTAGTCTCTCTTTTTAATATAACTCTTCCCTCTAATCATATGCATGTTACCATTCAAAATTAAATTTTGAACTTATAGGGGTAAAATTGGAAAAAAAAAAAATAAACATTACAATCAAACTACTATTTTTATAAAGCTTTTATTTCCGAAACAAAACCAAATAATTAAGACGAAGGGAGTATATCCCTAATGTTTTTATTATATATTAAGGAAAAATGACAGTTTTATTTATTTTTTTAAAAAATAGAATAATTATTTTTTATTCTTTTAAAACTTGAGTGAGCTTGAGTTCGAATTTCATTAGATTTGAATTTGAGATTGAACTTCTAAATTTGCCAAGCTCCTGAGTTGATGATTATTGGATAACCTATTGATATCTTCGTGCAATTAGTACTTCGAAAAGGAGGGGGACATGAAATCTGCAGCGGGTAACTTGGTGCTAGGAGCACTGAATGCTGATGCTCTGGAATTGGAATTGGAGATGGAATAATATACAAAAACTCAGTAGTTTGGATTTGAACCCTGGTACCATTATATAGACTGGTGCTTGGTATAAACATACTTAAAATGATATCTAAATTAATTTTTCACTTTTTTAATTATTGTTCTCTTTCCTAGATTGATAATCACGCCCACCACTGGACCACCACTGAATTACTACCAATCCAAATCTTTTTTGGTTCTTTGTTTAACAATTACCAACAAAAACTCATGACTAATCAATAAAAGATCTGGATATTTGTCATTTTTGCCCTTTTCTCAAAAAATTGCAACCGGAACTTTCAGACATTCGCAAAAAATTTTCCAAAAGAAAACAGCAAATTTCGTCATTTGCTGAAACCTGTTAGAATCACCATACAATGCAATCAAGTTAGAGCCCTTCACAAAAAGAAGAGAACATAAGGGATCGATTGTGATGGGAAGGACAATTTGATGGCGAGAGAGGAGAGGAAAGGGTCTACTGGGGCGATGGAAAAGTGACGGGCAATGGAAAAAAGGAGGATTTGTCAGATGCCATGGAAAAGGAAGAAAATTGGAAACAAAGTAGGGGGGGTGTCAGATGCTGGGAAGGAGGGAAAGTGGTCAGAAACAAGGGAAGAGGGAGGAGTTGTTAGATGCTATGGGAGAGAGACTAGTGTTGAAGGCAAGGGACGAAGGGGAGGCTCGATGGTGGGAGTCCGGAGAGTGAGAAAGGAAGTATTTTATCAAAATATTTTTTTTTATTTATTCACTGTTGGAAATGAACCGAGTATTTTGAGTGATTCCTCCAATTTAATCACGAATCATGAATCTCCAAATTTTTGGACATGATTTCAATATTTTAATTCCCATTACAGTGTACCAAACACTAAATATTGGAATTATCATCGTTCCCATGCAAAAATCCTCAAACCAAGCGGCTCTTTAATAAATTTTTTTTTCAGATTCGACAGATTTATTCTAAATATACTCCTACTTTATATATATGATAAATTCTATTCATTTTATTTTTAGTTGATTGAGTTCATTTAGCATCTCGGAGTGGGGGGAGCCACCTCTGCTTTTCGAAACAGAGAAGAAAATGCCGACTGAGCTGGTGCCTCCTGTCCTCGTGGTCTATCTCATTGAACACTCGCCCCCCTTTTATTTTTCTTTTTAAATAATTACTATTTGTAGTATCATTACTTTTGTAAATTTATTTGTCCCTCCTCAATTTAGAGAAATCTTCTCTTTTTTTTTTGTACTGCGGGTCTTCGAGTCTAACTAATTGCACAGTATCCAAATAGAACGGATCCAATTGATACCCAAAATAGTAATAATTAGGACGCAAAACTAGAGATTTTAGAGTAAAAAATCCCGAACGAAAATTAGTCGAGCTACCTAGCGCGAGTCAGAGTAATCTTCATCACTTCAGATAATTTTAATTAGACGAATACGTGCAACAGCGTTAGAGCATTATTATTAAAAAAAAAAAAAAAAAAAACTCGTCGGGGCTGCACGTGCAACAAGTGGACAAGTCTAGCAAAGCGTCTTTTTCATAGTACTCTCCCTCCCTCCTATTCCTATACCATTTCTCTCCACGATCTCATACAAAAACGAGGGCAGGGGCCTAACCTATAAGTCATTGAATTATTATACAAGTAATTAAAGATGCAGTAGTAGTGATAAAGGGAAGTCTGCATTTGACCCTTATCAGATTCAGATCCTTCTGTACAAATTTGGAATATCGCAATGCCCTTGGGTGTGTGTTAGGTGGGGCGACGGGTGGAGGTGGTGATTATGATTATGTATTTGAGAGTGATGTTGGTGGTGGCGCTGCTGCTGCTGCTGCTGCTGCTCTGAGTGGGGTGGCGCTGCCCAGAGAGAAGGGGCCGCCCATGGTGTTCATAAACACCAGGCACCGTGGAGGATCCACACTCTATTCTCGGTGGAATGCCAGAACTATTTCGATTGGCAGACGGTTGGGCTTATGCACAGCTTCAAGAAGTCCCGCCAGCCCGGCCCATTACCAGGCTTCTCAGCTGCACCCAAGAGGAGCGGAAGACCTACCGAGGAATGGACTTGGCTCCCACTTTCGAGTGCCTTCATGAGCAGGCACCCCAAGACTGGTGACTGGTTCGTATCCCCCTCTCTCTCCAGCCTTTTAATTCTTTCCGGTCCCTCTCTCTTTCTCTAGCATTCCAATCATGGTTTGCATTATCCTTTTTCTACAATTCGGTTGCAATCAATGCTTTAAAACATATCAATATGCGAAAGTTTAAGAAACACCTAACGTTACGGGATCGATTGGACAACTTGTTGAATTGCAAGGGGATTTTGATTTGTTTGATGCACCTAAATATATTTTCAGGATCTTAGTAATGCAACTGATGTAATGACTTCTACCATTAGCTCAATCATTAAGGAATTTGCTGCCTGATTTTTTTTTTTGGGGAGAATTTCATCGCTGTGTCTCTTCTCTTTGCATCTTCTTTCAGTTACTTCACAAGGTTCAGCATCTTTTTCCCTTTCATCGGTTCGCAATGGATAAATGCCTAATAGTTGCTATCCCTTTTTCTTGTAGTTTCATTGGTAAGAAAAATTTGCTTGTGGTTAAGAGTCTGATTATCGAAAATCAACAAGAATATGACTTTACTACTTTTCTTTTCTTGTTCTCTTACTTTGCTGTTTGATTTAGTTTTGCTTCCAAAACTTTAACAGAATTCAAGTGCTTGTCTTGATAAAATAAAATATTGTTGGTAGGGAGTATACTAAAGAGCACTTTCCTGAAGGTTATCTCTTCTTTTCCTTCCTTTTCTTTTGACCTGCAGGTATCCTGCAATTAACAAACCAGCTGGTATTGTCCATTGGCTTAAGCACAGTAAAGATGCACAAAATGTTGATTGGGTTGTGATCTTAGATGCAGACATGATAATACGAGGTCCAATAATTCCCTGGGAGCTTGGTGCCGAGAAGGGAAGGCCAGTAGCTGCATATTATGGGTAAAACTAGTCACCCTTGTTGTTCAAAGATTTTTTTTTTTTTTCATTTATTGGTTCTCTAGATTTGTATAAATAAAGGAAACTGGGGTAGTCAGTTATAAGTTCTTGTTTGAAATATTTCCCTGACTTGAACAAGGTGGAAAAGCTTTTCAATGAGTGAAAAGCTGCACTTCTTAGAAAGTTGAGCGCTTTCAGTTTAGAAGGTTGAAATGGAACTACATATAGGCTCCAGCTCCAATCACTCCTAATTCTTGTAGTCTTTTTTTTCTTCTTCTTTTTTTTCTCTTTTTTTGGGCAAGAAGAGAAGCAAAAACCTGACTGCAAATCAATCCTAGACTGTGTTAAAGTCTAAAAATCCTGAACTTGGAAGCTGAAGAGATCATAAATACAGTGATTTGAGGCCTTTTGGACTAACAAAATCTCAGGGTTGATTTTCTTTAGATTATAATTCTATTGAAACACATCCCTAAGCTCTCTTTTCATATGGTACAAATATTCTATTCTTGACTGCATTGCTAAAGAATTTTTTTGAATCTTTGTTTTACCACATCATAGTTTTTCATCCGAAAATATACGTTCCATAATAGGTATTTGGTTGGTTGTGACAATATTCTTGCTAAATTGCATACGAAGCATCCTGAACTCTGTGACAAGGTTGGCGGGCTTTTAGTTATGCACATAGACGATCTTCGAGCTTTGGCACCCATGTGGCTTTCAAAAAGTGAAGAAGTACGAGAAGATAGAGCTCATTGGGCAACCAATTATACAGGAGATATATATGGTCAAGGGTGGATAAGTGAGATGTATGGATATTCCTTTGGTGCTGCAGAGGTATTTCTCTTTGATGCTTTTGCCCATGCATTGCACCCTTTCTTGAATGCTTAGTCCATATTTATTGATAAGTGTGATTTATTGCATTGCCAGGTAGGACTTCGACACAAGATAAACAATAACCTGATGATCTATCCAGGCTATATTCCACTAGATGGTGTTGAGCCAATCCTCATGCACTATGGCTTGCCATTTCGTGTTGGGAACTGGTCATTCAGTAAATTGGATCACCACGAGGACAACATTGTTTATGATTGTGGTCGGCTTTTTCCTGAACCTCCATATCCAAGAGAGGTAATCCAATACTTGATTGGAGCAGATTTATGGATTTGATATCCAAGTTTCAGTTGCGTTTTTCCATTTGTCTCCTGAAGAGAACAGCAGCTCTGATTTTTTATTGCCTTCCTTATCCACTTGTTTCTTTTGTGCTGCTTGGAAAACCACAATATAGGTTGTAATCTAAAACTTATTGGCTGAGGCTGGCGCTTATAAAAAGGCAAATCCATTAGCTGCAGATTCTTTTTGGCTTTCCTAGATCTGAGATTTTAAATTATTTGGCACATTATTAAAAACAGAGAATGGCTAAGGTTCTAAGGCCCTTTATGCCAGCTGATCATTGAAAAGTACCCATACTGACTGCAAAAATTATAGAAGTAGAAAGAAGGTATGAGAATTGACTAATTTTTTTTCTTTATTCCTGGTCCATCATATGAGGTAGCTGGTCAACGACTTTCCTAAAGAAATTTGTATCAAAAGTTACACTCAAGTCAAGTTCCCTGATATATCAAAATGAATGAGGGCAAAAGATACTGATGTCCTACCTTGAAGTAGAGGGTTACACTTTTGACTTTATCTCAATTATCAAATTGAAGTTTGTCTAAGATGCCATTGAACATAATTAGAGAACGCTCTTTGCTATAACCATTTTTTGACTGTCAAGACTACTACGCAAACTTTGTTTAAAAAGTAAATGAGAAAGTGGGTGATGTTTCATAAGTTCCATATACAAAGTGCCACTGGTCCTTATGGAATTGACAGCTATGTCATTGATTCCAAATCCATTTTTCCTGCAACGATCCAATTAGATCCGATTTCCAGTGCTACTCCAAATGCAACACAAGTCTATAGTTTTGGTAATATCTAAAGCTAACTTACATTGTTGTAGAAAGCCATGAACTATCTTTTGCAGTATGAAAAGTTTTAAGAACATGTTCTGTTTTTGTAATTATGAAGGCGTAGAAATTGGGAAACTGAACAGGGTTCTCATAGGTGCATTTAACACTAAACTATTAAAGTTGACTAATGATTTGGTAATAAAGACAATTAATCCGCCTAACAGTTTACATTCTTCTTAGCTTGGAGCATGTGAAAGGTTACACCCTTATTGACTTAGAATATACCAGCAATGGACTGAAGCAAAGCTCAACAAAGAACTTCTTTGGCTCTATTGTGATTTATACATGAGGCTTTTTTCTTTTTTGGGCTATTGAAGTTTAATATTTTCAACTATTCTGCAGCATTAGATAGTAATCTATCAGTTACTTACAAGTGACTATTTTTAGCAGCTTATGCGTGTCATATTCTATACCCTTTGCACTAAATGTCTTAAAAAAATTTCGGTTGCAAAACCCACAGCCAATACTTGCTAAGATTGATTTAAAGTCTACGAAAAGTGCTTGTCTTCACATTATGTACATCTTTAATGATTGATAAAATTATTGTTTTGTGTAGGTAAATCAACTTGAAACTGCTCCAGATAAGAGGAGAGCACTATTCCTGAACATAGAATGCATCAATACCTTGAATGAAGTCTTCTGTACAGCATGCAACCTATGGCGTCCCAAACCAAAATGTCAAAATATTGAGTTTCTTAAGGAGCAAGCATTTGCAGAACTTACCGGGCCGAAAACTTTTGACTCCCAAAACTCTTCAAATGATGGATGAGGACCGTGCTCAAGTTGTTGATGAGCCACACGTTCAAGTTGTTGATGAACCCATAAAGCCACACCCCAAAATTCACACCATTTTCTCCACAGAATGTAATTCTTACTTTGATTGGCAAACTGTAGGCCTTGTGCACAGTTTTCAGCTGAGTGGCCAGCCTGGGAATATAACAAGACTTCTCAGCTGCAACGATGAAGATTTGAAACAATATAAAGGACATCACTTGGCTCCCACTCATTATGTTCCATCCATGAGCCGGCATCCATTAACAGGCGATTGGTAAAGTCTTCTGCTTTTACAAATTATTGGCCAACAACTAGTAATTTTTCCAAAATCAGCCTGTCTTAGTGGCATTGCAAAACTTCAAATGTGCCAGTTGCGTTCATCTCATTAGTTGCATGCATGAACAAGTACAAAGTAGAGTAAGACCTGGGATTGTTTGTGTGACATCAGGTATCCAGCTATTAATAAGCCTGCTGCAGTTCTTCATTGGCTTAATCATGTAAAAACAGATGCAGAATATATAGTAATCCTTGATGCTGACATGATTATGCGGGGACCAATTACCCCATGGAGTTCAAAGCTGCACGTGGTAGACCAGTTTCAACTCCCTATGGTAAGGCACATTTCACTCAGCAGTTGTAGTCGTTAGGTCTTCGAAATTCTTGAAAGAAGTCTCATCTGTTTAATCTGTGTCAGTTACCTGATTGGGTGCGATAATGAGCTTGCAAAGCTCCACACTCGCCATCCTGAAGCATGTGACAAGGTTGGAGGTGTGATCATTATGCATATAAATGATCTTCGAAAATTTGCTCTGCTGTGGCTCCACAAAACTGAGGAGGTCCGAGCTGACAGATCTCACTGGTCTAGAAATATTACTGGAGATGTCTATGAGTCTGGATGGATTAGTGAAATGTATGGCTACTCCTTTGGTGCTGCAGAGGTACCTCCATGTTGACTTACATTAGAAGCTGTGGTGTCTACGTCTGATTCCATTTCCTGGCATTAGCATAGGAAAGATTTACAGATTTTCCTTTCTGTGAGATGCTCAGCTCCTATGCTACCATGACATTCCCTTTATAGAGCATCAAGTTGGAGAAATCATTGAATGCTTTAATTAGGTTTTTGATTGAACACCTTCATGTGATATAGTTTGAAGCTATGAGAGTAGCATGTACTTACTGATATGTCATTGTTTCTTGTGCAGTTAAATCTGAGGCATCAGATAAGCAATGAGATTTTGATATATCCAGGTTATGTTCCTGTACCTGGTGTCAAGTATAGGGTATTCCACTATGGCTTGGAATTTAGAGTTGGAAACTGGACCTTTGATAAAGCAAACTGGATTCATACTGATGTCGTAAATAGCTGCGGGGCTAAATTTCCTGACCCTCCTGACCCATCAACACTTGACCATTCTGATGATGATTCACTGCAGCGTGACCTGCTAAGTATAGAGTGTGTTAAGACACTGAATGAAGCTCTACACTTGCACCATGAGAGAAGCAAATGCAATGTTCGTAGTCCCCAGACCATTTCAAATCAGGATTCTAGTGAAACTACAATCTCAAGGAAGTTTGGAAAATTTGAGGAGGTTCATAACTTGACATATAATACCACAACAACGAACAACTCCGAGGAGATATCTCCACCTGAAGAGCCAAACCAAACGTTTAGCTCAATGAGGTTCTGGATAATTTCTCTATGGGCCTTTTCAATCTTGGTTTTGTGATCATTATGTCTGTGATGCTTTCAGGTCGTAAAGGACAGAAAAAAAGAGGCAAGGTTTATAAGCCCAAAAGAAGATCGTCGTACTCAGGATTTTGGGATACAAATGGGCATGATAGGCATCTTCGAAGTGGTGAAATGTCGTAGTTTAAGATCCTAGAAATATGTCTATAATACGATGATGCATGAGTTACTGAAAATCTGAAACAGAAGGGAGGCACCGCACAGGTGGAAGTCTGCTGACATGGAAATGCAGCGTCCTTTTTCTGGGAGGAGGATTCTAGCTTTCAGATGTTCATATCAGGTATAACCGGATAATGCATTGATTTGGTAAGGAGCCTTTTCTGAATTCGAAAATCTTGTGAAAAATGCACTCTGCCTTGTTCTGGATATTCTGGCATCTCCATAGGTTTTATTTGAAATGTTGTTTTAGACAAAGTTCACTTCCAACTGTACAATTCCTTAAAACTGACGGGAAAAAGAAAAAGGAATAATGAAACTAGGTTTGAGAGTTGAAAAAAGTATATGATAAGAGAGAGAGAGAGAATAAAAGCTTCCAGAAAAATTTTATTTTTGTAGTACATTCAGAAGTTTGCAGATGTATGCGTCTGTATTTGTTCGTTGCTGTATCTTGTTATACGGGTGTAATAACTTTCTTCCTAGGCCTGTTTTCTATGCTTCAACCCAGATTGCTATTTAAATCAGTTAGGCTATCGTCTGTTGAATTTAGGGCAAGGATTTTTTGTTTTCTGGTTCATCCAGGACCACCTTATGGATGTGCGGACGCAAATAAGCTTTGCCATTGGAGATGAATTATGTTTGATAATTCATCCAATTCAGCATTTAAATTTAATAAATTTAGATATTAATATGTTTAGACGCGTTTGATAATAAAAAATTGAACATTTGAATTAATTATATGACATCGAATTTTCTATGCAAAACTTGTTCTCAAAATTAAGTGAGATAAATTATTTACTTATCAATTTATCATTTAATGTGATATACATTCAAATGTATCGAATTCAATAATGTAATAGATTCAAATTTTAGATTTCAGTTTTGGACTTTAATTTTATCAAATGCACCAGAAATCTTGGTTTCCTTAGATTGGCTCTATTAAATACTCTACCGCCACTTCAACCCAGGAAACATAAGTTAAAAAGAAAAAAAGAAGATTGATCTCAAATTTATAAGTGCCTAAGGTTTTTTTTTTTTTTTTTTGCTTTATATTTTTCCTTAGAATTTGGTGTTTCCCTCTCCTTTTATTTTGTTTAATATGGCACATGTTTCACCAATTGCCAGTTGGTGTCATTGTTGAAACGAATAAATGTGTTATAGAGTAATATATATATATATATATATAACTCTACATTCTCATGGAAATGGTTTACATAATTTAATCACATCTGTTGGAATTGAAATTGAGAAATCAGCCCTATAAATCACGGCTCACTGGTTTGGGATGAACAACGGCAGGGATTGGGTCGGAATGATCAAAGCTTTTTGCCTTCGACTCGTGAAACCTCCACCATGGACTGCTTTTATTGTAGTTTTCTCTGCTTCTGTTTGCTTTATTTTTTTCTCCATCTGTCTTGAAAGTAGGATACCATGCGAGTAGCTGCTCAAGGATCTTCCCACATTTGCTCTTTTTTTTTTTTTTTTGGATGGGAGGGAGGAGGGCTAGTGTTTCTCCTGTCCATCTCGATTATTTAGATCTTGTTTGAATTGTTATTTTTTTTCTGAAATTTTTTTTATATATTTTATGAATATATTTTTTAATTATCTTTTTACTTCATATACATTAAGTTACTGTGTAACATTTTCCTACAAAAGACTCGAAAAAAAAAAAAAAAAGGGCAATTTAAACGGGGCTCCTAACAGCTGAAGTGATGTTACAACAACTAGTGGTTCAGCCCGCTGACATTTGACTACAGGCTCTACAAACTCCAACAACAAACAAACTGGGGTTAAGTTCTTACCTTGATTTTGGAAGGATATACCAAATTTTAGGTGCATTTGAATTGAAGATTATTTGGGAATTCTTGTACTATCACTTCTTGTTTTTGTAATATAATGTATATAAAATAAATAATTGAAAAGACAAAAAATATTTTAAAAACAATACCAAAAGAAAAAAAAAGATTTCGGATAATGTAATCATAATAAGACATTACTCCTTATTACTACAATACAAAGTCAAGTTCAGGGGATCAAATAAATAAGACACCATAACCGACGCCAAGAACGAACCAGCACTGCACTTAGGGAGATGATTTCGAAAATTCGAACGTTAAAGACAGATACTTCATTAATTTCAAACAACAGAATGCGATGGGGCCCAGACCAATTTGAAAAAGACTCCAGACCATCTGGGCAAAAGGCATGCATGCCTTAGAAGTTAGAAGCTGAAGTCAGTAGTAAGTTGACAAAAGCAGCAGCCCCACCAAGGCAAAAAAGGAAAAAAAAATTTGCCTGCCTTCTTCTTCTTTTTTGTGTACCTCTGCCGATCGCTGACCTCTAGTGCATGTGTGTTTTTGTGTCATATGTGGCTTAGCTTTCCACGCAACGTACTCTTTCAGCTTTTCATTTGAATTTCAAAATTTTACTGTTCCAGATTTAAAAAAGAAAAAGAGAGATTAATTTCCCCAAGAGAAAAGAAAAAGATTAGAAGGGCAAAAAATTCAGAAGTTCAGATTTTTACTCAGCCCATCATCAGTAGCGTTGTGGCTGTGGGTTCGAACAAACTCAAACAGCAGCAGCAGCGGTCAGCCATTCTCTTATTATGGGAGATACAGCTTGTGTCATGCACCCATTCTCTTATGCTTCTTCTGCTATGTCCAATGAACTCAACCAGGTAAACACCCCCCCCCCCCGCCCCGCATACTGCAATCTTTTTTTTTGGAGGTACCCTAAAAGCAGATAACAAAAGATTACAAAGTTTTTGGGGAGGGGCTCAAATGCAGGTTGTGATGAGCTTTTAAGATTGGATACACTTATGTATATATGCCATTGCAGGGGAATCCCATGCATGTTCTCGGGGAATCGGTTTCATTTGGGAGGTTCGTTTCAGAATCTTTAGCTTGGGAGAAATGGTCCACCTTCTCCCACAACCGGTATGTTGAAGAGGCCGAGAGGTATGCCCAGCCTGGTTCGGTTGCCCAGAAGAAGGCTTTCTTTGAAGCTCATTACAAGCGTATTGCCGCTAAAAAGGCCGCAGCTTTGCTTGAGCAAGCTAATGCCGCCGCAGAAGCTGAAAGCTTGGTTACTTCCCCCGATAACAGCGTACCTCACTCGCAGCCCCTCGCCTTGAATTCTACCCAACAATCACCGGAGCCTGAGGATCCAAAGCCTGAGTCCGTGATTGTCATCCTGGCTGCGAACCGCCAAAATTCAAATCATCGGAGTATTCATTTTAAAGGTTATACTCTATTCTTTTGTCCGGATTTCTCTCCTGCATTAGATAGATACTCGGAGTATTCATTTTTCTCAACTCTTTGGAGCATGCGCAGTTCCAAAACGCCAGCAAAGCCTTACTAGTAGTACTCAAGGGTCCCTTTGATTAATGCAGGAAAAAGCAGAATCGGAGCTGAGAAAATTGCGTCAAAGTTTTTGCTTCAAAGCTCGCCCTCTTCCAGAGTTCTACAAGGAACGGGAAACACAAAGCAGTCACACTAAAAAGGCATGTTATTGCACACACCTTTTGCTACATCTAGAATTAAATGTACCACATCTTCCGATTTTGAACTACAGAATCCAGTTGTCCGTTCTTCACCATTAAAGCCTTCATGTCAAAAGAACTTTTTCTCAGTTATTTTGTTTCCCCAAAATGTTTAGCCAATCCATAGAGCCAGCAGCAAAGCAAGTGTTAAAAAGTTAACTCACGGGAAGTTGAGCATCAAGCTTTCGAACTTTACGTGTCCATTTATTCCAAGTACTTTGCTATAACTTTCCACTTCTTGCAGAATCCAGTTACACAATCTCAGTCACCTAAACTGGGAAGAAAGCTCAGCTCCAGGACAATGCAAGGCACGATGCCAGTCTCACTTCCACCACCAGCAACCTCTTTAAACAAGAACGGCATATCCAAGCATGTTTCCGGAAGAATGGTCGAACTGCTACTAGCTTCCCAGCTTCACGACCAGAAATCATCAACCATGAGAATGCATCCCCGAATATTCCGTATTGACGATTTAGTGGTCGGGCCTAATGCTTATTATAATCCATTAGAACCCCTCTAAGATGTAGTTTTCCAGAGCAGTAGCCATACGCAGAGTCTGTAAAATTTCATATCCGGACAGATTGAAATGTGCACATAAACTATGGTTGTGTTTCACTTAGCAGGCTAGCAGCAATGTACAAATTCTTCTGCGGAGGGTGGAAGGTTAAAGATCCAGTCATCCAAGACCCGTTCGATCTCAACAATGAGAGACCATGTAAAGATTTAAACAACACGCTTCTTTTGAAGAGGTAATGGGGCTTTTTATGTTCTATCTAGATCATAAGAGGCATGCGGCTTATCATTATTTTACTTTTAAGCTTTTGGAAGGGTGAGTTGACTTACAGACTTATTTAATCTCGTGCGACAAAAGCATCAAGGACGGTAGTATCCACCAACCGAACCGATAACTTGGGAGGGAGATAAAATTATTCGTCGCCAACAACATATGCCCTCCAGGAACTGGATTTTCGTGCACGAAATGGTAACAATTTTTTCTTTCTTTTTCTTTTTCAAATGGTCACAATTACTTGTACAATAATGCACAGGGTGGTCTTCCCCACAAAATAATAATAATAACAGCCATAACAATAATAAAATGTAAAGGGTGCATAATTACTTACAATCACATAGAAGCAACCATTAAGAATAATAAAAAGAGAGTGCTAGCAGAAGAAGGACTTGAAGCGACGTCAAATTTCTTCCACCAAACACCAACCTCCAATTTCATCATCTCCCTCCTCCTCCACCTGCTCCCACGCAAAACCCACGTCACAGAAGCTCATTTTTTCGTCGTCGTCGTCATCAAACTCATCCTGCAGCTCCCCAATAGCAACACCAGTTGATGCTGCAAGGGCAGAGTCAACTACCCAATCGGCTGGATGATGATGATGGCGACGATCAGCAGGACGGTAGTAATAATCGTAAACATCATCATCCCCATCATCAATTTCATCTCCAACATCATCACTGTAACAATCATTGGCCAAATGATCCAAAATCCCAGTGGCCGAAAACCCGGTAAAGTTGAACCCGGGCCTCGCATCCACGACCCGCCAAGTAACCAATCTGTAATTCGTAACAACATCGCACGACTTCAGCTTGTGAGTCCCTTTGGTCTTGTCCTTAGCTTTACCGGCGGGATGGAAGTGACAAGAAGCACACCTTGGGCGGCCGCACTTGCCCGTGAACTTGGAGCGGTTGGTAGGCTTTTGGGGCACCTTAGCAAAGCAACCAGCCGTGGAGGTTGATTCCAGCCGGCTGGGGGGTGCCTCGGCCTCCAAGGTGAGGAAATGATGGGGTGGGTTTGGACCATGCCGTGTTGACGCCCCTCCCTCTTCATGGCTGCCTGAACGAACGAATGAATGAATGAATTTGATGGATGTGAAAATCAGCAGCAAATGGGGACTGGGATGAGGATGGCCAGGCTTCTTGTTATATAGTACTACCAGTTTCGTTTGGTACGAGACTTGCATAACGTGGTGGGATTACAATTATTTATATTCCACTCTTTCTTTCGTTTTACCTTTCCTTTAGTTAAATGAAGTTGGGAGTTGCGAGGAAGATGGCTAGAAAACTTGGGAAGGAAGGCGATTGCTTCGTCAACTGTGAAAAGTACGTGTAAGCCAAGGTTTTTTTAGGCGGTCATACATACCGAAAGTGACACCTCACACCTCATATTGTTTTTGGCTGATTTGGATTTGTTTTCTCTTATTTCCTTCGTAGAGGGGTAAAGGGTCTCCTGTGAGTTTGGAAGAACACATCAATGCCCGTTTCCTTCGGATATTCTTTGATCCGCTGAATAAAAATCATATTATTGACAAGCAAAAAAAACATATGATGTAATCTAATAATAGTAGTAAAACGAACTTTTCTAGTGCTATACGTGTATGATGTATTTCATATATGTATGTATCTTCTGGCAGCTAATAGACTTTAGAGTTGTTTTTAACGAGTCCTCCGTTTGCAAATGCCTGTCAGATCATCAAGTGCTGTAAAAGAGATTACCACCAGCCACCAGTTAATAACCTTGTTTTATTCAGCAGCCAGAAGCATAGCGGAGGAGGGACGGAATTTAATTACATCTCAACAGGAATAGATGCTAAGTCCAATTTAACAATAATAAAATGTCGCGATACAGAACCTGTTTTACAGCTGGAGAGTGTTCGAAAATGAATGTGCGTCAGTCATACATTGTCAGAATGTGCGTTTTCGGAGGATTCAATTAATGGCTCCTTGCTAACCACATCAAGTTTAGGAGGTGAAGCCTTCTGCTTGGATGGGTAGAGCACGTAGTGTTGCAGGATGAAGAGAATGTCAAAGAAAATGGACACCCTGCTTGGTCAATTCAGCAGACCAAAAGAAAAATAATTAGTACGATTCAAGTACAAAATGAGATTATGAGGACCCAAGCATTTTATGTTTTATGCAGATTTAGAAAATCAAACGAACACATTTACTGTTTCAAACAAGGTCGAACCTGCACATATTCCATTTTTATCCAAATTTTCTTGCTTAATTAATTGCTGATCACAGCAGTTAACAGAACGAAGAGACATCCTGATCACAAGTTTTTCGTCTTCTGGGACTCAACGTGAAAGTGAAAGACAGTTCAGTCATTATTATGAAAGGGGAAGCTGGCTTTCTTCATGCCAGCACAGGATTTCATCTTTCTAAAAGAAGGCCGAGGGTTGTTGAAACTTGAAGGAAGATCGATAAAAACAGCAAAAAAATTACGATGAAGCTCAAAATTGTCAGAGAGAAAAAAGTCCATACCAAGGACAGCAGAGTCTTGCCTATGTTTCCGTAGAAATTCACCCAGGATTCTGACAGAAACATGGACAAAACATAGTTAGGCATTGCATTACAAATCCCCAGATAGATCCGAATAATCCTATTCACGAGTCTTACTCTGATCAATGGATTGCACGGCCATTTGTGCATAGTTGGTCACACCACCAAGCAAATCAAGCAAAATGTTGCCAATGCTCCACCCAATGGTGCTCTTCCTTTTGAAATTCATAACAGCCTAAGTTACACAGCAAGTCACCCATGAGAAAAATAAAAAATAATGACATCCTTTAGAAACTGAAAAGCATCAAAGGCACCCAGTAAGCTTGGGGTATTAAAGAACGGACACGGTTTCACTAAATCCTAACTTAAGCCGAAGTACATGTAGTTAATATTGGACAATTCCAAAGATAGCCAGCCGTAGGAATAACCTGAGGAATGTATTTGATGACTGTCATGACAACTTGCACTGTGCTGCACACACAGTAGAAACAAAAGGTAAAAAGGTCACCACAATCATGGTAGCACCATTAAAAGGTAATCTTTTTAACCAAATATCATAGCCAAGAACAGCAGCATCAGTTCACAACGATTACGGATGGATGAGGACTTCATCAACAGACCATTCCTCCATAGCTCCGTAAAACAAGTCCAGCAAGATTTTCAACACTTTTAACAAAAAAAATATGCACCCTATCCCATCTTAATGCAAAATTAACCAAGGCCTAGATATTAACCCTGATCAGAAAGTGAATCTGTTCTCTCTTAAAGGCAGGCCAGCAACATTGGCTTCATTTAAGTTAAAAAGAGAAGTACAGGAATGGAGTAAAACAGCACATCTTACTTGAAGCACGACACCAGCCAAAGCCACTTCTTGTGGGGAACTGCTACAAAAACACAGACTGCAGCAGCTAACCAAGCTGCTGCGACAATCGCGGTTGCAGTTTTAGAAACCTTTTGATGTCCACGCTGGAAAAGAACAGAATTTGGGAAACCGGGGGTGTAGGGTTAAGTGACAGCTATATGAATTGATACAAGTACTCAATGGCAGTCTAAGTTACAATGCAAACACTATTTCAGAAAATTACGCGCAAATTTTCCTGTTTCCAGTCATCTTTTAAAACATGCAGCAGGAAGCATCAAAGAAGGATTTAAGTAGTCACCTCGTAGATTGCAATCTGGAACAAGGTAAACACAGTTAGCAGAACCGCATGGGCTGAGAAGGCTACGTCATTGGCAGCCACTGGAATCATCTGCAATAGACCAATCAAGGAATAAGATCAAGTAAAGGGTTAGAGCAGTACTGCATCCACTCGTCACTGTACTGATTCGACCTTGCACGAGGAATACTAGCACAAGCACAAAATACTTAAAAGCTCACGTTGCATATAGCTGTTAATGACGGGAGTGAGTAGACAAGAAAATCAAATTTACCCTCCACAAGAAGAGGAATAACCAGGAGGATAACACGTGATTAGTTCAGAGCACAGATCTGTTTGGCTTATTTATCAAGATTTGAAAAGAATTATCCTTTGAAATTGAAAGTGAATTCATGATCGGAAGAGGCACGTGATCATAATGCTTAAAACTAAAATACGTTTAACTGAATCAAGGGTATTCATGAATCCAGCAGGACCCAAGACCTCCACCTTCGCATAAACACGTTACTAAATGGGGGAAAGGGAAAAAAAAAAGACAGAAGGAAAGAAAGAACCTGATCAAAGCCAAATTTTTGATGGTACTGGCGTTGAACAGCAGAACTGAAGAAGAGGGAAGCGTTGTAGATGAGATAGGAAGAGTGCTTGGTGAGATTCAACAGCACGAAATCAAAATTCAAGCCCACAACGCTGCACAACACCGCCGACCAAAATACAGAGTCCAGTGGTTTTATTTAGCAGACGGCCCCAGCAAAAGAAAATATTACTAATTAGTATTCACGATGAAACGTGAAGGGTGAAAATTGGTGGAGAGGAAAGCGGAAAGCTAAAAATGGTATTGGCGGGGTTGGGGGAACCTTTTACGCCGGAAGTTCAAGATGACTTGGGGATAGAAGCTGATAGACCACGATGCAAACGCAATCCATCCCAGAAGAGCATGCAACACTTGCAGTGGAGTTGAATTCCAAGAAGACCCCTGCCCAGCCATCTTCCTCTCTTTCCCCTCTTCCTCTTATCTACTCTTACGGAGTATTTATTACACACAAAGAATTCCAATCTCTGGAGCCGTTGCTCTTTTCTGTCTTGCAAGAGACGGGAAATCTTGAGCAATTCTCAGTCACCACTCACTTAGCAGTTCATTTCTTTTTTTTTTGGGGTCAAAACCAGCAGTTCGTTATCGAATACTAGTGCTCGAAAAGGAAAGGGAAGTATCAGAAACTGATGAATTTGGCTCACAGAAAGCGCTGTGCGTCAATGGAATAAAAGGAAAGAGTTGGAACAGGGAGTGGGAACGGAAAGGCTCGTTAAATCTACCGGCATAAGACGTGACTCAAGCAGTACGAGTCCCAACGGTGATAGGGTCCCACTCCCATGCCAACAGGGGCAAACATCGTGGAATAGTGAATGCCGAAGAATGAACGTTGCCCCGGTTGCCGTCTCAATTCGTGTGCATAGTTCTAGACTCCATAACCACGTACAGGTGACAAAAAAGGGAAAATTGTTTAAAAAGTTGGTAACGTTTTGCTTTTGTTAAATGAAATGAATTTTTTTTTCCTCACTTCTAAATTGTCTTTACATCTCTCCAAAAATTAAGTTGATCAAACTTTTTTCCAACCTAATATTTTGATCTTTTTTTCCAACCAAATTTTTTTTATGTGTAAGAAGGTCAAATCCCATTTATAATTAAATAAAATCAATTGACTCACATTCATTTTTTACCTTGGGAAAAAAATTTGAAGTTAGATAAATTACCCCACTTATATTCATTTTTGCCTCTGTATCTAAACAAGTGAGATCTAAACCTTTTGCACCTTAAAGAGACGATGACTCACATCACATAGTGGATTTAGGTTAAAAACAGTCGAAAATCTAGGCCAAAATCAAAATTTGGCTGACCTGATTTTATAAGAGATATAGAGTCAATACTTTAAAAGTGAAGTATGAAAAAATTAATTTAACAAGATGTGAAGTAGGGGTGGGTAAAAATATCCAACCACTCAAAAATCTGATAAATTCGATCCGAAAAATAGGATATCTGATCTGATTTTTCTTAGCGGGACAGTTGAGGGATACCCGCAAAAAATGGAAACAGACACGGATCAGAAAAATAAAAATCCGCGGATACCCGATCCGCAGGCTATATTATATAAATATTAAAAAATTAGGAATCATTTTATAATTTTATAATTTTTAATCCTAAGTGTAAGTGAAGTGGCTCACAGCCTCATTTTCTAATATCATATGATCTGCCTCTCCTCATATTTTCTGAAGAAAGCGAATATTCTTGGTGAAATTTGAATCAAATGAATAAAATGAAGAAAAATTTGTGAAACTTTATCACAAAAATTGCTCATCCCTTTAATTCTTTTCATTTTTATTCTACCTCCATCGATATTTCCTACAAACTTTTCATCAATTCAATCAAAGATTTGTGTTTGGAGTTCCAATTTTCTTTTAGCTAGATAATTAAAACATTTGTGTCTTCCATTTATTTATTTATTTGATTTATTTTATTGCGATTATGTCTCTTAAATTTGTCTCTTTAATCTTAGTTCAAGAAATTTATTTTTCTTTTTCATCACCTTTAATGTCATAAGGTCTATTTCAAAGATGTAAGGAAGTTGGGGAAGATTTTTCAAGCTTAATTTGGTTATACTTTCTCCAAAAATAATTAACTCTATTCAATTCTTTTCCAGACTTGATTCCATAATCAACTCATTTTGGATGCAGTCTTGTACCATAACATCCTTAAGGTAGTTGGGGAAGTTGTTAGATACTTATTATTCTTGTGTTTGTTGTGTTGTAGTGGATGAAATGTGTGAGAATGGTGATGTACTCAAAATTATCATGAAACTTCTTTTTGTCTATTAGATATTATAATTATAGTGTGTACTAAATTTTTGAGATCGATTTGATTGTTGGATGAAATGTGTGAGAATGGTGATGTATGAATTTTGATTACAATATCTCTACAAATTTTAATGGAAAGCATGTTTTTTAATGAAAAACATGTTGATATTAAAGGCGGGTAGCTTATAAACCGCCATTTTCTTTTTCGAATACCCGAGTAACGGGTACCCGAAGACATTAGGAACCGGATTAGGGTTACAAAATGGCTGATCCGATATATTAGGGTCGGGTCAGCCAAATTATATTAGGGATGGGTATCCAACTCGTGCCCACCCCTAATGTGGAGTATTAAAAATATCAATAGAGTAACTCCATTTCCATACCTAGAGGGATATACTTCCCCGTTTATTTTTGTTTTGTTTAAGATAGCGGCAACATGGGGAAAGCTTTTCGTTTATGCAGTTTTAGAGTAGTGACGTTAAGTTGGCTTTGACATGGAACCGTAACCAATGCTTTTAATTCAGACTTTGGTCTCTATTGTTTCTGTATAAAGGCTTTGCGGCTAATAAATTGAAGTGAACAAAAATGGTCATTCTTAAAAAAAAAAACAAAAATGATCATTAAAAATAGTTTGCGTCATTAAAAATAATTTTGCTCCGGATTTTTTCATTTCTTATTCTCAATTCTTTACACTTGCATGCTGCGGCTCTCTTAAATAATTCGACGTTTTTTAGTTCATTTATTTGACTAGTTTTCCGTGACAACACGCAATCTTGACAATTTTATGTGACACTCTTCTTCATTAATTTGTATTATTATTTTTTTGAAGAACACTACTCTTCTTCGTTAATTTGACCATTTTTTTTCTAACGCACATACTTTGGATCAGCCCAATAAAAGGAGCCCAGTCAAATTTCTTCACCGTCAGCCCATCTGTTGTTATCGCCTGCCTGTACTTGTCTCACGCACGCACACGCAGCGGTGGTGAGGTGAGGGTTGCCAAGAGTTAAAGAGAAAAAAATGGCCTCTGCAATGGTGCTGAGGAAAACCCCTAAAACCCTTCACTACTACTCCTATGCCCTCAGAACCCTACCTTCCGAACTCCGCCAGCTCAGCGGTGTCGCCACCGCTGGGAAACCCCAACCCCAATCCAAACCCGAGCACGCAGATCCATCATCGTCATCATCCTTCACCTTCTCATCGGACGAAAATGCAAATGCGTCGCGGACCAAGACTAACGAGGAGGAGGATCCCATCTATGTGAAAGGCCTTAAGACGACGGCGTCGTCTTCATCCTCACAATCAGATTCGGTGAGCATGCCCATGTCGTTCATGACGGGATCAATTGTGGGAAAGAGATTTTACCAGAACGTGAGCACCAGAAAAGCTGATGATGGAAATGGGTGGACAGTGATGCTTGATTATAGAACCCTTAAATCCCTTCTAAGAGACCCCTTAAGTGCCCCACCCCTGCTCTTGCTATGGCTGTTGCTGCTGAATGGGACTATCAGGTGCTTCCGTCTTCATCAATTTCCTTCTTTTAGAATTCCAATTCATTCTTTTTTTTTCCTTTTTCTGGCCACAGTTTGGATTCTTGTGGTGATTCTTTACTCTATTTTTGTCGAATAAAAAGAATTAGCAATTTTTGTTTGAATTTACAGAATAGTATATTGTTGTATTGTAGCAAACAGATGGAATTAGGCCCTTTACAATGCCACTCATGAAACTTGCATGCACTGCATTGGAAAGAGTTCGACTTACTCGACCCAAGGTCATTGAGAATTTGATGAAGAAATTCCATCAGGATTTGGTCTTCTGTCGAGCTCCAGCAGACAATGATCTCACCAAGGGTGTTTTCGGTAGGTGCCTTCTTTTCTTATCTCCCTCTATGTGTGAATTTCTGAGTGCACATTCCTTGTTGTCTTGCCTTTGCCCGATTCGCATAACAGGGTGAGATTTGTTGATTACTAACTTATATTTCATGACTAGCTTTTATTCTTCAATCACTCCTCGTCAACCTCTTCCTGGTCGTAATAAATGCAATTGCCAAACTATTCCTATGTGCTCATCTTCTGCCTCCCAAGAACAAGAAGCAAGGCAAACATACGAGGAATAAGGCAACATAAGTACAAACAACAGTATCACTGTAATGCAATACATAGTCATATTCAAGAATGTATTGACTTTTTTAACCACAACATTTGAATTTGTTTTACTCAATCATTACTATTCGGCCTCTCTTAATGCTAGTTGGCACTTCAATACATAGACCTGTTCTGCTTTGAGTCAGGATGCCATCATGTACATGATGCTTCATAAATGGTCTATGGGAAAGTGGTTGGTGTTTGCTTTTTGCCTTGGAATCTCATCCATCCTCAGACAATTGCAGAATGTTTCTGATGACCAATTTTCACTGTTTAAATAAAGGAAGATTTATGGCCTGGAATTTTCAGCTACATATTAGTAATGAAATGGATCAAGTGTTCAGGAAAACATTGTCGTCAGAATTTTTTGAAAGTTTTATGATGATTTGCTGCTTATAACATATGTAAGAAGCTATGTCTGAACATGAGGATGAATCCTTATTGCTTCAATCAAGTAAATGCCCTTTATATTCTCCCTTTCTTTGGACAAATGTGAAATGTTTTCATTTCATGCACTTAGTTTTGATTTAGCATCTTCCTTTCAGCAGTGAAAACTATTGAGTTTCTTCATTGTCCACATAATTTGTAGAACGTCAAGTTGAGAAGATTGACCCTTTGCTTAAATGGTTGGAATCAGAGTTTGGGTATAAACCTGTCATATATTCCAGTTTCTTTGGTGGTAAGCAGGAAGAAGGTCTGGTAACTGCCATTGAAGGCCTGCTCAAAAGGACAAATGATTGTGAACTGGCTGCAATTGATGCAATTGCTGCTGCTGCTCATTCTGTAGTTATTGCCATTGGAATCTTTCGTGGTAGATTGAATATTGAGGAGGCCATTGAGCTTATTAGACTAGAAGAAGATTTACAGGTTCTAGTTCATGTTGTTTTTTCATCCTCTTGCATCTCTTCCAAATATTCTTAGTACCTCAAGTTGTTGCTTTATGATGTTTTTGCAGGTAGACAGCTGGGGTCTGGTTGAAGGTGGACATGATGTTGATATTGCGGATCTTAAAGTTCAAGTTGCATCTGCTGCTGTTTTCCTTGGACTTTGTAGGAGGAAATGACTTCTGTATGCTTTTTCACTTATAAGTAAGTGTGTATTTTTTTTAAATTGCTTTCGCTTTTTCATGTGTTGTTTCATCAATACTGCACAAAAAAAAAAAAAAAAGGCTTATACTGCTACTGATCTTTTTAGCATCTGACTGGACAAAATTAGTAAAGATAACACAAACCATAAATCTGAATGTATCGAAGTGCTTCTTTGACTGGAATGCATGTACACTTGGAGAAGTTGAATTATTTAAATGTTGATTTTTGTTCTGTTCCTTTTGTGCATTTGCACAACATAAATGTTCGATTTCCAAAAGATATCCTGGTGAATTACTGTGCTGCATGTTTGCTTGGTGAATTATTGTGCTGCATGTTAGCTTGAGTTGCTAACCTTCTTAATTGTGCATTTCCAGTTTGGCCTCTCAAAGAGTACAAGCATATTTACCATAACCTTTCCTCGTTCTGCAGCTAGTTACTGTTTATCCTTAAGAATCATTTCAACTTCCTGCTACCTTGATGTTTCTTTACACCTTGAAATGGTAATAGGATGATACGTGCAAGATGATTGTGCAACTTTCATGCAGAATCAATAAAAAGTTAAAAACATATATGATTTATACAAAAATAAGGTCGATTAATCTGCAAATATTTTTTCTGTTCCAGGGCAGACATGCTACCCTTGCCCTCTGTCATTCCCTTTCCCCAAATAGAAAGAGAACAATCGGAGGAAGGGGGGGGGGTGTTCAAGAACTTAGTTTCAGCTCATGGAATGAAGAAGAAGTTGCACGTTGCTGTTCCACAGGATCATCTGATTTCCTGAAGCGTGATGCTTTTGAGCAACATGATATATTAGTAGTATTGAGACATTTAGAGCGCATTACATCATGATATGAGAAGTTAAGGCCCTTCTTTGCAGCATTGCACACACACTGGCGGCTGTTCTCTGATGTCGCAATAACAACAGGCTGTGTCACAGTTATTGTTGCATCCTAGTGAAAAGAACGATAGACATATATGGTTGGTCCTTTTTTATCCTTTAATAGAATGTAGATCTAAAGAGTGAGAGAATTAGTCCCATTACCTGTCACGGTAACATATGGAGGTGATGCTAGAAGTAGAAGGTTTGGGAGAAACCTACGCCCATGGCTTGCTTGGACTGCAAAAGTCAATGCCTGAGTAAAGACCATTAAAACCAGAAAAGTAAGTATTACCCGCTGCTCCATTGTTTTAGCAGGAAAAACCAGGGTGCTTTTGAGGTTGGTTGGTTTTCGAGGGTTTTCACTCAGTAGAGCTCTCTTATATAAGATCCTGTGCAGAGGTTTTCAGCAGATCTAATGCAATTGATGTGACACTAATAAACTATGAGCTTGTGTCTTAGAATATCCTGCCGTTTGTTATGTTGGGGATCACACAGCCAGTATGTAGGCATAAAAGTCTTCATGTGCCAATCTTTTGTCTCGGCTCACTATCGTAGTAAAAAGGGGCCATATTGATTGCGTGAGAACAAATATATTTATCCTCGCGTGCGTGAAACCTATGGGTTGTGCATGGCGAGCATAATAATGAACTTGTACCCCTAGCACTGGTTCCCAATTCCACTTGCTAGACCCGGTTGTGAAGTTCTTGGTACAGTTTACTGAAGCTTCAAAACTGGTTGCTTGGAGATCACCTCGATGATTGGTTTGGTTCTGTATCAACCAATTGCTAATCTGATGGCGTTAGTACATTAACTAACGAGTAGATTAATCAATTACTCCGTGGCCAGTGGCCTAATAAGCCAACGCAGTAGTTGTAATTTCTACTTCAAAGAGCTGACGAGTATTATATTCTTCCGCGTACGGGCCAGAATGCTTCCCAGAATCCCGAGCAACCAAGTCCATTACGTAAACATCCTAAAAATGTAGGAATATATATGCAGAGAAACTGAAATCACACGATTGCCTAATTGTAAGTCTAGCACTAAATTCGTAAGAAAAAGGATAATAGAATAGCGTTACCAGCTTGCTTTCCTGCCACGGAGTAATGACTGATGATTGAAGCAATAGATGATCATGCTCAAAATAAAGCTTTTGGGCATGGAGGAGGGCTGCAGGGCCGAGATAGGACTCGGGGTTCCACAAGACAACGGGGGCAGGAAGTGCTACAGAGGACGTATTCATGCTTCCCATCCAGCGCAGTCCCATACCTCTTGGACTTTGGTATTACCTCTTGAACTTTTCCTCTTCAGCCACGGCTCAATGGGCTTGTATTCTGATTATGATAGGAGTATAGAGAAATCAACTAACGTATTGATAAAACTGAAATCTGAATAAATAAGGGACTGGATTGTTAAGTAATAAAATCTTAATATTTGAGTGCACTCTATATTAAGCGATAAGTAAGTAGTTAATCATTTATTATTTTAAATAAGTTTTGTCTAAATAATTTATAGTCATTTAATTATTTAAAATATTTTATTTTTTGTTATTAAACATGTAGGTCTGAACATATTAAGATTTGAATTCATTAAATTGAATTATCGAACATTGACCTTTGATTTACGTGACATACAACTGTACAACAAGGAACCGCGAGGCCTTGCCAAATAGACTGTATAAATGAGACGTTTAATTAACAGGCTGGATTGTTTGTATATCTATTAGTTAGGTGGATCAACTTCATACGTCCCCCTACCCATTGTTGTCTTTCCATTCCCCACATTTGCCAACGGCGCTTCCTATCCTTTAGCACCCATTTTCTTCATCTTCTCCACCACACCACGCTGCTCCACCTCCTCTCATCCCTTCCCATCCCTCTATCCCTCTTCCCTTCTATCTCTTTCCAAGTCCGCTTGCTCATCCTTTTCCATCACAGCTCCTGCCCAATCCCCGCCTTGACGATGTCGGTAAGTTTTTTACGTTTTATAATCCTTTTTTTTTTGCCCTTTTGGCTACATTTTTTAAAATCTTCCTCTCGAATATCATGGTTTTGCTTTGTCATCATCTATGATTTTGGTTAGTACAAAGCCGGTTTAATCACGTTGGAGGGCCAACCGATTATCAATCCTGGCGTTTCATTTTCTCTGTTGGTTAGAGCTAGTAGTTTTTGCATGATTACGAATTCACATCAGTTCTTTTATGTTTTCACCGCAAGCCCCCATGTCAGCCCAGGTGACTTTCTTGGTGGTACGCATAAAATGTCGATTTTTCATTTGAAAAGAAGAAATTAAAGAATTTGTTGGGAAGCAAAATCCTCGTAATGTCTTCAATTTTATCTATCTATTAGAAATCCTGAAAACAATTGCATGGTGAATTCTTGAAAGAAGCACGATCATGCTAAAAAAGAAAAAAAGAAAAAAAGTTGTCCTCTTTATTTTCGGGGCTCGTATAAGGTCCTCATTTATTTGCTGCAGTTATTACACCATACGTCCGCTTGGTTGTGTTAGAGACCGGTCTTGAACCATGCTATGATAAAGTGCTCTGCTCTTGTACTAGGTTCAGTATAACAATTCTACAATGGAGCTTTATTTCTTGTGCAATTTGCTTTTTCTTCTTCCTCAAACAGCAGTCTATTGATATAAGCCCATTTACATACTAAAAGAAAAAGAAAAAAAAATTGTAGTGCATAAGAGATTAGCCTATATAGTATTTGCTATTATCGCGGGAAGAACATTAACTTGTTGCAAAGGAGCGCCAAATCTTAGGTTGTTTGTACTCGGCATGCCTCACAGTAGATTGATCATAAATATGGTCGTGTTATAGTGGAAAACTCACTGTCTACAAGGTCTGATTTATGTACAGCAGGAGAAGGGTCGGCCATTGCCAAAGTTCGGCGAGTGGGATGTGAACAATCCGGCATCAGCTGATGGATTTACAGTCATATTTGCCAAGGCTAGGGACGAGAAGAAAGCTACCGGGACAGCAGCCGGTGGCAACAAAGGACAAAATTTGGACCATGCATCTCGGCCAGCAGAACCAACGGATCAGCAGTCCCCCACCACCACGGTACTGATGCTTCTTTTAAATCTCCAGTCCAAACTGCGCGTGCATGTTCCATAAGCATAAGATTAGAGATTTTACAATTTTTTTTTTGGGGTGTGTTTCTTTCCGGTGATGCAGAAGAAATGGTTTTGTTGCTTCTGAGGCTCGATGCTGCTTTTGAAGCTCTGAATCTGTCAAACGCATGGCGTCAATTGATTTCAGCAGATTACCATTACGTAGTTGGCAAGGAGGCCGAATGTAAGGCGCTTGTACATTTAACCAGCGGCCTCATCTGAATCTTATTACCATTTTGTTATGTCTCCATGTTCCCCCAGCATGTATCATGCTGGGGAAGAGGTGACAGGAACAATTTAGATACACCTTCTCGTCTCTTTGCCTATGCAAACTTTATGGCTTCTAAATGGCCTTTTCTTTAGACTATAAATTTATTAAAAAAAAAAAAAATCAGAGGCTAAAAACTGTAGTGCCAGCAGCAATAAATGGACTCGAGGAATCTGTAAATGAAGCACATGGTTTGCATCATGTCCCCACATAGCAAATGTTATATACTGTATAGGCTCATTCGGGTTTTGGGCATGTTTTATCTCCAACATTTTTGTACTTTTGTACGAGCAACCTGACATGACTTCCAGAAAAAGGTTTGATTAGTGACTCGAACTGAATACATCTAAAATTTGAATGATTTTACTCCTCGGTGAATATCATGGGACTACATGACAGCGCGCCCGGCCCTGGCTCCCAACTAAGCCCTTCAAAACAAAGAAATAGAACACCTAAAGGACAAGCAGAATAAGAGGGTCAAATACAACCAACAAAGACACTTAATCCCTCCGTCAAAACATGACATAACTAATTTTGAACTCGTGAATTTTTAAGTTCAATATGCAGGTAGGGATGTCCCATTTGATCGTAGGAACCTCCCAACAGTGATATGTGGATCAAATTTAAGTCAAGAACCACCTGTCTCAGCCTCTGGTCAGTCACCAGAACAAGTAAACAAGATACTTATGGTCGAGGAACTCTGCGCTTTTGACATAAGAATAAAAAGGAAGAATATGCTATTAGCTCTTCTAAATGGTAGGATAAAAAAAGTCAAAATACTACATTGAGTCCTTGTATATTTCTTAACCAGAAGATTTTCATCTCCAACATATTTTCCTTGCAAAATCATACCCCATTTGCTTCCTGCTATTCTTACAATTAGGGTAGTATATAGAGTAATGAAAACTGCACTAAAAAATGCCTGTCCTACGCAAAACTCGCCCTAGCTAAGGTCTATCAGGAGATCAAAAGGGGTAACAGCGGTCATTAAAACTTGATGTCATTTTTTGTTTTTTGGGGAGTTGAGAATGTACTGCAACCTGCCTAAACCTAACCATTACTGCATCCAAGATCCAGCATCATAACCAGATGGTTCTGAAGATGGTCAATCCTTGAACGTTGACAAATTAGGATGTACTGGATGGTCAAACAGGCATACACGGCCAAATTTGCAGATGCCAAAACGTTCATAATGCCGGCATATATTTCTGCCCTGCACCAGTTTATAGAGGTTGTGAGTAATCATGATCACGAAACCTTTAAGAAAATGAAATGTCTAAAATTTTTGTGCATCATAGGAGGACTACTTAGGAATGAAAGTACATAGTGACCACTAGTCCAGACAAAACTGTAGCACTACTCATCCAAAATGCAATCTCTTCTCTTGCACAAAGATGACAGCAGCATATTAAAAAGTGTGTTTTCATATTCAATATCCACTAACTAATTTGTTTAAGTCAGATTAAAGAAAATATAGAGATTCCATAGGTATACATAGAAGCTTGTAAAGGTCTCAAAGCTTTCAGCATGAACTTCCAACTTTTGGCCCAATATTACTCATGGACTTTCACATGTCATGGTCCATAGAGAAACTCCAAAGTGATCAGTTACAAGTCACTAAACTTAAATGATTGCAAGAAAAAGCTTTGAACGTACAGGTCTAAGAGGAAGGCCTTTCTCACTCAGAATGCATGTAGGCTGGCCCTTTGGATGGTGAAACCGACATGCAGACTTAAATTTACAGTCCCCAGTTTTCATGAAGTAAGCACATTCAGGTTGACCAGGTCGTTCAGGAAATTCTTCAACTTGCACAGGAATATCTTGCTCCAGCATATCTGCTCTAGCTGCTCCAGAAACTAGATAAGTGTTCCTGCTCCTTTGTTGAGGCACTTCTTCAGCCTATGTTAATGATAAATAAAAAGTATCAGAACAAGGTACATTGTACAACTTGAAGCAGATTTGACACAGAAGGCACATATTAGCAACAATGATGGATGTAGCAGTAGATAGGGATGAAAGAGGCAACAGATATTAAAACTGGATCCTCAAATATACCCAAAAAACAAAAGCTCCAGTCTTCAAGTTTGTGTTTCCAGTCCACTGCTTTTTTTTAGCTCATGCTGGTCTTGCTTGGGGATAATTCTCTCACAACACAATCTAGGAAAAGAAAAAATAGAAGCGGGTAGAAAAAGTATCTATTAAGACTCTTGAATTCTGGGTAGACAAATACACGCAGGGATGCATGGGAGATAAAGGGTATGATGGTGTGAGGATGGTTTCCAAGGTAACCTAGGACAAAAAGAAGCAAAGTAAAAAAAAGTTTATTACCTTTGTCCAGATAATCACACATAGAACTATATACTCTTACACAAGCATATGCAGGGAGACAAATAATGGATCATTATTGGTCTTAGGATAACCATCCATAAAAATATAAAATAAACTACAACTGGCACAGAAGATATATCATATTTCCTTGGTGTCCAATTGCAAGAAGTTCGAATATACAAAGACTAGCCAAATTCCACAGTCAGAAAACATAATGAACAAAAGAGCAAGACATCCCAATATGCAACACTGCAGGATGTATATCTTGCAATATTCAGTAGTAAGACATACACACATAAGAAAACTCAGTAAACTTCATAACATACAGCCATAAAGATGATAGAAATTGAGTCACAAGAAGTTCATGTTGATGATAAAGTCGCTGCTGAAAACACCATTGAAGTTGGAATTAGACAATATAGAAACATTTATCTGCCCTAAAATGCCTAAATACTAGGAATTATGTGGCTAAGACATGTACAAGTAGTTACACAATGAAATTTTAAAAAGCACGGAGAGGGGAAGCGGGGAGGAAAAAAAAAAAAGCAGGCTCCCAAGGTTACGAGAAAAGATGCAATAGATTTCAACCAAAATCATCAAAAAATTACTGCCAAAATTAGCAGATTCTGATATAAAAATTAGAATGAGAAAAGGCAAAAGGACATAAAGAATAGCTGAAAGTAAACAACAACAGGGAATGGCAAAAACCATGAATACCTGACACTCGTTGAATTCAGAATGCCCATGCATCCATTGAGGAACTGAATTCGCAATCGTATGAGATGAATAGTCATTTCGGTAGGAAAGAGTACTCGACAAGGGACGTGTAGACCAAGGTACTTGATTTGGTTGGGATGCTTCTGACAGATGCAGTGGAGCAGAGTCAATGCTTGGGCTTCCCAAAGAATGAGCCGAATGTCTAATAGGCTTACCATTCAGAGATGATTTCTGGAGGTCCAGTCCTCCCATTGATGAAGGTTCAGGATGGTGAAACACACACCGAGTTCCATATCCACAAGAACCGTTGCGCATGTAGTAGGGACATTCTTTCCCTCCCTATACCAAAAAGAAAAAAAAAAATCTAAATCAAATTCCGAAAAGAAACTTCAATTTATTATCCTTATCAATTCCGAAAAGAAACTTCAATTTATTGTCCTTATCAATTCCGAAAAGAAACTTCAATTTATGACTCAACAAACTTTATTATCCTTATCAATAATTACAAGAAGGATATGCAGACAGCAACAAAAAAATTTTACATGATCTTGCAACTACTTATGGAATATAAAAGACAAAAAGAGTTACTAGAGATTTTCCCAAGAATCTGGATTGCAATATTACCAATCGCATTGGCAAACCAAGAAAGTTAAACTTTGGAGCTGCAACTTGAGACTCCTTTTTAGAGTGACTGTATCTACAAGCTTCACCATATTTGCAACCTCCTGCTGTTGAGTAATACTGCAAAATTTAGAAGACAGCAACTCAATCACAAATTCAGACGGAATTGTGCAAAATAACAACAGAAGCCAGAGTGTGAAAGCACAGATGGTAATTTACCAAGATTTTGGGTTAATAGTAGAGAATAATAATCACTAATAAAAGACATCTCAACAGCACTGTCACTACATATAAACATCTAAATTTAATTGAATGTCTCTGAATCAGGTAGATCCAATGCCACCAAATAAGAGGGTAAGATGCAAAGATCATCGATTACATTGTCAAGCGATTCAAGATTACATTATTGGTTAGTAGAGAACTCCAGCATAAAAACTGGAAAATTAATCTATAAAGCATCAAGAAAACAAGCCTATCATATAAAACCTGCTGCTGCGTCCTGTAATTTTGACAGTTAATCAACATTTTAGTTAACTAAAATCAGAAAAAATATTGTTCAACAAGGCAGGGAAACAATGTCCTAACATATTCAATCCAACCATTTCACCGAATCGACTCCTCGAATACTCTTCCACCGATTTGCACTTACAAGGCAATAACTCCAACTAAAATCAAGCTAGTCTAAATTTTCAGCTTATGTTAAGAAAAGACATCATTCCATCCCTAGAAGCACAAAACAAAAGAAATAAGAAAACATGAAAACTCCAGAGGTTTCAACCTTGCATTCAATTTGACCGGCATTATCTGAGCTCCAGTCCTTGTCCTTAACAACCTGGAATACAGAATCATCAAATCAATAGAGCGTGAAATAAGCCGCACATAAAATTTATCAAAACTCAAAAAAAAAAAAGGGCGGCCTGGTCGCCCAGCAAAGAGTCCATAAAACCTAGTAAAATGGTCATAATACCAGACTAGTCTTCTTAACAGGGTGATTGAATTTGCAGGTGAGTCCAAACTTGCAGATTCCGGTTCTGACGTAATGAGGGCAATCTCCGGCGTAGGGTCGCAACGGAAGGCGCTGGGACCACCGGAGTCATTGTGTGCAGAGTTCAACCCTCCTCGGTTATCATTGTCGAAGGAGTTTAGGCCAACATTTTGGAACTTGGCAACTAAGGCTCGCTCAGTTTGCGAGTTTAAGCCGGAGGATGAAAACCCTAGCTCGGTCTCCTGGGCCTGGCGTTTGAGTTGCGAAGTGGTTATATTTATACTGACGTGGTCGTCTTCATAGGTTCCCATCTTCCTCAGCAGAAATGGACAACAGACTGAGCAGCGGAGGCAACCTCAACAAGTGAATGAGGAGTGACAGTATGACACTACTGTGACAAAAGTGCCACTGCCAGCCACCGAAAAGGTGAAAAGGCGGAAAGGCCAAAAAGCGAAAACCCTCCCCACCACTCCCTCGCCACCGCCGAAGTTTCGCCACTACCAAAATCCCCTCCGGTTTCTCTCTGTCACCTCAGGCAGCCGGACGGGACCAAATTTACTACTGCTGCTGCTACAGTACTACTCTTTTTTTGGAATAAAACATTTTTACTTTCCATTTTTAAAAAAAAAAAATGATTTCCAATTAAAAATTTTTAGTAATATTTTTAGCCGCTCTTGTTTTCTATTTATTTCGCAGTAGCATCACGTTACAAGCACTGCTACACCAGGCGATACTAACAAAAAATTTTGAATTGCATTTTACATTTTTGGTCAATTACTAATAGTTAGTCACAATTAACTTAAAAAATATTTGCAAATTCATGTCTTTCACGGACCGCAGACAATAATACATCCTGCAAAGTAAAGTAATTAATGAACACTACTAGTTTTACATTTTATTGATCGCGGGTTGTTTTTAACTTTTTATGTATTCACCACACACAATTATTCACTAAGCTTTTATTTTCTTTTGCATTATAAGTATATTTGTTGGAGCAATCCCGCGTATCAATGGCAAGCTAAAAACAATTGAAAATCTCTCTGTCATTACTCCTATTGCTAGTTCCACTTGTCACTTATCCCGCGATGGTAAAAATAAATAAATAAATTAATTAATTAATTAATCTTATATACACTGATGGTATATACGCTATCAGTGTCGGATGAATGATAATTATATAAAATTTAAATTTAAATTTAAATTTTAACTTTTGATAATATATACACTGTCAGTATATATAAAATTAACTCTAAATAAACAACATATAACAACTTACATAAACATGATATTTGACATAAATATAGAAGTGTCGTAGAGTTGCCTTTGGAAAATGATAACAAAGATCTTAAAAAAGACCCTGAAAGTAGTACTAGTTGTTTATTTAAACAAATTACTACTGCACTGCGTGATAAAAATGATTATTTTTTCCTTATCTGTATTACATACATGTTAGGAGCACGTGGATTACACAGAAATTCACATAAAACTGAAGGAATGCTGGGAGACGATATCAAAATTGGGCTGGTTTAGTCTAAATACATCACCTCGAAACTACTTTTTTCAAACTTTTCAAGACACATTTTTGAGAATCAGATCGACATCAATCAACAGGGATTTTTTTTTTTTTTTTTTTTTTTTTTTTTTTTTTTTACAACATGGGGTATTCAATCTTTCGTCCGACTAATTTCCTGCGGCTCGAAGAAAACGCCCCAATCCACTCCATACACGGTAATCACGAGACTCAAATACTAATCAATGCCTTAAAAGAATGATTATATGACCGCAACGGATCTTCTGTCCCACATTCTGTGCCATTCTCTGTCCCATTTTTTATTATATTGCTATTTCTTCTTCATAAATATCATGTTTTAGTTCTTTTTTGTTTCCTTAAGATCCAATAACTATTAATTCAGTAATAAATAAATACAACAACTTCAAAAAAGCAATATATAATAAAAAATTAAAAAATACAGCAGAAAATTCATAAAAAAATCTCATTTTTTATGCATTTTGATTTTTTTAGTTTGTTAAATTTTGTGTATTACTGAATTAATAGTTAATCTTAAGGAAACAAAAAAGAACTAAAATATGATATTTATGAAGAAGAAATAGCAATATAATAAAAAATATGACAGAGAATGACACAGAACGTGGGACAGGAGATCCGTTGCGATATATGACTGGCCAAACTATCCACGGGGCAATCAACAGGGAGTCTTAACTTGGTCAAATACCGGCAAGGCTAACGGCATCGTTCTAGTCCGGAAGGGCCATTTTCCTTTATTTTTCGTCCCCGTCCTCGTTAGAATGGGTGTAAATGTTGTTCATATATAAATTAAAAAAAGAGTTATTCTTATTCACGCGACAAGTTCTAAGACCCAGAGTAGGAAAGCGGGAAAAATAGGACGCTCCCCATGTAAAAACGTGTCCCAATCGAATGAAGGCATAAAATAAACTGTCCAGTTATATTATACTACTAGTATAAAACACAAAAATAAGAGTACCTAAAAGTATAAAACCAAAGCAGGCAGAGGGGAAGAAATTACTAATAAGAACTAGTAAGCACCCTTACCTACTACCAGAGCCTCTCCTAAGTTAAAGCTAATATACCGTAGAGACGAGTACTACTAGTAGATACAATAATGACAGCAGAATCACTACTAAAGGGAATTTTTTTAAAAAAAAGAAAAAAGAAAAAAAAGATGTAGCAGGGAGCGGCTAGCAGTTAAAAGATGCCGATGCGTGAAGCAAGATGCAGGAGAAAGTGAAAAGTGGGAATGGTGAAGAGAAGGTGATGATGACGATGGCATATTAATGCAACAGAGGCAGAGGCAGAAGAAGAAGAAGTTGGAGAAGAGTTGTGATCATCCTGCGACATGACTTTAACGACCATTCGCTGCCCTTTGTCACAATGCCCCGATGCTCCACTGATGAAATAAAAATAACCGGAGAGGTCAAGAGTGAAGACGGTGTTGCCGGTGTTGGAGAAGAAGTTGGGGCGCCTGGAAGTGCACTTCTTGTAGTCTGTCTCGCTCACCTCCATCACCGAGTCCTTCCTGTACTTGAATCCTGCTCGCCCCATGTCCATTCATTTCATTTCATATCATATTATTATTTATCTCATGCATGCATCATCATCAGTACGTACTAGCTAGTTTATTAATTAAAAGAGAGAAAAAAAAGAAAGAGTTATTCTTACGGATGGTGTCGCCAACTTTGAACCGCTTCTCGGATGCCCAATCATTGTAAAATTTGGTTTGGTTGGCAAGGGGGACGACCCACCCAATCTTGTCGCCGACTTGGTACTCGAATGAGGAAACCGACGAGAGTTGGAGTGATGAGATGAAGAGCACCAGTATTGTGTGTGTGCGAGTACTAGAGAATGAGGAATGGGAAGCCATTAGCGGCGGCGGCGCAAGTTTATACGGTGAGGCGGCGGCGCTACGTACAAATAGCAGTTTGTTTGTTGGAGTATTTACGAGTAGCCGAGGATGCATGCCTTTAATTAAGAGGGCGGTTATGGAGTTGGTTGCTTGTATTATATACTTCACTAGAGACAGAGAGTAGCGTTGGGAAATGAAACGTGGGCGCAAGCGGATCGGAGGGATTTACGTGACGACGCTAGTCGTGGCCACAAGTACTGTAGCAGTGCGGTGGGATACACTACTATTACTACATAGGGGGATAAAAAAGAACCAACCTCAGACTTTGCAATCTTGGCGTTTTGAAATTTGAAGAGCAGGATTATGCACGCCCCGATACTTTTTGAGTGGGATGATTCTAGAGTCGTTGAGGATACGACAATTGAATAGTTTACCAATTATTTTTCAGAGTAAATTTTGCCTATGAAATTCAATTAATTCAAATCTTTAATTTTTATTTATCAAACACATCTGAATATATTAAAATGTGAATCTATTAAGTTTAAATGTTGAATTGAGTTATCAAATAGAACCTTAATGCTTTTAGATCTTAACATATTCAGATGCGTTTGATAATAAAAAATACCTCATCTTAATTAATTAAGTGACATTTAATCTCCTAAGTAAAACTTACTCCAAAGGATAAGTGTTCGCTTATCACTTAAAGCAAAATACACTCAAATATTATAATTTCAATACTTAGTGCGTTTGATAAAACTAAAAATTTGAAAATTGAAATCTGAATCTATTAAGTCAGTGAATTGTTAAGTACTAAATTTGATACATTTGAACGTATATTACATTAAGTGATAAGCTATTTTCCCTAGAATATTCAATGGATACTCAATTAATTCAGATGTTATAGTTTTGGTTATCAAGCGCATCGGAATATATTAAAATCTAAATCCATTAAATTTAAGTGTTGAATTGAGTTATCGAACAGGAGTTAATATATTTAGATTTTGGATTTCAGTTTTAAAAAGCATTATTACTTACCAATGATTTTTTTGTTGGATTTAGTTTTAGTGTAAATTACGTCTGATTTGTTATGTTTTTTTTTTTGTGTCACCTTATATGCATCTGACACTGTATATATTATTATCATTGGATGCATAATATATATTCAAAATTTAAATATCAAATTTAAAGTCCCGTTGATTATTATTTATTTAAAATTGACAGCATATACATGATCAGATTCTTAATTTTACATGTAGTTATTCGAAAGAATCAGCAATATTTGCCTTTTTAGGTTTAAAATCATGAATATGGACACTGTCAGCATTTTTCTCCCGGTAGAAAGAAAGGGTATTATATTTGACTTCCCAATTGCGTGGGCGTGGATCCAATCTTTTGGACATGCTCGGCCGCCAAAAGATTCTGGGACCTAAAACACCATAATGGCTGGGCTGCTGCAATTGGCTGTTAGTTGTTTCAGTTCATCTACTTCACCAAACCGTCCATTCGGAATTATTAAGGAAAAGCCCATTTTCCCCGTTCTCCCTATTATTATTAGTAAATAATTTAGCAGCCATAAAATGTCCATCAATCACTAGTTGTTTGGATTGCATATTATTTACATCGTATTATTTATTTATTTGTATCATTAACTTATTTTTTATTTGATACATATTATATCAAAAACTAGTACAATATATTTTTAAATAAGTTATCTCAAATAATCTTCTTCTATCCAAAGCTCAGTGTCTTCCTAATAAATTATCAATTACCCGGCTGCATCTCCGTCACCATCATCTTATGAGAATTTTAGTCTATTCTCAATTGAATTGATCTTTAAGTAATGGCAAATTTACTCAAATGTCATGATCAATTATCATATGATATTTTTTTCCACTAGGGTCCTCCCTCCTTATGACCAACTGTCGCCCCATCACATGCAATATTGCAATTGATTGATTGAAAAAGCCCTCTTATAACTTTGATGAGGCCGTCTCACCCTGTCAGCACTGCTTGCTTCTTTCTTTGTGCTACAAGGATGCATTGGGTAAAATAGTAGGCGATAACATCTAAGCCAATTTGCAGATCCATCTTCCTTCTTTTTTGCAGCCGCGAAATTTCCCTTTGTGGCTGACGCCGTTCCAAATATGGAGCAGTGCCTGTGGGAACAAATGAGATCTCAGCCTCTGTGGCTGCTTCTACTTGTGGCCTTGGGCTCTTTGAACCTCGCCAAATCCCTCTACTCTATTCTCAGCTGGGCTTACGTTAACTTCCTCAGACCCGCCAAGAATCTCAAGAAATACGGGTCATGGGCGTTAGTAACCGGACCCACTGACGGCATTGGCAAGTCCTTTGCTTTCCAACTAGCTCGTAAAGGGCTCAACTTGGTCCTGGTGGGTCGGAACCCGGATAAGCTCCGGGATGTGTCGGACTCCGTCAAGGCTAAATACGGGCAGACCCAGATCAAGACAGTGGTGGTTGATTTCTCTGGTGATTTGAATGAAGGTGTTGAGAGGATTAAGGAGGCGATTGAAGGTTTGGATGTTGGCGTTTTGATTAATAACGTTGGCCTTTCTTATCCCTATGCCAGGTACTTCCATGAGGTGGATGAGAAATTGTTGGGTGATTTGATTAAGGTTAATGTGGAAGGGACCACCAAGGTTACTCAGGCTGTCTTGCCTGGAATGATCAAGAGGAAGAGAGGGGCTATTGTTAATATTGGTTCGGGTTCAGCCATTGTCATTCCTTCGGATCCTCTTTACGCTGTCTATGCTGCCACCAAAGCGTAAAGCATTTCCTTCCAACTCTAGTGTTTATCGTTTTTCTGTTTTTGCATTTTTTTTTGTTTGGTTTCAAACTTTGAAAAAAAAAAAAGGTTTCTGAAATGGCTTCGTCTTGCTTCTTGATGCTTAAGAGGGTTGACTACTTGTGAGGTAAATATTTTAAACTTCATAAGTTTGTGCTCTTGGCGGGCTTTGTAGAGACTGTAAAAGTGCAGCAGGAAATCTGAAGAGAGGGTTTTAGGAGCCATGTCATGGTTGTCTAAGCAATATCTATGTTTACAAGGGAATTAATCTATACATGCTCTCCCGCTGCTTGTGTTGATGGATGTCTTATCTTCATTCATTTGCTTCATAATTGCCCCTTTTTGAGTTTAGATGCAGTGTTTATTTCTTTCCTAGATTTGCAAAAATTACCTGAAAGGCATGTTTTTGGGTTAGTACGGCCTGCTGTCTACTTTGATTGAGAATATGAATGCTGTGTATGACAGTATTAGACATCATGAATTCACTAAATGAGATCGGTGAGTCTTGCTTGCAGGTACATTGATCAGTTCTCTAGATGCCTCTATGTGGAGTACAAGAAGAGCGGAATTGATGTGCAGTGCCAGGTCTGACTTGATCTCTTAACAGGAAATTACATACTGTGGCTTTTGATTCTTTTTGTTCATGCATTTGCTTTTTAAACTAATGACTATAAAAGATCTACAGAATTTTTGGAATTCATGACATTAGTGATAGCTGTTGTATTTGCTGGCATGGTTGAATCTTGTTTCCCATAACTCTGTTGTAGCAACCATTAGGAATTCTGAAACCTGTGGTGAGTTCTTTGTAATTAAATGTGGCTGTAAGTGCCATGTGTGTAGCACGTTTTACTACACCAAAAAAGGTAAGGTTAGAGTTTAAACATGCTGCTTTTCCAATTTTACCATGTATAAAACCAACAGAAAAAATCTTATGCCTTGGAAGTTGTCTGTTACTCTTATAGCTTTGAGTAAACCATCTGCTGAGTGTCATGTTGAGTACAAGTTTTCATGTCTTATTCAACTGCTTTGTCAATGTCTATTAATCCTTTTGTCTTGGACATTTGTATTTGATATTAAACGTGCGCCTGGACATTGGTCTCAAATAGGGTGAGTACAAAGGGAAACAAGTAGTTTTCTGATTGTTCTCTTCTTTGTGGCCGCCCTTTCATCTCTTCTTATGCCCTGTTTTTTACCGCCATCTGTAAAGAAAGGTTCATCTTCTTAGAAAATGCAGCCTTAGTTTTGCGGTTTCCCAGTAAAGACTGCTGGAAGCAAGTAGATTGTGATTTACAGACTGGATTACCTATTCTACTTCATCTGCACGTTGCCTCCAATTACTAACATGGATGGCAGTCTCTTGTCATCGCTGAAAAGTTCAGAAACATCTGGAGAACTTTGCTTATTTTATCTAGGAATGACGGATATAGAATCGTGGTTTCTGCACTTTGGTGTTCTAAAATTCCCTATTCTATCTCTGAGTGCAGGTACCACTGTACGTGGCAACTAAAATGGCATCAATCAGAAGATCCTCCTTTTTTGTTCCATCTAGTGATGGCTATGCCCGGGCTGCTTTGCGCTGGATCGGCTATGAACCCCGTTGCACACCTCACTGGCCACATACTCTTCTGTGGGCTTTGGCATATTCCTTGCCCGAGTGGATTGTAGATGCTTGGCGTCTGCAGTTCTGCCTCAGGATTCGGAAGAGAGGACAGCTCAAAGACTCGAGGAAGACGGAATAGAAAATATTTCCTTTCCATCCTATATTTTCAATTGACCATTGCCTCTCTCGTTCAGGGATCTGCAGTAAGATATGTAGCTAGACGCTAAGATCCAATTCTACATGGTAAAATGGCTCATGTTCCAGTGTTTCCTTGTTTGCATAGATTGGTTTTGAGCTTGCTCTTTAGAACCCAGTCATCAGTTGTTTGGGTTATTTTTCCCACTTATGAAGATCCTTCAGAATTCGGAACTGAAAGTCTGGTGCTAATGTGTCGTTGTTTTTTATTTTCCTCCTCTTCCTGCCATATTTAAGTACACAAACAGAACTAGAGACTCCTATCCGAACGAAAGTAGTAGTGTCTATTATAATGGGCGTAATCTTCGCAAATTTTTGAAGTGATTGTCTGCAGCGAACGCGTAATGAGACTGTAATCCCCCTTTTATTGAGTAATGCTAGCCTTCTAATCAGTCTCTCTCTGTCTTTTTTTTTTTTCTAAGAAAACAACACCACAGAGTCACAGACGCCCAAGCCTAAAACCTTTTGGGATTAGTATATTTTAGAGCTTTATTTCTTCCATTGATTTAATGATTTTTAAGTTCTTTAATGGAGAACAACAGGAACACCCAACGTATCAATTCGGCTCTTACCAACCAAGACCAGTTCCGGCCTTCGCGGGCGGGGGCGTCTGTGAACTCCAAACAGCGTGCAAAAGATACAAATGCAGGCTTCAAACTTTTTCCTGTCACGGTTGGATGAGAAGAAATGTTATGTTGATCTTTTCAGTGCAAAATTACCTTTCTCAAGTCAGAGTTCAGATTTTAATATGAGAAAGTTTTTATTAATATACTATCAAAATTATCCTTCTCAAGACACGATCATAAATAGACTCGAAAACGGAAAAAGACTTTGGATAAGTACAGAACTTTGTACAAGTTCGGAGATCTTAAATGATGAACTGGTTGATATTTTAAAAAAAAAAAATTGCACCAAATCCCTGCGATTGCGCGTTATTTACATCTTATTTACACACACTGACTTGTTTACGTCATTAACACATTTTCAACCATTTTTTTTTTACATATATCACATAAAAAAAGTGTTACAGTATTTTCTCAAAAAATTATCTCAAATAATCTTCTATCCAAACACACTTAACTAGTTGCTTGCTTGCGTAATGCAATGCCTAAGCGAAAAAAAAAGGTCCAGCTCTCATTTATCCAAGGGCCCAGCCGTTTAGGTGTCCGTTTGCACCCTTATTTTAGGGGTGTTCTAAAAATAAAAAAAAATTGGAAAAACACGTAAATTTAGAGTAACATTTTAAAAAACTTACCAACTTTTATAAAATAAGAATATCAAAGGAAAAAAAAATCAAATTATGGTACAAATGGTGAAGGTGAGTAGCGGTTGTGTGTGGCTATGGTCGGTTAGCAAAATGATAGGTTACGTTAGGAGGGGATAAAGGCTTTTTTGTTTTTTTGGTGTATTTTGATCACACACCACTCAGTAAGTGAGTTTGTTTGGATAAGAATTTGTTTGGATGATTTATTTGATCTAGTTACTGTAGTACTTTTTGTGATGTGATGTATGTGAGATAAAAAGGTGATTGGGAATTGTGTGTATGATGCAAGCAAAACAAAATCTGAAATAAATCTTGCAAAATTTCTTTGTCCAAACAAACCAAGCAGGCCCATTTATACAAACTATTTTTTAGACAAACATCCGGAAAAAACACAAGCGGGCCCATTTATGTTGTCAATTTTTCATCAAGTTAATTCTCAGCTAAATTACAAATTGAAACCAAAAAAAAAAAAAATCCAAAAAGCACTGTAGCACTTCACGCACGAGCAAACGAGACAAAGATATTGGATAGCTCAATTTAATCAAATAATATTTCGCTTGTATCATAAACATATTTTTCAATTCACATTTTTACATTTCCAATTACTTTTTCATCTCATATACATCACATTACAAAAAATCTAACATTAATTATTTCAAAATAATACTCTATCCAAACACACTAGTAGAAGTTTCTGTCAACGAAAAAGTATATCCAAAGTCACAATGCGCGTAATAGAATCTTTAATAAAACTCACCCCCGAGACAGTTTTCCTTCTCATGTACAGTGCGTATTGAAAAATTCCTTCAGGCTGCTGCTGTTGTCGTTGTTAGCGATGGAGATACAAATGTTGGAGAAAGCAAATAATCGAATCCAAAATCCCAGATCCCACTACGTTCCCTTTCTATACAACACAATCTGTAACTGTTCAAAAGCACGGAAGAAAACCAATATCCCACTACATTCCTATTTCCCTTTCTCCAAGGAAAAACTTCAATGATGTGAAACTTAACCTGCGCTGGAGTTCAAAATCAGCTATTGACACCCAAATGTTACAGATACAAACTCATAAGTTGTCATATTTCTTTCTCATATAATTTCAACATCTCTCTCAACAACTGATCCGGCCTCTAGATCAGATCCATGCTTACTCGTTCTGGTTCTAGAAGATTTTTGGCTAAACATTCGGACAAACAAGCTTTTTGACCGGGGAACTGTTTGAGGTCCACTAGAGATGCTACTTTCACCATTCTTTTTGGCAAGTTCTTCTACGACCATCTTCATACTGGTATCAAAACGCCGCCTAAATGTGGGATACCTTGATATGGATCTAGTGATTCCTTGAAGTCTTTAATAACAAAGTTCAAAGAACAAATAAGACCAGATGCAATACGAAATAATTAAATCAGAGTAACATAAACAAAAGCATTCTTTAAAAAGGCTTTCTGCATCACCTTCGAGCTAATCCATCAAGTTCAGCTCGTCTTAGCTCAGACTCTGGTGGTGCACCGATGTCAGATTTTTTCAGCCTCTCAGGATCACCACTTAGTAGAACCAATTTGCCAAGATATAACTCTTCAGCTTCAGATAGGTTTTCAGCTTTGATTTGTTCTTTAATGATCACCAGTGGGTTAAAAAACCAATCAAAGACAGCATCTTTTGGCCGATTTGTACTAGTTATTTCAGTAACATTATCACCTGCATTGGCAGAACAAAGTGCCAAGAAATCATATCTTCGCCATATGCATAATAATTACATTTCAAGTATTAGAAGGGAAAGCATCACCACTCACTTAGCAATATACCAGCAGAATTAGCTTTAGCCGAACGCAGAAGTCCTTGAAATATGCAATAAGCAGGTAAACCAATGCTGATTATTTTGCCACTATCTTTATAAGACTTGGCATCTTCAATATCTTTTAATGTTATTATGCCTTCAGAAACCATTATTTCCCCATAGCGCTGGCACTCCTTGAGTAAGGCGTCAACCAACTACAAGAGCCATTCATGGAGCTCTGATCAGCATTAAAATATCAAAGTTGACAACTTAAGATGTTCTATATGTAGCACTAGAAATATACCTCAAGGGACCTCAATTCAACAATACGACCACTGAAAGAAGTTGTACGTTTAAAAGACTGGAGCCTTGAAAAGGATGCTGCTCGAGAACTGGTTACTGATGCAGCATTCTTTCTGTACTTGGGTCTGTTCAAGCACCAGAAAATCAAGGTCATTTGCCAGAACGTTTTTGTGTGAAATGAATATATGCATTAACAAACATTTAATTGAACCACAAACAGAACAAGAGCTCAACCTAGGAAAGCAGGAACCTTCTGACATGTCAAGAACATCATTGCTGTATTCATCATAGATGGACAAGGAAGCAGCAATATAGCACAGGCCCAGCCAGAAAGATGACTCCTGCAGCCAAATGTTATAGCATTAGACTATCAAGCTAAGTGACAAAGAAAAAGAAAAATGCTGCAATTACAAAAGCAAGAATCTTAGTAAGGCAAATACTTCCACAGTCCAATAATGCACAGCTATATATAATTCTTTTCTTTTCTTTGTCTCCATCAACCCGAATTTTAAGAAGAATGCAAATTAACCTGATATACAACAACAGCTGCATAAAAGCCCAGGATGATGCTTGATACCATAGAGCCCAACAAAGCCCCAGCAACGGCCAATGGCCAGAGCAAGATAGCAAGACCTGCAAATGGCACACATATTGTCTCCAAGAAGGGGCCCTCTCGACCAACACAGTCATGAAATAAACGATGCCACCCCTTAAATAGCATGTAGGGGCTTTTGCAAATGGCAATGATTGATATCACAATCATGTCAACCATAAATCCCAGCACTCCAGCAATAAGTGCTCCGGGAACATAAAGCAATCTGCAATACAGCCCCGATGTCATTGGACAAAGCAAAGCATTACAGAAGGACAATTAATGAAGTCAAACACCGTCATTCCAGGACGAACTGATGAGGGCACAACTGGATTGGAGAAAAAAAAAAAAAAAAAGAGAAGCCTGAAGATGGTTAAAGAAGGAATAGATATTACTATCTCCCCATTGTTGGTAACAAAACAGTAACCAGAAGCCTTAGGGGTAGGGAAGACTGGTTATACAGTTCTGACATTTCCCAATCCTATGAACTGTTCCTTGAAGATTTGGATTGCCTCCTTTTCCAGTTCTGTCCCAAAAGGAGGCAAAAAGGAAATAATCCTTGGATATGACACAATCTCCCTCTGCATGGAGAACTTTTAATAGAGTATTTTAGAGCAAAATTGAATACCATTCCTGGAGCTTTTTGCTCTCAATATGTTATTAAATTACAAAACTTGAGTACTCAATAGGCAACTAACAGAAACAAGACGCAGTTGCAGCCTGGAAATTGATGAAATAACAGCTAAGATCCAATGATTTGCAGCTACAGCTTCAGTATTTGATGCAGAATAACCAACAAAAAGGCTAGAAATCCTTGAGGCTAACTGCATTTGTTTTTTTCTGTGGATAGGCAGGATAAGATTTACCAAGTCCACATGCGAGCAGAGAGAGCTAGAAGTATCAGGAACCAACAGATAACATGTTGCTAGGAGGATTTATATAATAGACCAGAAAGAATCATGCCCGATCCTTTTCTTACTATGCTAGTTTGCACCTAATTCAATGCTAAAAACTGTCAATAAGAGGGAACCATGCCTGATCTCATAGTACTTCCCAGCGGAAAGGCCTTGAACTCGTAAATCATCCATTATCGAGAAATAGGAATAGTAACACATGTCCAGGAAGTCCTAACAACAGTAAAGCTTCGCTTGACAGTATCCAAGTTCCATCCTGTAAAGAAAGGCTGCCATTGATTTCAAAGGCGCAAAATGTATAGTTTAAAAAAAATAATAATGATGGAGATAATTTATCCATACATAAATACAGTGAAAGAATTGATTTGTCTTCCCTTCACCAACAGCTTGAAAAGTGGCAAGCATTGGTGAAAAAAATCCGTATGCCGCACCCCAAGAATGCTACCTAAAACTGCTATTATTGGCCAGAAGACTAACAGGACAAGAACAAGTGGACAGAGTACAAGCTTCAGAACTGGCCCTAATTGTTTCGTGCTGCCATAAGAAACATTAGAATGATGTCACAAGGAGCTACACCAAATGAATGTGGCAAAGCAGGAAATAATATACCAAGTTACCTAACCAACATATTTAGAGGGGGACCAAAAACACATACCTCAATATGCAATAGTAAGTGTAGCATAGGTGCACAGGCCAAAGACCCAATGTTACTGCAGAGTTTCCAACTGACATGAGAAGGCATAGGGCAAAAATGATACCTGAGAAAAATGTCAAAATCAATATCCAAATTTAGAAAGAAAATTCCTGAATAAACTGTGCAATGCTTTGAAGGGTAACTCGTATTTACGGACTAGAGCAAAATACATGCATTATTGCTTTCAAAGGCTCGCATATCTTTTAACAACTATTAAAACTTCTCCGTTGGGGGTGTTGACCAGACATGATCAGAAAATATCAAGAAATGACTAAGTAAAAGAATAAAACTTTCGCAATTGAGAAACCAATCCACCAGCTTCAATCTACATCCTTGCTATATTACCGGTGCGCATCGCAATCATGAGAAAGAAGGGTAAAAAAAGGGGAATTATGTGGTAGCAGAACAATGAAACAAGCTAACCCCATATAGCAAGTGAAATCCACGAGGCAAAACGATGCCCCAGATTTTTTATATTTCCTAGTGTATCATCTTAGCCCGTAAAAATTTATTGATGTCAGTTGGATGATGAGCAAAATGGGTTACTCCAAGACAAATTCCTAAAGAAAGTAACCAAGTAGCAAGTAAAATAAGAAGTTGCCATATTAAACACCGGAGATTGGTACAAATCTATTTAGAAAACCTAGAATGAAAAAGGCCAATGAAATTGGGCAATCGTAATGTAGCTAAACAAATTCAAACCAGATAACTCAATCTAGCAAGCGAAATTCCGGGAGGTAAAGCGACAGAATATTTTGTTGTGTTCAATATCGAAAATCCAAACCCACAATCTGAATTGGATAACTGGAAAAAGGGCAAGCAGAAGCAGGGCAAAAGTAAAGGACTTGTAAGTGAAATAGAGTCGGTACACATTAAACTAACAAGTGTCAAAGCATTTAGAAAGACAGACAAAAGCAGTTGTGGAGGATTAATACAGACCTTTAATGAAACCAAGAATGAGAAGGCCAATAAAATAAGGGAGAAAACAGATGAAGCTCCACAAAGAAGCAAAAAACCCCTCGGGGGCTCCATACTCTTTTCCTCACTTCCTCACTTCTCAGCCTCCAAATCTTCTTTTTTCAAGCTCCAAGTTGCAATACAAACTAAAAACTCGTATCATAATCAACGGAATTCAACTCACTCATGAAGATTATAACTTTACTCTTTCGTCAATTGGTTGGTAGGTATCTGATCCATTGGGGACAGATGCGCCAGAGATCCCACCGCTCACCAGCGTCAGCGGGTCTTCGTGTAGGAGTGCTCGTTTCTCTTGGTACTAAGTACTTAATTCCGTATATTTTATTCTCATCTTCTCAAGAGTCTTTTTGAACCCTTGGAGTTTGAGTTGGAAGCAATGAAAACAAAACAAAGACAAAATATGTAAAAATTATTACTGCTACAAACTATCTGGGGTTTCTGTAATTACCGTTGGAAAGTAGTTGCATATACTATTGGGCAGTTTGCCGACTGTTCCGTCCCACAAACTTCTAAATTCGGGCTCAGGAACAACTTTTAGTAATCGTCATACATACACCATCCAGATGAAAGGAAAGGAAAGGAAAGAGATAATTGGCATTGAATTTTAGGGTTAATAACACTCCCCGACACCCCGGGCTGAAAGCAATAGACATTTTACCCACTTGAAATTTTTATATGCGAGTATTTCATTTGAAAATACAGGAAAATGGATTGTTTAAATGCGTTGTGTTGTTGAATGTTGATGCTGCTGATAAATAACGATAATATATTAAGGATGTTTATTGAGGAATAAAAAGTCATATTTAATACCAAAGGCTTTCTTTTTTTTTAAAAAAAAAAAAAACACACACACACACACACACACACATTTAGGAGTGTTCAAACTTAAAACAAAAAAAAAAGAAAAGAAAGAAAGATTGGCTGATACAATCTAAATGAGATTTTGGTCAAATGGAAATTTATAAAACAAACAATTTTGAAATAGATATTCAAATTCTCGATTAAAATTTGGGAAAGTTAATCGAGAGTGAGTGGCTATTAAAATTCAATTAACGAATTCTGAATTACTTGCTGAAATATCGAATTTTATATGTTTATATATTATACATATATTACCTACTAGTAGAAGTCATGTACCAATTTGTTATACAGATGGTGCTGTAACTTATTCTTCTGTAGAATTGTCAATTTGATTATTACAACATAAAGATAGAATTGTCAATATTTTTAAACAGTCTATGTTTTTGCTTTTTTCAAATAGAATACTTAGATACAAAAAGCAAACACAATAATATATTTTTCAAGTGGATAAAGTGCCTATAATTTGTTTTCGTTAACTTTTTTTTGTTTTTGTTTTTTTTGTGGTGTGAATTGAAGGACATTGATGGATTACGACGTTAGTCTTGGAATAAAATTCGTTGGATCATCAAAGTTCCTTCTTTCGGATTTATATTCAACACTTCTACCAGCGCACGAGTCAAAGAATGCAGTGCGCTGGCAGCAAATCTTGCTTGATTTTGCAGTCAAATGCCACCTCCCCGAATGGCAAAAATAAGAAAGAAAGAAAACTTTCTTTCAATGATTTTTTTTGCTCACTGACTACTAAGTATTTTACTCAACTAAAATATTCAACTAACCTTTTTAAAACAATTTGATCATTCTAATGAAAATGCTTAACCATTATAATATTTTCTATACTGACGGTACTCATAATAATGGGTTTAGATGTATGGAAATTATTCTTATTAATATAAATTTGAGCATCAAATTTAGCACGTACACTCTCCTTATAGGAAAGATTGAGACAATATTAAATACCCGACGTGATAAGGCTTTGAGGTTCTTCTGCCTAGTTTATACTACTCCCTCGGTTCCATTTTAATAGTCCTAGTCATTTTTTCACACGGTTTAAGAAAAAGTAGTTAACTTTGTTGAAAAAATAAATTTAGATTGCTATTTTTCTAAAATACCCTTACATTAAATAGAGTACAACTTTATATTAATTATTCATGGAAACTTGAATTGATGGTTTTATGGGAATTTGAATTGATGATCAAGAAAGAATCATCCTCATTTTACATTAAATGGGGTAAATTATATTCAATAACAATCTATATTAAATAAAGTAATTTATACTAATAACAACCTACATTGAATAAGGATATTTTAGAAAAATTAAAAGATAATTATATTTTTCAATTGAAGAGTGGACTACAATTTAGGACAGACGAAAAAGAAAAACAACACTATTAAAATGGGACGGAAGGAGTATTATACAGTACACCACTACCAATTTCAGGCATCGTGCTAGACAGCAGTGGAGCTAAATATAAAGATAACCCCGAGTCGTGAAGTAGAATCAATTCTGTAAGGAGAATCAATTCAGTAGAAGAACTCATTTGCTTCTCTTATCCTTTCCTATTTATAAGTTTATTATAACTAATGCATTCGTTCTGAACCTTTACTCTTCTTTTTTTTTCCTAAGGAAACGAAGAGGAGGAAAACTCAACACATATGGCACAGGAAATATGAATTTTAACACATGCTCTAGTGCTCTGAAGCACTTTCAAAAGCTTACTAGTACATAGTAGTAGTAGTAACTAGCAAGACTTCATCTTTTATTTGTCTTCGAATTTTATGACGTCCTCCACCTTTTCAGAGTGTTGAACAAGGAGAGCCATTTGATAATCAAGGAATCAGATGCTTCTCGATCTGTAGGGATGGCACAGATACTTTGTTCCGAAAAGATTGCCGTCAATAATCCAGCTTGATGGTTACAGAGATTGAGAGAAGAAAGGAAAGGAAAGAGTTATCACACAACAATCATATTATCAAAGCACTGTAAACCCCATCGATGGGAAGTTTAATGAAGACGCTTTCATAAAGCAATTTAGAAGCCCAAGCAATTGCCCGACTGACTTCAGTAGACAGTGCAAGAAAGTTCAATTAATCCAGTCAATTTACAACCTTAATAAAATGATCGAATTTGAAATCCAGGTTCCAAAAACAGAGCCCCCTTCTCTAGTGTAACTAACTTTTAAGGGTCAGCACTCAACCATGCTCTGAAGACAGAGGGTCTACGGCATCACAGCACATTGTGTAGCAGTAATTCTTTCTTAGACTAATGCTATACAACCTGCATGGAATAGCAACTGAACCAAAATCTATGCCGAACAAGATATTGTATGCATAAAAGAGAAAGACATTAATTATTGTCAAACAGGAAGATGAAAGCCAGTTATTTCTGTAACTGTACCAAGTACCACGGGAAATTGAAACGTAAGTGGAACCAGGTTCAGCTATGATCTTCCTTCCTATGATGAACACTGTAGATTTCTTTGCTATCAAATGGCTTGCTCCTCCTACGAACATCCGCTGAACTACAGAATTCAGACAAATGCCTTCTGATTTGGACCTTCTTTTTCTCTAGCGGGCGATGCCCAAGAGAGCTTACATCAATAGTAGCACCATAGAGATTTGAAGAACGGATGATTGCGTCGTATGCCTTCGAAGAGAGACTCAGGCCCTCATTCTGAGCTCTCAAGTACAACTCATATGCAAGCCTCGGTTTAGCATCATTTGTAAGAGCTTCGATCAACATCTCGTAAGTAACCTCGTTGGGAGAAATGCTATGTACCTTCATGCGTTGAAACCATTCATAAGCTGCACTTCCCATGTTATTTCTCGCGCATCCACTGATAATTGCATTGAATGTAACAACCGTTGGCTCAACCCCAGCCACAACCATTTCCCTGACGACGGAATTAACGATATTAAATTTACCTTGGGCAGTATAAATTGAAGCCATAATCGTGTAGGCATACAAGTTCGGGGTCACACCAACTTTAACCATATGTTTCCAGACCTGAAGGGCCTCCTCATAGAGTTTTCCTTTCTCCAGAGCGCTAAGCAATGACCCATATGAAATGACTGTTGGTTTTTCACCTTGTTCAATCATTCTCTTAAATATCTGCACAGCAGCAGATGCTTCCGAGGCCTTAGAACATGCAACGAGGACAGAATTCCATTCCCTGCTACCTGGTTTAAGCCCCTTCTCTTCCATCTTGTTCAACAACCTTACACCCCATCTCCAAATCCCCCTTTTCCTAGCTGCTGCGAGGAGTATATTGAAATGAGAAACCACTAATTCGTATGACATATTATTGGGTTTTGGCCCCTTGTCCAACAAGTCTTCATAAATTTCCAGAGCTGCCCACCACTTTTTAGCCTTTCCCATCAACCAAATAATGTGGTTGCAGACTGATAAACTTATTTCCATATCCCTTTCCCGTATCCTTTTGTACAATTCTTTTGCCACAAGATGATGTTCTTCATGAGTGCATGCCACACAAGACGCTCATGTTCTGCACGACTTGTTTGAAGTCCAGCTTTGTCCATTTCTGTTAGTAGTTTCAATATGTCGGTACCCGAATTCTCACTCTTTATAAGCCACCGCCGCATCACCTGGTGGCTAATTCGAGTCGTGAAGTTCTCAAGTTTGGAAAACTCATCATCCCAGTCTTCATTGACATCTTTTTCAATCTCACCATTTCGAAATTTTTCTCTGACTTCAACGAAAAACTTCACAGCTCCAAATCCATCTTCCAATCTCTGATAAGCCAACAAAGCTGTGGAATAAGATGCTGGAGTGGGAGACAGGCCTTTCTTGGGCATCTCTTCAAAGAGAGCGAGCGCCTCAACTTCCCTACCTTGTTCTATGTAGATACACATTAAGGTATTGTAAGTGATGACGTTAGGATGTACACCCTCAATGGTCATATCATTCATGACTCGCTCAACAGCATCATACTTTTCAGCCTGTTTAACTGCTCCTAAAAGGCTGTTATATATGAAGAGATTTGGCCGAATAGCACCATTGGTGACTTGACTTTTTCTCTTGAGCCACTCAACAAGAGCCATTGCAGAGTCTAGCCTTTTCTCTTTGCCAAAAGCTCTAATCAGAGACGAATAAACCTGAAGGGGTAGTTCACCCTTGCCCTTAAGAACTTCATCCACATCGTCTACAGATCTGGCCTTGTGTAGGCTCCAACGAGTGCTCTAACATCAATCCTCCTCGAGCATCTTTTTCAATGCCTACTACTTCCTCACTATTCAGTTCTTGTTCTTTTTCAGGATCTGCGGCACTGAAAGTGGCAATGTCATCGCCGGTAAAAGTCAAGCGGACGCCCCTTGCTTGTTCCTCCAAGGCAACACAAGTGAAATCCCCATGATCACTTCCTACTGAAACTCCTTTAGTTGAAGCTGAATTTTCATCTTTCCTAACATGATTGCCAGTAGCTTGTTCCTCCAATACCAAATTCAACGCAAAGGATGCACCTAAAGACCCTCTCTTTGGGTCACACAAGAGACGTGTGGAGTAGTTGCAGAACAATTTGCTCCTCGAATCCCAATTCTGGCACTTAAAGCAACAAGTTCGACTCCCGATACCCGTCAAACCCACACGAATATGACTAAGAGAAGCAGCAAGAATCAATCTTTTTCTTCTAAGCTTTCTTGTGGTGCAATTAGGCGATGAACCCAGTCCAACATCCAACTGGGGCACCAACCACGACTCATTTTTAGAAGGCCAAGTGCTCAGTGCTTCCATCGCCCTCAACAGGAATTTACGCCCAAAATTGAGAATACAACCAGCAAAATTTGCTGATGCATAATACTCCTATATACAACTACACTATCCTCATAAACGATCGTATAACTTGGACAGATTCTACGCTAAAAATATAATCAAACGAAAACTGAAACTGAAACGGCAAGTACTGAAAAATGTTGCAAATGAGTTAACGAATGCAGGCTCGTACATACCTCAGAGATTAAGATTAAAGTCAGTAGACGGTAGGGTCTACCAACTTGCCAAATTAACGATAAGGAATGAAAGTTTGGGAGCTGCAAATAAGTTCAGTTACTAAGGATTCATTCGGCTGTTCCTTAGCTACTGAGATTCTGGGCTTCTCACAGCCATTCACAGCGATGGTGAGCTGTAACAATCCTCGACCGTGAAAACAATTGAACCCGACGATGGATTGCAGCACTGCCACGGGCTTAGACCCAATTTAAAGGCTGAAGCCCAGAGATAGTTGTCACGCGTGTGTGGGTCGATCATGGGCTAAATGCGTGCATGCTAAACATGAGCCCATGTATCACGAATTCTTGTGAAGCCCTCACAACGCTCAAAGCCGTCAGCATGTTTAAACATCTATGAGAGATCTTTAAAGTTTTAAAACAAATTATTCAACAATATTATTACTAATGTGCGAGGCACAAGCTAATGTGTGTGCAAATAAAAAAAAAAGATGTGTAGATTTTTTTTTTTATATATATTTACTGAAATCATTTCGAGCTCATTAGTGGATAGTTTTGATGAGTACTTTATTATGGGTGTTACGATGAGTATAGAAAATGGTTTCAGTAATTATCAACCAAATTAATTGTAATTGTGAGTTTATAGATGATCATGTAGCAATAGTTATCATCTCAATAATAGTTGTGGAAGTTGTAAAATCATTTGATCTTATCATGAAAAGGCGAAATTGGTAACACAAAAAATGACGGCAAAAGTTTACACCAAATCAAACCCCCGCTCCTACTTAATTATAGTAGACATAATCGAAAACTATCTAAGAATTTCTTGCATTGGCTGTGCGTGATGCATGATTATATCGCTGTGACTGGTGCATATTCTCCTTATTGTTTTATGAGAAACCGTTAGGAGCTTACAATTTGCTCTCGTTTAGAAGCCTACACTATTTACTACTGTTCATGTCCCCGGACGAACGTTCAACGCAAAAACCATCCTCGCGAGCAAAGAAAAAAAGGGGAAGTCAGGATATCTGCGATAGCATTGTTTTGGATGATTGTATATGCTCATTCACCTAATATATGCGTGAATAACCTTTACTGCCTTTTTAGAAGATCAAGTGGAACACGTCGATCTGATCTTCTGACGCCCTGATTAAGCAAATATTTCGAAACTGGAGTCGCTAGCTTTTGATTTTATTTCCATCATGTTGTACAAGCTACAGGCTAAAGACAGCCTCCCATGTGGAAGTATGCACCTACAATATTGGAGGCTGCGCAAGAAAAATAAATAAAAGAATCAGTGCACTCGATCTTCAGGCGACGTACGTGTCCAAAGAGGGAAAAAACAAAGACGAGAAAGAATTGGAGCAACAAGACCAAAAACGATGAAAGTTGGCAACTGCTTCTCACTTTTGGAACAAAGTTTAGTAATTATGTCAAGAATCTGGGTCGAAAAGTGACAATTTTCAGGTTCCATCGGATCACGAATTGCAGTGGTATCTTGCAGTCGCATGCAAACAGATTGCATATCTTAAATTAAATTTGCGGGAATCGTGAAACTGTGTGAAAGAATCAAATCTTGTTTCGCATGCATGCAAGTAAATGTAGCTCTCCCCGTAGCAGTATCGCTTGTGGATGGGCATCTGCCCCAGAATGCATGCGTCGTTAAATTACAAGATTGCTTCCACGACAAATTCAATCAAGTCTTACAAAGAAGCATGCTCCCACTGTAAAATAAGTTCCAGTGCGTAGTTCTGCTCAATGCTCATGCCATCCCAAGCGAGAATATTAGTGCTATTAAAGTTGTAGACAAACATTTCATCTCCGAGATTTAACCCACAATCTATTTCTATGAGATTATCCAAATGATTAGAGTGTCAGCTGGGACCGCAATTGAAGGTTTCTTGATTAACGTGATACCAATCAAGATATCCTTCTTGGGGTTTTTATAATGTGCGACGAACTTGATGATTAATAAGGGATCATGTTATCTTATCCCGTAAGCACATGCAACGAATTGATTTCGGAGGTTCACGAATCAACTTGATTTCCTCTTGGCCGGTTATGTACTACGACTTGTGTATCTAATAGTTGAAATAACTCGACTCATGCAACTAATTGTTTGAAAATTTCGACCAATTTCAACTGGACAGAATCTATTGATCAATTAACCGGAGTTGGCAGTTTTAGTTGATCAAACCTTGCCTAAACTTACCTAATTCTTTTGAAGTTCCATACGGGGCCTTTTCATTTTCAGGTGGTATCAAATCGGTTGAAACTTTGGTCAAGGCATCCATGATCCATCCCCCACCGGCACCTAGTCGTAAAGGGAGCATCTGGGGCCTTTTCTTTTTCATATTTAATTAGTCAAGTTATAATCAATCCTTCCCCCATCTAGTATCGTAGAGCGAGGATGAAGAATGAAGATGTTCTATTTTAATTTGGGAGAATTAATCTCAAACATGATCTTTCCTAAGCTTCCTTCTCAGAGCTCCAGCTATTTAATGCTTGACCCGCGGCAAACTCCATATCTAGAGAGCAAAGCTGTTTAGCAGATTTAATAGAAAAAGTACAGAATCCTAGTCTATTTTGTCGATTCAGTTTCCCGGTTCACGCTTTGATATATATATGGATAAATAAAAGCCAGAAAGAAAAGAAGAAGAAAGAAAGAAGCCAGAGGCCAGAAGCCAATACTACTTATTGCCTGCTTTCACAGTTTTATCCATGCCCTTTATCTTCTACTATTTGAATAATTGCAAATAGATTACAGAATATTATCAAGTCCAGTGCTGCTTATCTTTTAGTCCTGGAGACAATGAACGTTAAGTCGGTCACCATTGCTTGTCAGTGGGATGGGGGAAAGATCCAAAAGAAACATAGAAAAGACCGGAAAAGAAAAAGGGTTAGCTGCCACAGTATGTAAAACGATCAGGACATTTAAAAACCATGAATGTTTGTCTGATTTTTCCTAGAGTAATGCAGTGATGCTAGTAGCTAGTGTGTCTTCCATACTTTGCAGGACACAGATATGCTAAAATACAAACTAGTAGTAGTAGTAGTACATTATTAATATTGCCCAACATCCTCTCGTCGTCTCCCACTCATTCTTGTGAGCAGTTTATGGGTTCTGTCCGACGAGGTGACTTCTTTAAGAGACAATGAAATATGGGACCTGGGAATTTCCCGAAAGCCGGAATGTTCCTCCCACCAGAAAAGAATCATCATCGCATACATCAAACAAACATGTGGGGTGATCAAAATACTACATAAGGATCTTCTGCAGCTTTTTTGCCCCCTCCAAACTTTGTACACAAATGGCTCTTTGTAGTATATAATACTCTCACTCTCTGAGTCTTCTAATCAGAAAAGGTTTGAAGTTGATAATATAAGAATTTTCCTTGTCGCAATTAGCTTCGGGCCTAGTGCAGTGCGGTTTGGAGAATCATCATCAATAGCTTGATCGTTAGTAGTTTGAGAAAACAAGTAGTATTATCTTAATAAGCCACTTAGCTTTCGACTTTCGAGTAGTTGGTAACGCACTAAGGAGACAAAGTATGCCGTTTATCTCGGCATGCTGACTCCTGTTAAATAACTTCATCTCTTCTTCGCTTTCCGGAGAATGCTGCTGGCCGGCCTGATTTTGCTAATAATGAAATTAACCTACCAGTACACATGCCAAACCCAGCTGTATTAATTAGTACCTTTTTTGGGATTCTCCATTTACCTGCAGAGATAGGAGTCAGTACTACTACTATATATATAGATGGCACTATGATTTTACCATAGTTAATACGAGGCAGTAATAACTAATACTAAATACTGCTGTGAAGCTTCTTCTGCTGCTGCTTTTGGGGGTTGGATTGGCGTTGGAGGCTTGCAGCCTTGAGAGAGATGTTTTGTACTTTTGCATTTCCATTCCACGAGGGAAGATACCTTAGGATTATTAGCCAACTGCCAAATTAAATAAAACATGTTAAGAGTATTATTATCATGGCACCGCATTATTTTAGGAAAAAAATAAAAGTAATTACATTATCCCCAAAAGTAGAGGTGTCAAAATGGGTGACTTGGGCGGGTTTGGTTTGGGTAAAATGGGTAATGGGTATAAGTGAGTCAACCCATTTATACCCATTTAATTAGATGGGTATAAATGGGTAAGTCAAAAAATGAATTGGGTAACCCAATTACCCATTTATTTTAATTTTTTGTAAATTCATTTAAATTCATTTTTGCAAACTAAGTTATCAATTTATACCGCTCTTTGTACCCATCATTAGTTTTAAATATTTACTTATAATATTCAATAAGCCTAATTACCAAATTTTTTTCATTTATACTCTATTTCACAAAATTACATATTATTTAATAATTGAATAATAAGAATATAAAATTTTGAACTAAGTACTATAAAAGTTAATATAAAAATTTAATTCAAAAATTTTTAACCCCTAACATTTTTTCCATATATAAATTTAAAATTTCATTTTAGAAAGATAAGAAAAGAGGCTCAAATTTATCATAAATTGGTAATGCCGAAAAATGAGCAAGTTAAAACAAAATAATAAAATAAAACCAACAAATAATAATAATAATGAAACAAAAGTAGTTAACATTATGACAAAATGAAAAATTTGAAAAAAAAATGGGTGGGGGAAAAGAAGAGAATTTTAAATGGGTTAATTGGGTTTGATGGGTTACCCAATAATACCTATTTAATAAATGGGTATTATTGGGTAACCCATTTATACCCATATACAAAAATTTAAGATACTGATACCTATCTATTCATGGGCGGGTATGAATAAATTTATTTAAGTGGGTTGATTTACCACCTCTACCCAAAAGTCACCTTATAGCACATTGTACCTAATTATGAACCAAGTAATTATTAATTAGTAAATCGGGAATGGATCAGAAGTAGCGACAAAAATAGTTGTGCAGATTCCTTTGCGAAACATGGTATATTATATTTCCCGCCGCAGCATGTATTTTAAGATCACCAATTCCTTCGCCGTTCACCGTTCGCCTGTGCAAGCTGCAACCTGACTGTATGTCTGTGAGCCGTAGTCAATTATGTGTTTCTTTTTTCCTCTTTTTTTTCTTTTCTTTTTCCCCCTGTTTCCTTCTTCTCCCGTTTGGGCAATAGAGGGGCAGCGCTTTCATGGTGAGAGTTATAATTTCAGAAGGAAGGGTCCTTAGTATTCAAAAGTACATTTTGATTTCTTAATTTGGCAACCCATTTGTCTGACGGATTGAAATTGGGACTTGCAATTATTTCATTAGACGCAGAAATAAAACTTATGAAATCACCTCCAACTCACCAAATTGCCGGACAAAGTCAATACAATTTGGCTCAATTAATAATCAAATATCATATGTTTGAATCTCGCTATCGATATAAAAGTTATGTTGGCGGGTGATATGTAAGAATTCCTACAAGTGACTTATAATTCTGAAGGTATGCTCTGATCTATAGTGATGATCGGAGTTGGAACCATCCAAACATTTTCATAAATAAAAACAAATTTGTCGGACAAATCCATTTACTTCAATAAGTCGCATACAGCAAGTTATGAAGGTTTAAATCAAAATGAGATGGATCAATGTCAATTTACAACCATTTTTTTTTTAAAAAAAAAAAAGGAAGAGAAGAGAAAAGCAAATTGTACGAGAGAGAATGAGAAATAAATTCACACACGTTACTTGATAGGTTGCTAGTTAGGTACAAAATTTTAGTATTTGAAATTCTATCTGAATTTTGGGTGTTGGGTTTGGGTGTTTGGGTGTTGAATTTTGGGGGGGGGGGGGTTTGGGTGTTGGGTTTATAAGTCTCCTCAGTACCCTCACTAGTTACCATGGCTTTTGAGGTGTACTGTGGACTTAGGTTTGTAAAGTCAATAGTCAGGTTTCTTGAAGTTGACAAAAAAAAAAAAAAAAATTCTATCTGAATGTAATGATAATTGACTCATATATATAATAGACTAAATCTTGTATGCATTAATAATATATGCGTTATCACGATTAGATGCATGATATATATTTAAATCTTGTATACATTCTAAAAGTTTATAGCATAGAGGATGAATAAACTACAACGCAAAAATTAACCCCATGAGCTACTTTCGCTAATTACTAGGGCTGCAGCTCAATCGAGCTTGCAAGTTGCTCGACTCAAGTTCTGTCAAAATCGAGTTTGAGTCACTCGATTGAGTGTGCGAGTCAAGCTCGAGTAGGGATATTACATACTCGAGAGCTCTATCAAGTACTCGCTATAATATTTAATTAATATTTAAAAAATAACTAAATTATTCCTTCAATTGAAAATTCTTTGATGAGTTCGAGTACTCGAACTCAAATACTGATTCGATCTTCAACAAGTCGAGCTCAAGCCTGAAATATATTGTTTCGAGTCAAACTCAAGTACAGTATAACTAACTTGCTCGAATTCGAGTATTGTGTTTGAGCGTCGAACTCGAACTCAAGATCGAGTTCGATTCGACTCAATATCACCCCTACTAATCACTCTCTAAAGAAAGAAAGAAGACAAAAGCCACTCCCCGGATTAGTTTTACTTATTATAGTATGTTTGTTTCTAAACAAAATACTATAATTATTATAGTATGCCTCTTATGATATGTTTGTTCGGAAAGAAGACAAAAGTCTCGCATTATGTAATGTTAATCGGCGGGGAGGGAGGGCAACTGATCAGGGATGGTGATTTTATATTTTGTATTTGTATTTGTATTTGGTATGGATGGTCCGTCAATTAAGCAAAGCGTGTATAGGATAAGACATCTCCCATGTGCCACCATTTTTAAGTCAGCACAAGAAACCACAGAAAACTCATGCCATGTGGTGCTAGCTGCCTCATCCTCTCCTTCGCTCGTCTCTCCTAGGGAAACCAATAAATAAATAAATAAATATTGCTAGTACTGCTATTTATCTTTCAATTCAATACAAAAATTAATACAAGTAAAGATGAGTTTTATTTATGTTTTATTTTAACAAACAAACAAGCAGAAAACATAAAATGAAATATAATAATGCTTAAGCTGCTGCCGGTAGTATTTTATTGGCGAGGAATTTTGTTCACATTAGTACTGACAACGAGGTCGGACCAACTCGAACTTGACTTGCTCAGAATGAGAAAAATATCAATGAACCTAATCTTTCATTGAGTTGGGTTGAGTTTAGGTCTAAATATTAAATTTGAATTAAATATGAGTCAAGTTTGAATTTCATTAGTTTTAAATCCAATATAGTCTTGGCCATTTAATCTATATATATATATGTAATTGTATATAAATAATCATATTTTGTTATATATAATTATATATCTAAATATATAATACTAATACTTATTACTTATGAGTTATGTGTCAAAATACATTAATATATTAAGAAATATTAATAATACAACAGATTTTTGGTGTAACTGTCTCAATATCTCTAATATGTGAACTAGATGCTGACTTACTGGCTTTTGTAATTGTTGCTTGTATTTTAACTAATTATTATACATGGGTAGTTTCAATAACAAAACATGCCTTTTGAACATTCTATCAGTTTAAACTTTATTTGAACTGACCACCATCATTTCTAGTAATTGTGAACAAAAGGTATGGAAAAATGTTAGTACAAGTAAATTGGGGACATTTCAAGATGTATTGACTATTGATAATGTTTTATTAATTATTTTTCACGTACTTTGAGCTAATTAAATATATTTTTGTTAATGTACTTTTAAATGAAATGTTATTGGTTCGTGTATAGTTTTAATATTGTGATCGTGTAGATGTTAAATTAGTTTTAGAACTTGATAGTCATAATAATTATATTAAAGAAATTAAGGAACAATAAATGACTTTGGACTAAATCTGAATTAAACTCACAATCCGAACATTTTATAAATCAAGTACGAGTTTCACATTTATTAATTCGAAACTCATAATCCAAATCTCGAAAGTGGCAGTAACAATATGATGCGAGTCTGAACTTGTTAAAATACGATTCAAATGGCAGCCCAGCTAGTCCTCATCTATACTCCTGCCTCTTATATAACCCGCCATAGTGTGAACAACTTCCCTTCCCCCCCAAGTCCAGAAAGACCACCAAAAAGGGGAAAAGAAAGAAAAAAAGATTCTGCTTTTTCAAGAATTTGGCGGGTAATATTCATTATCAGCAGGCATGAAGCTGATGAAGCTAAGATCAAAGAAGTTCTCCAGAAGCAACTCCAACAATAACAACCCAGAAAACGGTGGTGGCAACAGTCCAATTAACGGAGGAGGAGGAGGTGGTGAGATCAAATGGGAGGTACGGCCGGGAGGAATGCTGGTTCAGAAGAGAGAGCAATGCGGAGACAGCAGCAGTAACAGTGCTGACAGCGGGGAAGGCCTCATCACTCTCAGAGTCTCCACCGTCTCCAAATTCTATGATATTTCCGTTCAATCAACTTCAACTTTTGGTAATTAATTACTGCTCATTCACTCTAATTAATTTAATTCCCTGCAGATTTCCTGTTTATTCAAATTGTTAATTAATTCTCTCATTAACGTTAAGGGGTGCAAAACAAATTTTTTTTTTTTTTCTTTTTTAACTTACAAAACTAATTTTAGTTTTATATTCTGATGATGATGATGAATGTTGCAGGAGAACTGAAGTTGATACTTTCACTGGTGACTAATTTGGAACCAAATGAGCAGAGGTTACTGTTCAAAGGAAAGGAAAGAGAAGACTGTGAATACTTGCACATGGTTGGAGTAAGGGACAAAGACAAGGTGCTGCTTTTAGAAGATCCAGCCCTGAAAGAGCGGAAGAAGCAGCTTCTGGGGGCTTTGCCGGAGTTGGATCAGGAGGAGAAGTCATCGGATCTCCTTACCGCACCATCAGTGTTTAAAATAAAATAAAATAAAATAAAAATCACTGCTGCAAATACTGGAGCACTACTACTAGTACTCTTCAGTGCCTTCCTTCCCACCTAATATTTCCGACTGACCACCGCCACCTCCAGTGCCACCAGCAGCTAATTGAAAATGATGATAGAGACTACTAGTTTAGAGTAAGAGTACTAGTATACTTATTATTATTATTAGTATTAATTTCTTTCCCGTCTTAAACAAATCGACAGTGCTGTAGTTGGTGATGAATCTTTTCACCAACTTAATTATAATTCTAGAGTAGTCTGTTGGTAGTTTTATAGTAGTATTTGATGTCGGTCCGGGGCATCTTAATGAGTACGCTGCCCCGCCGATGGCCGATGCATCATGTCCGCGTCATTTTCATTAGTTTATTTCGAAGATTATATATTATGGAGTCAGGAATGCTACTATATATATATATATATATATATATATATATATATATTTTTTTTTTTTCTTTTTTTGTCAACATAGGAGAGAAAGCGCCCCAATCTACTCCGAGCATGTTAACATGCGAGACTTGGACATTAGTGGACATGTCTAAAGAGAAACAACCTCACCGGTCAAGCTACCGCTGGGGGCAGGAATGCTACTATTCCCTATGACATCACACAACTACTACCGCTCCAAAATTCTTGTAAAGAAACTCTTTAACATATTTGCTAGTGCTAGGTACTACTGCTCCTGTAATAAATTTCTTTCTACTACTAGTATTTATTTGCTCCTCCTCTCAATCAAGTTATCAACCTACTCTTTGCTTTCCAAAGCAAACCTGCCTATCCCACGCCCGCATGCTTGCCTGAGCAGCTGAAACGGTATTATTAGGTAACCAATGCCCAAACGGGCTAATTGATCCGAATATTGGTGTATAAAAAAAAAGTCGGACACTTGTGGGTCTGACAGGTTGGAGGTATAAATCTATGGGTGCCGGGCTGTGTCTATGGGTGCCGGGCTGACACAGCCCGGCACCTGACACCACAAAATATTTTTTTTTTTTTATAGTTGACACATGGGTGCCGGGCCGTCGGCCCGGCACCTGACAAAAACTGCAAAAGCTGGCTGCCGGGCACTCTCTGCCCGGCAGCCAGTGAAATTGTTTAAAAAAAAAAATTCGGCCAGGCTGAAATTTTACACCCGAGTAGCTCCCGTGAATTTTAGCCAGTGTTTTGCTTCAGATTTGCCCCTTTTGGCAGGCTTGTGGACGAGGAGATTTGCCCCTTTCGAAACTAGTGATATTAGTTTAATGCAATTCATTTTTTGTTAAGATAGTTGATAATTAGTTTACGTTATGTAGTATACAATTATTTGGATTCAAAAAAGGTTAGTGATTTGTATTATATAAAAGTTGTTATAATTTGTCACTTTATGTTAGTGAATTGTTGATAAATATTTTTATGTTATTGTTATAATATGTTATTAATTAAATATTTAATTTATTGTTGAAGCAATTGTAAACAGATAATGTAATTTACGTATGTTTGCTAATATTAGTTAGTGAAGCACGGTACACGCTTAGTTGAATTAGTTTAGTGATTGAATTAGTTTAAGTAGATTAATTAGTTGTTTAAATTTGTTTAATAAATGTATATTTCAATTTGTATATTTTAATTATGTATTTTAATAAATGTATATTTCAATTTGTATATTTTAATTATTTTTAAATCTTACATTTATGTTTATCTTACATTGATTTTTTTATTGCATAATTTCAAATAATTATAAAATCTTTATTTCAATTAAAACTTAATAGACAACTACTTGAAATACCAAAAAAAAAAACTGCTTACATATTATTCAATCGACTTAACGATATATAGTTACTTATAATATAATAGAATATTTAATTAATTATTTTAATTTACCAAATATAAGTATTGAATATTAAATAATGAATAAATTTTTAACAGCCTTTTATTATAATTTTAATATATATAATATTTTTCATCCATGCATAATTCGTTTTTTCGAGTGTCCAATATACTTCTTTATGCATCTCCACATTTGCATTGCTTCTGCTTATTGTGCGCAGAAAAGTGAACTTTCCACCATAGAAATGTAACCAATGTTTAATTCTTATATTTACTTTAATTCCGTCGATGGAAGAATATTGTCAGAAATGCATTCTTCTGTGGCTAATTGATTAGAATATAGGTGTAAAAAAAAAAAACAGACAGGTTTAAAAACAACAGATATGTTCCTTTTTTTAAAAAAAGATATCAGCCTGGCACCTGACAGATTCCCTATTTTTAAAAAAGATATCAGGTGCCTTTTTTTTAAAAAAAAAAGATGTCAGGTGCCGGACTGGGTCAGCCCCGCACCTTAATTAAATACATTTAATCAAATCTCTTTAAATTAATTAATTCAATTAATTAAACTAATTAATCCACTAAAATAATTAAAATAATTGTATACTAAAAAACGTAAACTAATTATCAACTATCTTAACAAATAAAGTGAATCGCATTAAACTAATATCACTAGTTTCAAAATTAAGCTATGCGAATTACATTAATTTTATGTATTTATTTTATTAGCATGGATATTATTTCAAATACTTAAATTGCCCCGACTAAATGGCTATCTTAATCAAAACTCAATTGCACAAATTCGTTCAATTAATCCATTCAATTAATTAACCTCGCCAAATACATCTAAATTCATTTAATCAGACCTCTTAAAATTAATTCATTCAATTAATTAAACTAATTAATCCACTAAACTAATTAAAATAATTGTATACTACATAACGTAAACTAATTATCAACTATCTTAACAAAAAATGAATTGCATTAAACTAATATCACTAGTTTCGAAAGGGGCAAATCTCCTCGTCCACAAGCCTGCCAAAAGGGGCAAATCTGAAGCAAAACACTGGCTAAAATTCACGGGAGCTACTCGGGTGTAAAATTTCAGCCTGGCCGAATTTTTTTTTTAAAACAATTTCACTGGCTGCCGGGCAGAGAGTGCCCGGCAGCCAGCTTTTGCAGTTTTTGTCAGGTGCCGGGCTGACACAGCCCGGCACCCATGTGTCAACTATAAAAAAAAAATATTTTGTGGTGTCAGGTGCCGGGCTGACCATAGATTTATACCTCCAACCTGTCAGATGTCAGCCCGGCACCCATAGATTTATACCTCCAACCTGTCAGACCCACAAGTGTCCGACTTTTTTTTATACACCAATATTCGGATCAATTAGCCGCCCAAACGAAGCTTTTCGCTTTAGTTTCTGTCAGTGTTGGGGACAAAGTTGTCGTTTTCAAGTACACCAAAAATGCATGCCATAGCATAGGATAACCGGTAAAATACTACTACTAGATGTTAAACGCTTCGTATATGATACAACTAGTAGTAACGTAAAAAGGTTTAGTGGCGCTGTGACTAGTTTCTTTGCCTATTTTCTGGGAGTCTGGCTAAAGTGCATTCGATTTCCACACGGGTTTATTATGAACGATGCAATAAATAGCAGCAGGTGCTCCACTATCGTTCCGGTGATCTTTTTTTTTTCCCCTTTATTTAAAACCACCTTATTGTCAACACTGTTTCATTTTGGGTGAATTTTGATTTAGCCCTCCGAAGTATACTAAAACATTTATTCGGACCCTGAAAGTGATTAAGTTCCAATTAAACCTCTAAAATAGAATTGTCTTTTCAAATAAGTCCTCCTGTCAATTCGCGTTGGGTCATTGATCAAATTTTAGTGGCATAGTGAAGTCTACGAATGTTTTACAGACTCTAAGAGTAATTAACCACTCATACGAGGGGAGGGGATAGTTTGGATGGTAAAGGGGAAGATGTGTAAGTGAGAAATTTCGCGTTCAAGACTTCCAACTTATACTTAAAAGACAAAATAAAAAGACTAAATAATGCCCTTCTAATCAGGTTAATAAGATTGAAGATAGCAACAAAACCTTTTTTTAGATTAAAAGAGTAATATTTTGTCCTTTTTGGCTCATTCAGGCGAGAAGTTAATTGCTTAAAATCCTTATAAAATAAGTACCGTTTCACTTTACCAGATATGAAATGATGATGGAAGGGCTTGTCCGGAACAAAATTTCGGCTTTGAAGGGTTTAATTGAGACTTAAAAATCACTTTCAAAGGCTAAATTCACACCTTGGTCTATTTAAAATGGCCAAATTGGAAGAAATTCACAGCTTTCCAATTTTCTTTAGTGTGCTTGGTTTTGGATTAAAAGGACGTTGAAAGATCTACGATGAGAGATAAAGAGGCAGCATAACAACTAAACATGGCACGGTCCATGGTTCTCAGCTAGTCCGTTGGGCTTAAGTAGAGCTGTTAAATGGAACGAGCAGCTCAAAAACTCAATTGAACTCAACTCGATAAGACTCGAACTCGACTCATTAAATTTGCATGAGCTCGAGCTCGAATTCGTGTAAGCTCGGCTCGTTTGTGATAAACAAGTCGAACTCGAGCTCAAGTCACATGTTTGATTTGACAAACCGAGTTCGAACACTTTTCAAAACTCGTCTGCCTAGTCGAGCGAACTCGAGTTAAGCTCGAGTCGAGTTCAGTAGTCAAATATTCGGCTCGACTTGACTCGATTAACAAGGATGGACACAGTTGTTGATTTTGCTAGTCTGCAGTTCATGCCCTTGAGATTTTGGAAAAGTTCACAGGAGTCTCGCAACCCAATGGTCTGCTCTTTGAATGGTTTTCGCAACGACAACCAGCCCGTTAACATTCATGGGGCTTAAGGCCCAACTCGTAGCGAACCGGGGTATTTATGAGGCGGGAACGTCTTTTTTTTTTTTTTTTGTCTGCAACGATAGATGTTCTATAATCTAAATTAGCCTAATCTAAGGAAAAGGGATAAGGGGAGGTGGTAAGACCACCGGGGTATTTATGAGGTGGGAACGTCTGTTTAACCACTGGAATTCAAGGTTAGCCTGGTCGTTGTACGAACTGACCGTGAGAGCGACGGTTGGGAGATGGTAATTGAGAACCAGTACAATTAGGACACACGTCATGCACAGTGAAAGAATCCTAAGTTAACGGGACAGCGATTAATGATATACTATACTATATATAAATATATATATATATATATATTAATGATATATTTGCTACTTACTAATCAAAAGATCCAACGCCTCACTTGCATGAGTAACAACGTGATAGGCTGACAGGTACATAACTTACAAATTATAGTTCAAGTCAACAATCCCCCCACGTACGACGAGTTTAAGAGTGTTCTCTTGAAGAGAAGAGAGAGGACTTTTTCTTTGAACTGATCCTGGCAAAGCTGCTGCTTTCTCATCGGTGCACTGTCGGTTGATCCTCGGACAAGGGGGAGATTAGCGCCGACTGCCTTGAGTTGAATTGAGCTTCTTCATTCTTGTGTGTGTTTTGCTTATTCTACACGATCGAGGTATAAGATACAATACAAACCATACATGTATTACTAGTAATTTCTAGCTGGCTAGCTGCTGCTTTTTCCATGGCCATGATTGGATTGTTAGTCCCAGAGATGGTAACGGTTCGTAATTTCTTTGTTTTCAGGATGTGCTGCATGCTTGAGTTTTCCTTTTTTTAATGACAGCGTTTCAAACTGGGAGATGGATGGTGTTCTGGATCGTTGACAGAAGATAGAGAGCACAATTGAGCATATCCAATCAAAGATTGTGTATGGGCAGCTTTGTGCCCTCTTTTCTTCTGTCAACCATTTCTTTGTATCGCGTCTTCATCGATTCTACTCAAACAAATTAAAGAAGGGCCATCGGCACCTAACCAACCTCCATTGCATGCTGCCTCCCACCAAATCCAGCATCAACCAAGGTACACTCCTTTTCACAAGTTAATTTGCAATTTGTGATTCAGAAGAGTTTCCTTATATTTTCTTCTATAATTTGAAAAAAAAAAAAAACCCAGAAAATAAATCCAACAATTGAAGATCAATCTCAAGCGCTTATTAGACGTGTATCGTAAGAACACATATCACCGACTTCGTTAGCCATTGGTCGGTCTCTGGGTAGCCTTTCAAAAGTTTGTACGTACGTACATACACTTGATGTTTACTTTACCCCACCTTTAGCTCGACTGAAAAGATATTTATTAGTAATTTCCCAATGGACTTTCTTTCCATTGCGGGATGGCCCTCAATAGATGGTTACATGCATGACCAGGCATGAGCAGTTGAATTAGTCTTAGTAGAAGAAAAAGAAGATGCAATATCATACGCAACTTGAAAGCTGCTCTTAGAAAAGGATGTCTACAGCAATTCAGTCTACAGTAAATCTTCTTCTTGGCATTCACCGGAGTTGTTATCGTGCACAGGAAGAAGACAGTGTTTACTTTGATGATTTCTTCTTCTTTTTTCTTCTTTCTCAGTCGCAATAATACCTGCCTTTTATTAGGACTTTTTACGTTGTAAAAGCTGGAAATTATGCTCACCCCCGACCCAAAAAAAAAAAAAAAAACAGAGAAGAAACCGATGATGTAGACTAGGAGAACAAACGTATCTTCAAGTCCTCTTCACAAATCGACCCTACAAAAGAATTGAATGACCAATAAGCAAGCAGGATAATTTTTTAGAGGCAGCACAAATAATAGAAAGATATCCTAGCTATGAGAACTGACAGTAGTGTAATATCCACATAACCACTGATAGAATACCCTTTTTTTTGGGGGGATAGAATACAAGGTTACCAATCCCATCGGTGGACTACAACTCCTTGAATCATAGGTCTTGTAGTCATCGCTAATATGATGAATTGTCTCCGTCATTTCTTCTTATTAATAATACATTTCACTTTCTACAAATTAATTATAGGGAACAATATTTTTCTAAAATCTAATACCTAAAACCAACCTTTTTCCATTGGTTAATAAGCGACCATTCAAGAATTATCGAGAGAAAAAAAGAAGAAGAAGAAATTCTTTCAAAAACTGTATTCCTAAAATTGAAAATCATGGGACAAATTGTAATTAACCCAAGAATTAATGGAAGCTGATCATCATCTGCCTTCTATTTGAGATATGCAAGGAAGACTAATAGATAAAAATACCTTGAGACGAGGGCGTTTCTCAGCATTAAGCTTTCTGACTTGATATCTAATTTGCTTGGAGAAGAGCCTGTTCTGTCTCTTCTCCTTGTACCTCCGGACGCTCGCTTCTCTTTGGCCCACCTTCAACTCCTTCCCGCCCACCACCTCTACCTGCTCCTGCTGTTCCTCCGCCTTCACTCTGACTGACGCAAGGCCTTGCTCATTTGTCTTTTTCGTCATCATCATCTCCGGGACTCTCCATACACAACCTCCACAACTTCCCTGTCCATCGCTGCTACCCTGCACCCACAACGAACCAACTCAGAAATGGCCCGAAACAGATAGCTTGCATCTTACTTTTAGAACTAACTCGTCAATTTTCTGTTTTCCTTTCAGCTTTTCTTCCATTTTATTACCGTCCAGTGAGTCATGACTTGAAGAAATACTAGTATAATTTCAAGATGACTCCTGAAGAGTACAAAACAACAAATGGTTAGCAGTGAGTGGATCAGCTCAGAAGACGGACATTCTTCCCACGAGTTTATGTTGTGTCTTGCAAGAAGTAACAAGGAGTCCTAGTAAAGTAATCCGCATGAATCGGGTCATGCAATGCAATTTGCTGTTGAGCAACTCAAAGTTCAATTTATATGCTATTAGAATGGGCTGTTGCTGTGTTTCGCTGTTTTCTATTACTGATGTTCGACGGGCAGTTTTACCAACAATTCATCAAGAAAAAGGGGGGAAGTTACTTCCAATTATGTGGGAATGACTAATACAATCAATTATCATTACAAGAAGTAAAGATTAATACACTGCCTTTGAATCAAATCCCGGAAAGACAATTTATATTTCATCTATTCTACTAAAATAACGGCGTAGAAATCAGGAGAATTATCAGGTTATGTTAAGACATAAAATGGGGCAGAATTGCGTGCATAGATTAAGGAGTGAAAACTAATGGTACGTAAGAGTCGCCCACGAATAGAAGTGTAGAAGGTCATCATTGACTCAAAAATAAAATAAAATTGCCAACAGATGGCGAAGGAGCCAGCAAAAAAAATCAGCCAGCACTAATCAAGGAGCCCCACAGACGACCCTACCCACCCTGAAAAGCGAAAAAGTGCAACAAATGCAAGTAGTCCGGGGGGTTGGGACGGGGCCCAAGAAGTCGGTGATGCAATTAAATGGCGATTGGCGAGTTGGCTACCCATCCGTCTTAATGTTTAACCGTCAGATGCAGCAAAACAACCCCCAATGCCACTGCCACCGCCACCGCCGCCGCCCACACCACACTGTTGGCAGTCCGAACTCATTCAGCAGGAACAGTTAACAGTGGCACCGCTTTCTCGGGTAATGAATGCCATGTCTAAATGGCACATCGACTGACCAATTGAATTAGTACTATCAGAAGAGTGGTTAGGTAATTATTAATTATATTATTGATAAACCACTCTGGCGTACTAGCAGTTTTCTTCAGCTCTCCAAAGTTCAGGGAGAACATCCTATTACTACTAAATTGGTCAGTAATTTGAAAGGAAATAAAGAAAGAAAAAAAAAAAAAAGGGCAAGGAGGATAGGGTAGAATAAGATCTTACATTGGAAAGTTGAGGAGGGAGGAAACGATCATGATCATGGATATCAGGGACCGTTTGCGGGGAATCCTGTGCTGCATGTACGTAAAGCGGAGCTTTATCGGACCATGCATTCAAGATCTCTTGATAATTCAGCTTCAACGACAAGCCTCGATTTCTCCAACACCCCAGATCAGCGCCGGCTATGGCGGCAGAGCAGCTACTCACTTCCTGATCATCTCGCCGCTCAACTACCTCCGAGTATCGGACCCACCTCTCTTCACTCGGCTCCCTCTCTTTATTCCTCCTCATAGCCGTCCGTACCAGGGCCACCTCCTCACTATCTTGTCTCCCTCCGTAGGCGTACGTTAGCGAGGCCGACGACGGCGACAGCGAAGCATTTGTAGTTGTAGTACAAGTGCTGCTGCGGTTCTTACTATCCTCTCCGGACGATGAAGGCGTGGCAGCGGCTCCAAGGAGGCCGGTGAGGGTGGTCGCTCCCCCGTCTGCGGCAGCAGCAGGCCACGTTCTCGTCGTGGGCATCCTTGTCTTCCACTAAATTCTCAGGGTGAAGCGGGAACAAGTTGAGCTGCGGGTGACCGCCGGCGGGCGTGTCGCTAGATTGATCTTGGGCTTTCTCATCACAGGAAAACTGAAGGCGGAGGCTAAGATACTTGGGCTTTCTAGTCTTCCTCCGGGTTTTTCTACGAGATTTCCTGGTTATTTTCTTGATTATGGAAGATGATGAAGCGGTCTTAGTTCTAGCAGTGGTAGTAGTAGTAGTACGAGTTCTGCCTCCGGTTCCACCACCACCAACGCCACAAGGGGTGTCTTGGTTACGCATCCTCGTACTGCTGGCTCTCACCTTCTCCTTTCTCGAGTTTAAAACCATTTCGATCGATCTGTACTCTCTATTAGTGTTATATTAGTGTTCTGAACTTGGGCTGAGTCCAACGCTCGAGTTACGGCAACACAGAGGATCACGTATTAATATATTTAGATTAGAAGAAGGGCCGGAAAAAAAAAAAGGGTTGAGAAAAAGTGCAACGTTTGCGGGGAAGACTAGAGTCGACCTTTTGTTTTTTTGCCTGGGGGGAAGAGGCCGAGAGACTCAGCAACACAGAGAGAGGCTGAGGAGGGGAGACAATCTATCAGTTCATGACAGAGACCGTGAGGGGGTTGCTTTGCTGTTGACACGTGGACCAACATGATTGGATCTGGAATGGTGATTGTGGCGTTATCTGGATTTCGTTTTGGTCGATCACGGAATGGATGGAGCGTGGTGGAGTGCCAAACCAAAATGGCTGCTCTGGCCATATGGCGTTTAAAAGAAAAAAGAAAAGAAAAAATTATACTTAGTATACTAAAGGAGTATTGTTTGTTGTTTAAATGATTAAATATACTCATGCGATTCACGTGACAATTCACAACCGCTGTTTACGTTGTCATCTTGGATCTTTCGATTAAATACAAGCAAGTCAGGGGAAATGAAATGATCTCCTTTTCCGGGTTCGATTGTAATCCTTTTTATTTCAGTATTATCATTTTTTCCCTTACGGCAAATAACACACACACAAACTAATAAATACACACACAAGCAATTAACGAAAGAACGATCCAGAAAGCAATCTAAGGAGGACCCACAAATCAACATCATCCAATCAACTGGTGACAGGAGGTGCGGCTAGAGCTGCAAACGAGTCGAACCGAGTCGAGTTTTGACCTAATCGAGTCGAGTTTCGACATAATTTCATTGAACTCGAACTCGAGCTCGAGTTCGACGAGCTGACAATTTCAAACTCGAGCTCGACTTAATTCGAGCCGAACTCGAACTCGAACTCGGAAAAAATAAAAAATAATTATTTTATTTTTAAAAAATAAATAAAATAATATTTTTTTCTTAATAAATAATAAAATATTAAGGATATATATGTAATTTTACTATTAAAATTAAAAAAATATAATATATATATACTTAAAATAAAAATATATATATATAAAATAAAAATATATATATACTCGAGCTCGTGAGCCGACTCGCTAGCTAACGAGTTTAATATTTTGAGCTAGATTTCGACTCGAACCAGTTCGAACTCGACTCAAGTTTGATATTGATCGAGCTCGACAAGCTCGACTCGCGAGCGGCTCGATTCGTTTGTAGTTCTAGGTGTGGTTGAGAACCTTAAATTCAGAGTAAGATCCCACGATATTTCAGTATTATCATGCCAACTTGAATTTGAGGCTTAGTGAAAGGGCAAAATAAGAAATGACGGGCGTCGAAATTATGCAAAGATGACTTTTGTCCTGGTAAGTTTTATGACATTCATGATAATATAAGACGATAGGTCATTTAAAAGATTGACGAATCATTTTATATACTCATGATAAAAGAAGTCAAAGTAGGTCTCAACTTGGCAATCATTACGAAACTTGACAGTCATTGTGAGACTTTGACCTTGATGATTATACAGAAAGTTGTGCAATGGTATACAAAAAATAGGAGGGATTGTTAAATGAAAAAGAGTAAACCTCTTATCTTATTCTAAAACAGCCATCTTTGAAACTCTTTTAACTTATAAGCATAGGGGCTTATTCGTCGGTAGGAGATAGCTCCCCGGATTTTCACTGGTTTCCATCTCTAGTAAATCAAAAGAGGTTCAAATATACAAACAAGCAGGTGCAAAATTTTGCTTTTCCGCTCAACAATGGTAAGCTCCATTTGTTCGAAAAGAGTGAAGACGGTAGAGGTTAGGACGGTGAATATATTAGAAGATATATATATATATTGTAAAGGTTTTATGGCAGGTGTAGGGTTCATCAATCTCTCCACTTCCCTCAAGTCTTTCTGATATTATGTGATTTAGACATCCAAAATTCAAATGGTAGAATCATCACTACCATGAACCATTTCCTATATTTCTTCTTACTATGATATGATGACTATTGGGAGGCATTCCCCTGTCAAATTTTTAACCCAAACTCTTGCGGCATTCGGTAAAATCCTTCTTGCCATTTCACCCAGCAACGAGTGTGATTTCTCCTCTGTTGACCAAACTGCTAGTGAATGTGGAAACATCCCTCTTAAGAATGAAAAGATATTTTCCCCAACGATTTGCTTCATGCGTCATAACTAAGCGGGAATGTGTGTAATTCTAATATGATAAACTCTTGCCATGTTACTCAATAATAGTTTAAACTTCTAAAATTATTTCTTTTTACACATTTAACGATGGATTGATATTTATGGGTATTTTTTTTTTTTTTTCGACACAGGGATATCCGGATCAATTCTTATGGGGCTCGACTAATCCCCTGCGGTCCGGGCCCGGCGCCCTAACCCGGCCCGAACACGTTAAGCGCTACCACTGGACCATTCACGCGGGGGCAATATTTACGTGTATCCTAAAGGCTTAAGTTTAGTTGCAATTACCATAGCGCTATTTCGCGATTTAGTACGTAGTTTTTCATTTTGTACTAAAAAAAAAAAAAGAGTGCCGCTTTGGGATCTTGTAACATTTTCGGATGCGTTGCTCTCTTTCTGGTTGATAACATTGGGCTCCACCCTTATTGAAGTACTGGGTTAGGGGAGCCCAAACTTCATTAACCTCCTCATCCTAAATCCTCCCATAGCCAGTGTTTGGATCATGCGATTATTGATGACTTCTCATTTTGGGCCATACAATTGATGATGAATTTTGATTGTGTATAAACCAGCATTGGAACTTTTGAACCCTTTTTTTTTTTTTTTGGTTTGGTTTAACAAAAGGGGTCTAAACCTCATGACGTAGGCAAAGAATTTGATTTAATGCTCCTACCACCTAAAATGAGCTACGATTGGACCACATGAGGAGGCCGCTAGTAATGCAAGCTTACTTGAAAATGTGAAATGATCTCCTTAGATAGATTTAAATCAAATTCCATACAGAAAACTGGAAAACAAAAATCACTAATGCATCATTTTGACAAGTATCTAACGAATAAAATACTTGATTTGGTTCTCCCTCCTCCTCCGGTTGGTCATCATAGACCCTTGAGTCCACCATATCGACTCTCTAGAAGTAATTAATATTACTCTCAAGAAGGAAAAGGAAAATAAATTGGAACGTAGTAAATTACTATGGATTTTCTATAGGAGCATTTGCTAACACACATTATAATATTTATTTAACCTACCACATATACACACATACTAATAATTATATTATTATCCTCTCTTGCATTTATATGCTTTTCCTATTTAATCTTGCATGCCCTTTCTGTATTTATTTATTTATTTTCTAATTAATCATATAATTTCAAAAATATAACACTTGTAATATATCTTAACGAGCCAATGTCACGTAAGCCAATGTCACATGGTTCTTTGTATAGTATATGACAGACGCATGGTATTTGGTTAGTAAATGATACCTCTAATTTTTTTTTTTACTAAGGGATATTCTAGCCTTTCGATCAGACTAATTCCTTAAGAATGTGTAAAATCTTGCCCTAAGGATACACAGTGAAGCAATATACGGGAGTCAATGATCACGGGACCTGTTGATAACTATCAGATTACGGAACCAGTCGGACTAGCCGCGGGAACCGATATCCCTAATTAAAGTATCATATATTGTGTTAATATAGTCAAATAATTTGTTCTCTTAATAATTGTTTTACTAATTCCGATCAAGTCATTTCATGCCTATAAAAATAGGCCTGTTGGACTTAAATGTTTAAATACTACTGTTTGTTCAAACACTTATTGTTAAAAAATAATAATAATAAGTTCTAAGGCTAAGAATTTCTTACCAAAATACTATATATGATTTACAACATTCCCTCCAGAAATGGCGGATGTATGGCGGCCGAGTGGGGTCGCGCCCACAAGGTACAATAGTATTTCCATCTTCTTCTCTTGAAAGAAAAAATAATGAAGAATTTTAAGTTACTTCATATTAGTACAATAATATAGTAGTAGTAGTAGTGGATCCTATGCTTCTTTACTCAGCTTTAATTGAAGTCGAAAGTCTTTCCGGCCAAAAGTCTTTAGTATTTCCAATATGCACCATATTTATTGTCCCATTCCAAATTCGGAATTCGTGTAGTGCCTAATGAATTGTAAGGCTTTCCTTTCTTTGTAAAATGAAGTTTCCCTCCTTCATCGATACATAGCATGACAGGCCAGCAGTGGGATAAACAATAACAATATGTTTCTCCACCCTAATCCGGAAAGCTCAGATCCAACTAACACCAAAAATTCCCACCCAAAATCGCAAAACAAATTCAGAGCGAATCGATGGAAAAGATGATGTACTATATCCCAAGAGGAGTGGGAGTAGCTCCCGCATGAAAACCCAAAAAAAAAAAAAAAAACTCGTGCGGCGAAACTCATCACATGCAGATGGTAGTTTGTCGTGGCAAAGCCATCCAGTTTCAGCAAACAGGAAAGAAAAAAGTAGAAGGTGGTGACCATATCCCAAAAGAGCGGGCAGTGGGCCTCCGTTGAAAGAGCAAAAATGATTAACGACTTAAACTAACCCCTGTGGGAATCCAAGTAAATGGATTCGGATTTTGGATAGTAAATGAGCCCCACTTTCAGTTTTCAAATGTATAATCACGCCTTTTATCCCGGCTTTGCTCCTTTATAAGCCCCCATTGGATCGCATCATCTTGCACTGGACCAGACCAGCTAGCTCTCCCAACATTTGTAGTAGTAGTAGTAGCACTAGGTACTGCTTTTGTACTGCTTTTGTACTTGAGCAGCCAAGTAGAGAGAAAATGTTAGCTCATCCAGCATTTCAATTTGTCCTTTTCATCACCCTGGTTCTGACTCCGGTCTTAGTAATTTCCTCCTCTGCTGCTTCAGTCAAAGACCCTGATCTTGTCGTGCAAGATGTTCAGAGGTAGTGTAACAAAACAATGCATGCTAGCCAGAAAAATTTACGTTTTTTTATCTATTGATTCAATCCTTATATAGTACTGCTAGCATGTTATGAAGCACGACTTTTTATGTCTGGTATAGTTTTTTTTTGGTGTGTGTGTGTTAGCCGGTTAATTTTCGTGCTGGCTAATGAATCTCAAATTTACCGGCGTTCCACCAGGAGCATGAATGCATCGAGGAGGAACCTGGGGTACCTGTCTTGCGGGACTGGGAACCCCATCGATGATTGCTGGCGGTGCGACCCCGACTGGGAGAACAACCGCCAGCGTTTAGCCGACTGCGGCATTGGGTTTGGAAAGGACGCCACGGGTGGAAGGAACGGGCGAATCTACGTGGTAACCGACGCTGGGGACGACGATGCGGTCAACCCTAAGCCAGGCACCCTAAGGCATGCGGTTATACAAGACGAGCCTCTGTGGATCATCTTCAAAAGAGACATGGTAATCCAGCTCAGGCAAGAGCTGGTGATGAACTCCCACAAAACCATCGACGGAAGGGGCGCAAGCGTTCACATTTCCGGCGGACCGTGCATTACCATCCACTACGCAACTAACATCATCATCCACGGCATTCACATCCATGACTGTAAGCAGGGAGGGAATGGGAACATCAGGGACTCCCCTGAACACTCGGGATATTGGACGGTTTCTGACGGTGATGGAATTTCCATTTTTGGTGGGCAGCACGTCTGGGTCGATCATTGTTCCTTGTCCAACTGCCATGACGGCCTCATCGATGCCATCCACGGATCCACGGCCATCACCATATCCAACAACTACTTCACTAATCACGACAAAGTCATGCTCCTGGGACACAGCGACTATTACACGCAAGACAAAAACATGCAGGTCACCATTGCTTTCAACCATTTCGGCGAAGGGCTGGTGCAGCGGATGCCAAGGTGCAGACACGGCTACTTTCACGTGGTGAATAATGACTACACCCACTGGGAAATGTACGCCGTCGGCGGGAGCGCAGCCCCTACCATCAACAGCCAGGGGAATAGATTTCTTGCGCCCAACGAAAACTTCAGAAAAGAGGTGACCAAGCACGAGGATGCACCGGAAAGTGAATGGCAACATTGGAACTGGAGGTCGGAGGGAGACTTGATGCTGAATGGGGCCTACTTCCGGGAGTCAGGGGCGGCAGGTGCATCATCCACTAACTACGCCAGGGCTTCCAGTTTAAGCGCCAGACCATCTTCCCTTGTGGGTTCAATCACCGTTGCCGCAGGTGCGCTTACCTGCCGCGGGGGCTCCCGTTGCTGAGATTTCATTTTGTTTCTTCTCTTTTTTTTTCTTCCCGCTACTAGAGAGTAGCAATGGAGTCCCGATGTGACCACTTGCCGCGGGGGCTCCTCTGTACTATGTTAGGTGAAAGCAAAAAGTACTACTACTTAGCGCTTACTACCTTAGTAGTAAAACGAAAATGGAACGCGCATCGATTAATTATGTGGAATGCCTGGTGATCAGACTTTGCTTTTCTCCGGCTTTACTTTCGGTGCTTGATTGACTAGTCCTGCAACAATGCGCTCAAACACCCAACGTATATTCCTTGACTTACGTAATGATGGATGGGGTTTCTCCCCGGTAAATATACGTCTCTCTCTTCCACGATTTCTGCTTCATTCCCGCTTTTTTTTTTTTTCCGGTTGCCTGTGGGGGTGGTGGCAACCGTTGTCACAATATTCTCACCAATGGATGGAGGAGCAAAATCAACAAATAATTTTTTTAATCCGCTCGACCAGAGGTTCCCCTGTAAACTCGAAAAAATATTCTACCATTTATTTATTTTTTTTACAACGCATTGATAAAAATAACTAGGTGGGCTGATCAATGTACATGTCGTATCTCCTGAGTCCTTAACTCTCCAGTAACAGCGAAGGTAAACCAACTCCCCCCCCCCCCCCCCACCACAACAAAACACACAAAATCAAAATGGAGATATGACTATGGCAATCTTTGAATTTTCACCCCGAGGTCAAATGTTTTTCTCCATGCTGCACACTTTCGAATTTCTTTTTTTTTTTTTCAATAAGAAGAATACTTCAAATTTTTAATTCCATTGTTTATGTATACTCATGCTAGAAATTAACTTTGTCTTTGTGTTGACGGCATTATAAAAATACAAGTAGTAAGAAATGAGTAACAAACTCCTTGGAAAGATCTGTCAATCAAGCATTTACTTATATTTCTCCAAAAACAAAAGAAAAAGAAATTCATATCAGATTTAGTTACAGGTTACGGGGTTAGTTAGATGGGAACAGAAACTTCAGATACCAGAAAACGAACTTAGTGGACTTTAATTAACTACATACTAAATCCTAGAATATGAGGATCATTCTTTAAGTTCCAGATTTAACAATAATTGGAACTGTTACAGGCAATATTCATATTTCTCGAGTACCTCTAGTACACTTTCTCATTTTATGTTTTCTGACACTATGAAAACGAATATGACACAAAATAATAATAATAATATGAAGAAAATCTTCTAACTTATGCCTGAACCTCAAGTACAATTCTTCGGCTTCCTTTTTTCTCGTACACATTCATATTAGAGGCAGCTAAGTCAAACTCAATCATTCCTGTTCCATTAATTTGCTATATATAATATGGTCAACAAAGTCACCTAAAAGAAGGGGGTTTTTTTTCTGGCCCCGCGCCAGGGGGAATGGGGAGGGGGGGGGGGCGAGAGAACAATAAGATCAGAGTAATTAACTCTCAATCCGTCAATCATGGGAAGTGAAGTGCCCAACAATTTGACTAGCATAATGTCCGGATGTTGGACGCTAATTTTATTGGCTTCTTTTGGGTTCAATGTTCGAATTATTATCAGAATTCAGATTTAATGATGCCCAAGGAATTCAGCGAAATATGCATCAATGACCATTCAAGTGAGTTTGTTTAAATTAATGTTTACTTATCGACGGCTTAATAGAGGGTGCAACAATTTCGATTTTCCTTTTCTATTTAAAAAAAAAAAAAACAACGGATTATGAATGAAATATATAGCATTCTTGTTCTTATTCTTCAGGTAGTTAAAGCATACATTGAGCGAGCAGAAGTGCTGGAAAAGAGAAGAGCAAAGATTTAGGGAAAACACGGAAACTTAACCATTAAAGAAAAGCAAAAAAAAGGGCGCGCAGCGTCACAAATCATGGAAGTCCTCTGAAGGGAAAGGTCGGAGTCCGTTGACAACTAGTAACGGACTGGACTCAAATTGATGGTTCTGGTACTAGTAGTGAACGGGACTGACTCAAATTGATGTTGTTCTGGTAATGATATAGTAGTATGACTATAAAACTATAGGGAAAAAAATCTTGATGGCCCTTCAATTAATTAACAGTCGAGTGAATTTTTAGTCCTTCAACAAGTAAAAATAAATTTTTGATTCTCAATTTATCAAAGGTGTTAAATATTAGGCCTCTTGTCAATTTAAGCAGTTAAGTATGACGGGAAACAACATAACATGCGCTCCATGAGGTATTAGCAGGGGCATTCTTGTCCACCCACGAGAATTCATTGAGTAGAAGGCAGGCAAAAAATACCGAATTGAAGGAACATTTTACAACCCTTTTCTTTACTCCCACATCATCTTCAATAACAATCAAGAAGGCTTCGTTTTACTCTGCTGCTGCTGCTGCTGCTGTAAGCCGCAAGACTTCATCGGCACAGGACCCCCCTCAAACTCTCTCTGTCTCTCTCTCTTAAATACAAAAGGAAGGAAAAAAGGAAAGCCAATATATGAAAGGAAGAAATTTAATTCGGCTACTGTAACGTACAAGAAAGATTTCATCCCCCTGCTAACCCCTCCTCTTTCTCTCCCAAATACTAAAGGAAGGAAAAGGGGAAAACCAAAATACAAAAGGAAGGAATTTAATTAGAAAAGATAGTCATGTCTGTCTCGAGATAGTTAAAGCCTATGGGTCTTGAAGTTAGTTAGTGAGATTTTTTTTATTTGAAAACCAAAGAATTGGTGTTATCATATTTTCCCAAAACTCCATATGTATCTGCAATCCTCCGTGGCAAAAACTTTCTTGGAAATGCTTTTCTCCGTAAATTAAATTATACGACTATTTTTAATTTAAAAATAGCAGGAACTGGAACTGAGGTGAGCCTAGCACTTTGGAGGAGGGATTCAAAAAGGTATGTTGCATCTTTGCATTGGATTGCTGTATCTTTGTATTTAATCCGTTCTTCCCTTCTTTTTCTCTGTGTGTGTGTGTGTGTGCTTTTTTTTTTCTGATTTGTGTCATTTTCTAACAATTCTTATTTTATACTCGACATTATTGACTGTTTCTTTTTTTTTTTTTTAGCTAATTTTAGGCGAATTTGAGTTGTTTACTACTTTATTGGCTACTTTATTACCTGATTCTAGCATTGCTACATGCATGGATGGAGCTGCAGCATCATGGAGGAAAAGATAGAGGTCAACGTGGTCATTGAGGACGTGTTTAACAATGCTAGAATGCCCCTAATAATTCATTCTTGTGAGCAGACAAGAATACCCTTGCTAATTGCGATGTTGTTTCCGCTCATCCTTAACCACTGGAATTGACGGACGGCACAACATTTGGCATTTTTGATAGATTAGAGGTCAAAAATTTACTTTTAATTATCAAAGGGCCAAAAGTTTATTCGACTAATGAGGTCAAAAATTTACTTTTAATTATAGAAGGATCAAAAGTTTATCCGACTAATAGTTGAAGGGCTATTGAGACTTTTTTTCCCTCAACTATAAAGCAGAGGACACGTCACAATTCACGATCATGTTGCACTATCTAAAAAAAACAAACGGTTGCATGAATTTGGAAAAATTAAACATCGGCAACCGCTAATCAAGCAACAAACTGCTTCATTTCTTGGAAAATCTTTTTCTTGCTTAAAAGTAGAAGAATCCAGCCACAGCGGCGGCACCAAGAGCGGCAGAGGCCTTCAAGGTGGCGGCTCCATTGCCCTTGGGTGTCTCAGCGGGTGTCTCAGCGGGCGACTGGGTTGGGGTGGCAGAGGTTGGTGATGGGGCATCGCTGGGTGGGGCAGGTGGCGATGACGCCTCAGGGGTGCTGGCCTCGGGTGCGGCAGATGGGGAGGTGGATGGGGCGTTGGAGCTGGGGGCCGGGGATGATGCCTTGGGAGTGGCTGCTGAGGGGGCCTTTGATGGTGCATGTTTGGCTGCGGATGAAGGGGCCGGGGATTTTGAGGGAGAGTGCGACGGGGCACTGCTAGGTGATGATTGGGCGGAGGCCAACCCAACAACGGCCACGAAGACGAGGGCAAGGACAACCAACTGGCGAGCCATTTTTTTGTTTTTGTTTTTTTTGGTAGTTGGTACCCTTGTTTATTTGTTTATAGCAGAAATTTTCAAATGATTCTTGCAAATTGCAGTACTTCTCTAGATTACTTAGAGAAACACTGCAGGGATGAAAGAATGAGGATGGAGGAGACTGATTGTGGATGCTTTTTATAGGTAAAACTAGCTGCGAATAAGGTGGCGGGAATGAATGGCGGACGGTAATGTTTGGACATTAATTGTTGTTTCTGAGGTTTCAAACTGAAAAGCCTGAAATAACGATGGTTGTGGTAACGAAATTTGTTTTTATAAAAACACTTTTAGCAACTATTTAATTACCTATTGGACTAGTTACCTAAATAAGATAATACCTAAAAATTTGGTTAGTAAGTTTCACATAAAAAAATAGTAAGTTAAATTGATAAATTAGCAACTTTTATGTCTTAAAAAGTAAATTGGAATAGATACGGAACTTACTCTTTTTTGAAATAAATTATTACTCTATATCCGAAACTTATTTTTTGGAGAGTAAGTTTAGTTCAAGTAATAGTCAGTTTTTATAGATTAATAGTAAGTAAATCTTGTTGATAGAATAGTAAATTTGGTTAATGGTCAAAACATACTAGTTTGTGGTATAAAGTTACTATTTTACTTTTAAAAAACTTATATGAAACAAGTATTAGGAAGTTTATTTGAAATAATGCTAAGATTTTTTTTATTAATGATTGAAACTTGGTATTCTAGCTAATAATTACTCGTAATATAAATGTATGATACACAATTGTACATATCATTTATAAATGTTATATGTTTTAAGCATTTTGAATATAATCTGAAAACTATTTTTTTGCACATGACCTTATAAAATATATAAAAATAATTTGTCATATTATAAATTCCGAATTATTTTTGAATTTGCGAAAGGTTAGAAAGTTTGGGTGACAATAAGAACAAATTTTTCGAGTTATATATAGAATTGCACTTATTTATACATCACAATTTCCATATATTAATACATAGGAATATAATAAAATGATAAAGTTTCAATAAATTTATTTTCTGGGTCACAAGAATAAAAGTTAAAGTTGTATTACAATAACAACAAATCTTTCAAGTTTTATATAAAATAGCACTTACTTATACATCACAATTTTCATATATTAATACCTATGAATTTAATACAATGGTAAAGTTTTAATAAATTTATTTTCTGGGTCACAAGTATAAAAATTAAAGTTGTACTAACGTAGCATAATCTTTGAAAATTATAGTAAATTTACCCATATGTTAAGTTCCGTGACTTTCAAATATACTTTGTAGCATTTACATTATGGATTTGTATGCATATTTTTTATTGGCAAATGGTATGTAAATTATTATAAAATGTCATTTTATAATAATCATAATTTTTTATAGGTGAATGTTTTGTAAACTGCCAAAATTGTTAATTTACAAATGACTAAATCTTACTACTTTATGGCATATATTAGTCTAATCGACTAAAAAAATTACTGTAATCATATGTATGTTGATTGTTGATCTGAAATTTTCACCAGTATCACTATTTCCTTGATTACTAGTAGTTCTTCTAATCAAAGTAAAATAAAATCAAATATCTTTTCCTTTTGTATGTAGTAGTTATGTTTAGTAGAAAATTATTAAACCATTTTACAATACATAATTTCTCCTGAAATTAGTAACATTTTCCATGACCTCTAACCTCGTCAATAATACTAACCACCGACATGCAGATAATCTTAAGAGCAAAAGCCATCAATATGACAAAAAGAGAATATTTTCATGCTGAACATAAAAAAATTGCTATTCTACATAGAATCCAAAAAATTCATCATGAATAAGAATGAATTGCGAAGTTATCACATTTCTAATTTCATATGCATCCAGAATTTGACACAGCATTACTTTAGAGGAACTATCCTTTTTTCACACCAAGGAACCAACCCCAATCTCCATGTCCATTTTATTTTTTTTCTTTAACTATTAAATGGTGTTAAAGTTGTTAGCAGTAAAATACTAAATAAATTTCATTCCATTTCAAGCTCTAGTTAATTGTATACTAATATTTTGTTACTAAAGGATTGTTTTGTTAACTGTTCAAGCTCTAGTTAACTGTAGTTACTAAAGCATTGTTTCGTTACCATAACAATTGTTACTAAAAGATTCGTTACCATAACTATCTATTGAAAAAATAAACAACGGATAATGAATGAAATATATAGCATTCTTATTCTTCTTCTTCAGGTAGTTAAAGCATACATTGAGCGAGCAGGAGTACTAGAAAGGAGGAGCTAAGATTTAGGGAAAACATGGAAACTTAACCATTGAAAGAAAAGGAAAAACAAAAAAGGGCGCGCAGCGTTACAAATCATGGAAGTCCTCTGAAGGGAAAAGTCCGGAGTCCGTCAACAACTAGTAACGGGACTGGACTCAAATTGATGTTGTTCTGGTAATGATACAGTATAAACTATAAAGCAGAGGACACGTCACAATTCACGATCATGTTGCACTATCTAAAAACAAACGGTTGCATGAATTTGGAAAAATTAAACATCGGCAACCGCTAATCAAGCAACAAACTGCTTCATTTCTTGGAAAATCTTTTTCTTGCTTAAAAGTAGAAGAATCCAGCCACAGCGGCGGCACCAAGAGCGGCAGAGGCCTTCAAGGTGGCGGCTCCATTGCCTTTGGGTGTCTCAGCGGGTGTCTCAGCGGGTGACTGGGTTGGGGTGGCAGAGGTTGGTGATGGGGCATCGCTGGGTGGGGCAGGTGGCGATGACGCCTCAGGGGTGCTGGCCTCGGGTGCGGAAGATGGGGAGGTGGATGGGGCGTTGGAGCTGTGGGCCGGGGATGATGCCTTGGGAGTGGCTGCTGAGGGGGCCTTTGATGGTGCATGTTTGGCTGCGGATGAAGGGGCGGGGGATTTTGAGGGAGAGTGCGGGGCACTGCCAGGTGATGATTGGCGGAGGCCAACCCAACAACCGCCACGAAGACGAGGGCAAGGACAACCAACTGGCGAGCCATTTTTTTTTTTGTTTTTTGGTAGTTGGTACCCTTGTTTATTTGTTTATAGCAGAAATTTTCAAATGATTTTTGCAAATTGCAGTACTTCTCTAGATTACTTAGAGAAACACTGCAGGGATGAAAGAATGAGGATGAAGGAGACTGAATGTGGATGCTTTTTATAGGTAAAACTGGCTGCGAATATGGTGGCGGGAAGGAATGGCGGACGGTAATGTTTGGACATTAATTGTTGTTTCTGAGGTTTCAAACAGAGCAAGTAACAACCGTTAACGGTTAGCGGCCTGTATTTGTTTCAGGAGCGCTAGAGAAATGGGCGTGCAATCCTTCTGACCGGAGCGAGTTTCAAGGCCAAGCAATTTGTGTGTGGGACTGTTTCGGCCTTTCCTTCGGGCTTCAGCTAGCTGGTGGTGGCCATGAATGCTGCATTTCGGACACTAAGAAACCTTGGAACCAAAAAGAAAAAAAAAAAATCTAATTGTTGTCTAATGGGCTGTAGGCCAAAAATTTATCGTTCTTCTAAATTAAGACACTTTTTTTTCATTTAAATTCTCTTTTACCTAAAACTAAAACTTGATTTCTTGATCTTCTTCTTAACCATGGCCAATTACTATGTCAATTGTCAAAATAAACGCTAAATTACTTGGTTCGCACTTGTGCTGCGTGAATTTCTTTTCTTTTCTTTTTTTTTTTTCCAAGAAGCATAAATACTTATTATTTTTGCACACGAGCTAAACGACGGTGGGAAACTCCCCTGGCGCCTGGAGCTTAGGTAGCCATTTGATCACTACAAAGAATTTAAGTCTTCGTCGGCTATGAGATCAAGGGTTTAAATTTTGAGGGTCTAATTACGTAACGTATCTTCTGTTCCATATTCTGTCATTCTCTACCCCATATTTTTATTATATTACTATTTCTCCTTTATGAACATCATATTTTCATTTCTTTTTTAGTTTTTTTAAGATCTAATAACTATTAATTGAGTAAAAAATAAATACAACAATTTTAAACAAATAATATATAATAGAAAATTAAAACATACAGCAGAAAATTCATAAAAATCTCATTTTTTTATGCATTTTAATTTTTTGAGTTTGTTAAATTTTGTGTATTACTCTGTTAATAGTTATTGGATCTTACAAAAACAAAAAAAAATCTAAAATGTGATGTTAATAAAGGAGAAATAACGATGTAATAAAAATGAGACAGAGAATGACGCAGAATATGGAACGAAAGATCCGTTGCAGTCCAATTCCATGAATTGAATTCTTTACCGAACCAAAAGAATTCTAATTCCAATTCCACAACTAAACCCTGGAAAACAGGTCTACACTTGGATCTTGTGGGTAAAAAATTAAAATCGGATCAACTATATAAGCATCCCTCTCTGCATACTTAATTAACCATTCTTCCTCAGCTGCAATTGCTTTTGCTCTCCACCATCGCTTCCACCTTCACCCTAACTTTTTGCCACTTCCACCACCGTCTCCCCCATCGCTCTTTGCTTTACCCTAACTGGGTTCTTCAGTCCGGAAGGTAACAACTAAAGCTCACCCTTTTTTTACTTTGCAGCGATGAATATTGAATTCTGAATTTCTTTGACTGGCAAAATCTTTCTACAAGAGAGTGATTAGGCGTCTTTCTTCAAGAGAATTTGGTTAATTAATAGGCTCTAGTGCTTAATTTGAGATGATTTCAGAAGTAAATTTCTGTTATTGCTGATTCAATCATGTTCTTGAAGTATGGAGGGTTGTAGCACTGCCAAATTCAGACGGTACAATTCATACCCCTAGAAATTTGAGATGATTTCAGTAGTAAATTTCTGGTATTGCTGATTATGGTTGCTGCTTCTACACAATTTCTATAAGATGGAACTTTGTATAATTCCAGCATTACCCATCCACCACTTACCAGTCTTCCCGAAGTTCCTTTCCACTTTTGCGGGTTGAAACAAATTTCTTTGAATTCGATTCCCTTTGCATGCCAAAATGTGGAAGAGAATGAATGTACGTGTCACCAAGAAATAGTTGAACATTCGCATCAGTGGAGACTTTTATTTTGTAGTGTGCAG